CTATATATATTGACAGCACTGATCTGATATTAAGAAGATAATCTTAAAAATCATAGGCTCTATGGTAAAAAAATAAAAAAAAAAATATTCGGAATAATATAAATAGATGTACTTGTCAAACGTGAATAAAAATAAAAATACAGAATTTAAACTTGATATCTATCACACATTGTTGTTTCAATATTTAATATACCTCCCATTACTCAAATTCTCAAGTCAGTTTTATCTAATTTTATATATAATACCTAATAAAATAAGATTTTAAATTATTTATTTCTCTAATAATTACTTTCTCAAGGAAAATGCTATAGTACAGAGCACGAATCAATTTCAAAGGCAAATAAGTCCTCTACTCAAATAAAATGTATACCAATCCGACGATTGATTGAACCATCAATTTTTTTTAGCATAACCCGACAACATAATGTTATAAATGGATCTGGCTAAAAATTCATTCATAAGTATCATCCAACTGTGATATAATCTCAGTTAATCTTGAATTTTCAATTAATATATTTTTAGTATAATGTTTATTTCATTTAAAACCTCATTGTTGTAAAATGAGAAATTGTTTGGAGTTATTACATTATGTTAAATTTGTCTTTTTCAGCAACTATCAACCAGACTTGTTTACCTCGAATCGGCGTTTATCTGTTGCACAGAGAAAAGAAAAACTTTACGGAAGCACAAGATATTTGCGAATCGGAAGATGGGTTTGTTTCTCACATCTTTGAATGTAGTATTCGATTTGTCAAATATTCTGCCATAATTGATATAGGGTATAATTTTATTTTTTGTTTGCTTACAATTGTTTTCTCACAACATCGGTAGGGAGGAGAGCTTGGACTAGTGCTGGAGGTTAAATAATTGTTTATATTTAGTATGGAAAAATTCCATTTTTAGATATTAAGAAACAAATTTGGTTCTTTGCCTATCGACACTGTGGTGATCTAGTCTTTTAAAGCGTGAACTTTAACATTCTCGAGTCTAATAACGGCGTTTCGAATTCGGCTTAGGCGGGTTTAAATTTAGTCGTGCCTGACCTGAGGAATGGATCTCAACCTTCCCACTTTGGTTATAATAGGTTTGGTAGTACTTCTAGATCAAATCTTCGTATGTCTGAAATGGCTATCGGAAATCGAGAACAGATAGGTTCCGTGTGTCTATTGTAAAATCCAAGTTAAAGGCATACCACTTATTACCATTGGTCCGATTTTCACGAGTTTTCAGAGATAATTGGTTCCATGAAAATTTCATCAAATTACATTCTCTACTCTCATTTACGAAGCTTTAGTAAACAGTTTGAAGTTGCGATTAGTAAAAAAATATCGTTTAATCAATTTCCATCTACTACTTCCTCTTACATATTTTCTTTAATTACTTTTTATCTCAAAATTACTAATTCGATTTGGTCCAAAGTTTGAAAAAGTTAAAGATTGGCCTAAAAAATTATCAAGATAGTATCAATTTTATTAAATTCCGTCTACCACTTTTGCTGAATGGGCAAACATATTTTCATTGATCAAAAACCTATATTTCAAAAACGGCTCGTTCATTTGTGCCCGAAATTGGAGGATATTTGGGGAATAGTGTAAAAATATTCTATTACCATAAACATCGTGTTAGTAAAAAGAAAGATTAATGAAACAATTTATAATACCTAAAGATAAAATTTTAATTTATATATTTATAGTTTATTAGTATTGTATATTTATATTTAGCATTTCCATTATCCTATCTATTATTTCTAAAAGGTGTTTTTTTTTTGTTTTTTTTTAGGAAAAATATTAATTCCTTCCTAACATGATACATAGGAACTAATTATTTCCGTATTGTTTTGCTATTTCTTCACTAATTATTCTTCACTACAGAAACAAAATTTTCTGCGAATATTTCGCACGGTACAACTAGTTATATTTTAAAACAATTTGACATTCTTTCTGGTAACATTATACTAATGATGATTTTACGTGATGGGTTCGATAATTATACTTTTGATCATTTTTAATGATAGCTTGTACTCCTCTTTGTTAGTTTAGTTTGACGTCATTGATAAATTATGGTTCTGAACTATTGCTTGGTAAGAAATCTCTAATTTGTGTTGCAGATATCTCGCTGACATCAGTAATGCCCCCAAAACAGTTCAACTTGCAGCCGCCCTGGCTAAAGATCGCGTCAGGAAAGCATTTGTTGGTCTGTCCCAAGAAGATGGCCATTTTATAACCTCACAAGGTATTTAAAGAACACATCGATCATTAAGTTTTGTTCACTTTTGAATAAACTTTTATTACTAATTAAAAATTCCGTCTGATAATTTATTAGTTTTTTTTTCAACCAACTAATGCCGAACTCAGAACGGTATGATGTAAAAAATATATATCAAAATTGATTATAACCTTCTTCCTTCGTGGAGATATGCCTCTCGACTGCCTCAGGTACCGAGCCTGGGCCCCTGGCGAGCCCAAGGATGGAAAACGATGCGCCACAATCAGCTCCAGAGGGTACTGGTACACCGAGGACTGCTTCAAGAGAGCGCCCTTCGTCTGCGAGCTGCTCCCTTCCGGACCTCTACACCCGTGCGCACACCTCTCCTGGAGTAAGTCAACCTTCATTGACATTACTTAAGTTGGCATTTTAAATTACTATTTACTTGGTCCATATGTCCTATAGGGCGACGCAACGTTTGCAGGGAAAAGTTTCGGAGATCTTTCCCCAATCAAAGGCGTTGGCCTAAATGTGGAGATCCCTCAATTGAAGAACACACTTTTAAGCTACCAGTTTACAAAAAAAGAAAGGTTCATAATGTAACAGAAAGAGGCTACAAGAAAGAATGATAATTTTTATTTTATAATAAATATTTTTGTCCCATTTTTATTTATCTTATTGATGTTACCCTTATACTTTCATGTCATTCACTTATAATTTGTAAATCTTTTCCTGGAAAATACAGCAGGTCTTCTCCAACTGCTCAATGGTTCATATGTTTTGCCAATAATATTAGCATAAGTATTAAGATGCATATTACAAAATAAGAAACATTATTTTAGTTGTTTGGCAACAATAACTTCCAGTTGTTAACAATTGAGTATATTTTACTATCAACGTTACATGTTAACAAGTTAGTTGACGTTTCGGGACATTTATTCCCATCTTCAGAACTGCAATCCCAATTCTCTTGTGGATGCAAGGCTTAAATTTAATAATAATAATAATAATGTGCTCCATCGTCAAATTTCTAATTCATGTTCTAAAATGTATCATCTAGAGCAGTATCCAGAAGAGTATTGGGATTGCAGTTCTGAAGATGGGAATAAATGTCCCGAAACGTCAACTAACTTGTTAATATGAAATGTTGATAGTAAAATATACTCAATTGTTAACAACTGGAAGTTATTATTGCCAAACAACTAAAATAAATAGACAACTTCCCAGAAAAAAAGAAAAAAGAAGAAACATTATATACTACTACGAGACTTTAATAACAACTGTTTATAAAAAGTAATACAGTAGTAAAGTTTATATTGTTTATTTGGTAGTACATTACATAAATAGATAATTTAGTAAAACTATTTACGATTGAATTCAGTTTTACCTTTACCATTCTAACATTTTATCTTTGATTTTGAAATCCAAGAATCATATAAAAGTATTATGATCAATACATAAAATACCTACAAAAATACATAAAAATAAAAATACCAAGCAGTACATTGAAAGACATACACGGTGGGCCAGACCCCCCTACCGTGCACCCTCCTCACATCCCTATAAATTGCATATCGTTGTGTTCCTTGTAACAATTTATTTTAAAAAAGCCAATGGTCCCACAAAAAAAAGTGAACGAACTGCTCCAAAATGGCCTCCAAACATGGCGGACTGACGACTTTGACTTTAGTTAGTTTTTGGAGAATCAGCATTTGTCTTAATTTTGTATTTTGCATTTATCTCCTCTCCTGGTTTATTATAAATAATAACTATTTGTCATTATTCAAAGTTACGAAAGAATGCTAAATATAACTTTTGAAAGAATTCGATAATTGAATAAAGGAGAAAAAAATAAAAATACTTATTCAGGTCAAAAATGAATATCCGGAAATACTGCTCAGAATGTATACGTACGTATTATATATCGTTGGAAAGCGAAGAATTTTAGAAAAAACAATATCTAATATATAAAGTTATAGAAGGTAACGAAGAGTGGCGAAAAAATATAAATAATAACATATTTTCAAGGAAATTAAAAGAAATTTTCTTACTAAATGTAAAATTTTAACATTTCTTTAAAATTTGAAAAATTATTTAAAACCCACGGAATGAAGGCAATGACATTGTTTTAGATACTATTTCATTGTACTTGAAGAAAGAAGAAGTGAAATTTAAAAATATTTCATGGATACGTTTATAACCTTAAATATATTTACTGTAGTTTAATAACTCTAGATCTGACATTATTTTTAAATAATTAGGTATCTATCGTCCATTTATTTCGAAAAATCATTACGTAACCTTTTAGGAAATTAAATTAGTGAATAATTTGATCAATTTTCCCTTTGCGATATTCCAACAGAATCCACTTACAATTAGTGTGACAACTTTTGATCTGTCTATGTAAGACAATGCAAATCTCTTAATTCCGTTTTAGTAAAGTTTGTAATGGAAAATAACAGTTTAATAATTAATAGTCGTACAATCCATAATCAATGGATCGTACAATCCATAATCAACCGGTGATATAATAAACAGGACTTTTGTTATTTTAATATTGTTTATGATTTGTTATCTGCAATCTTTTAGCTTTAGCTCAGTTAAAAATGCAATTCAAAAATTTTATAATAGCCCAACATGGCCAGAAAATAATGTCTATTCAAAGTTGAGCAGTAAGTGAAAGTTGTGTGTTGCACGCACCAGATTTTTTGGTTTGTCGTAGACTATGTATGATAAACATACTTTAATTTTTAAAAACTTAAATCACGTGATAAGTACTCCATGGCAACTGGCATCTGGCATCTGTGAGGCTTCCTGCTATAATCGCGGGATATCTACATAACTACAAATTGGGGCTCTAGTTTTGATCTTGGTGCCGGCATCGAATTCTTAATCAAACAAGTTTGGCCTCCCCCAATCCGCCAACCTACCAACGTCGGAGTTTTGAGGCCTCAAGAATCCACAGTTTTCATTATCCGTCTAATTTGATATGATAGTATATGCTAAATATTTGTAATGAATATGAACTGACGAAAAAATGAATTTCGTTTAAATTTAATTGTATTTACTGTAACATTTACGATTTTCCACTGAAGACCTCAATCAGTTAACACCTTGATGAAGAGTTGTTGAACATTCACAAATGACTTGTCAAGAAGGAAATATGTAAAATATTTTATATTTACTTTTTTCCAAATACATGTTTATGAAAAGTATGATATTACTAGCGATTCACGTTATTTGGTTATAATCCTTTACTGTACAATTATTGTAAATACTGTATAAGTTAATGGGTAACCCTAGAAAAGAGTGTGTATATGTAGATAATTCCCATGTGTTAATGAAAGTATGAGTAATTTACAGTGACAACATTGTGATAAAAACTGAACCAAATTAGAGTAACAATGTCATTTTTTTTGCAACTTAAACTTTTACTTTGGAAAAACTTCAAAGCCAGGAAGAGGCAAAAAGTAATTATTTTAAATGTTAATGAGTGGTAAAATGAATTGAGTATTCAAGAATCCAGTATTAATGATTGATTTCAGTGTAGGTGTTTCTCTGAACTAACATGGCCACTTTGCTTATTTCTACTTCTGATTTGGGTCAGAAGTAAGGGATTTCTTGTCAATGTGCACCCTTGTAAGATAATACTTTTATTATATTTGTTGATTACATTTAATGAGGGTATCTGAAGTAATGTTTGAATCATAGGCAATTTTGAAGAAAAACCTCTACCATCTGCAGGTCTTTTGTTTTGTTACCAAGGATTAATTTGTACACTCAACAACACTTGTCACAGTGACTATAGGGACACTTTCCGCAACTACAGTAATCTGAACTCTTCCAGGTAAGAATATTTTGTAGTTATATATATCATAATTATTGAACAAATTAGGTATATATAATTTATAGCTGCTAAATTTACAATTTTGATTATAAATAATTGATTGGAATATTGGAGTCAGCAATCCAGGGAATATTTAAATTGATAAAACATTGCCGACATAATATTATGATAGTTCTTGTTGCACAAAGTATTTTTTTTTCAATTGATTTAAGATACATGCTAAATTAAAATGTAATAAGAAATACATTAAATACAAACCACAAAATATCAAATAGGTAGATTGAGTAATAGATTTTCATATATTTTATTAATTTAAGTGTTTTTTTTTTAAGTGTTATTTAACAGTTATTTTATTTACAGATTTCTCAAATTTATGACTGATGTCAACTCAATTAATACTAAATCTGATCCATGGAATACGAACGTGTTCCTTGAATATTCAAAAGACCTTGATGAATTAAGGCATGGAATGTTAATTTTTAGTGATCTTCAAAAAATCAACACACCAACTACTTATACAACTGTTGAAAATGAAGTACATGTTTCTATAAGATAAATTGTCTGTATACAAATTATATTTCTGGGTAAAAATTCAAGAATAATTTAAATTTCAGTTATCCGATGGCAACATAACAAATTCCATTAATGGTTCTACCATGCAGTTGATGAAAGTTCATAACAGAATTAATGAAAAATTGCAGTATTTAGAAAATATACTGGAACTGCTAAAGTATTTGACATTTTATTTAAATGATCCATTTATAATTTCGTGTCACAAACTTTTGTTAGTTTTGTCAAATGAAGTTTCTTTTTCCTTTGGCAATGACAAAGATGTCAGTATCATTTTATTAAACAAACAAAATATGCTCTGTTAACTTTCATGCTCTTCTCTAAATATTGATCCAGCTTCTTATTCTCCTCTTTGTGCAAGATAAAATATTTCAAGGATAAGAGATTTAGAATTAAAAGAAGAAACTTTTCTTTTGTTAAACAGTTATATACAATTCTTAGTTAACTTTAATACTGTGGATACAGAACCTGTACCATCATAACCTTATAAGGATCCAGTGCTTAGCAAGATAAAATTATTTTTTTATCAACATTTAAGGAGATGATTTTGTCAGCATCAATACTCAACTGCCAACATTTATCCGCGACCCAATTGAAGGCAAAGCACCCTCTTTATGGAGGCTGTGCATACTTCAGCAGGGTCTCCCAACACCTGAATTAACATCTAGCTTTTATATAACAGAATGAATAAATAGTGTCAGTATTGGCATCAAGTGTTAAGTGGTCATAACTTTAGCATTCTTGAGTCTAGCAGCATTGATTTGAATCTGGCCTGATTAATTTTATGGTGGAGCAAAGAAATAAATCTCAATCCACTCTGATTAGAATAGGTTAATTACACCTGTTGAATAACTCCTCTGTATGCCAGAAATGGACAGGTAGGGATAAGAAAAAAAAATGAGCTATTAATCTATCACTGTGGACACAAGAGAACATTAGCGTAGGTCTGGAATGAGAAATATATGATCAATTGATGCTTTAACTAAGGTGTCCCTAACCTTTTTCTACTTGAGCATTACAAATTATACTTACTAGAATTTAAAAAATATATAAAAATAAAAACTTGCATTACAATCAATGAAATGTTGGGTTGAGGAGTAAAATGTATTCAGGAGAAGATTAGGAAGTGCTACATTGATATATAAGAAAATTTGTGTTTTGTAGTGATTAACACTGAAGGGCTAAGTAGCCACTTTTTGGAAACCTCTCCCATCCCCATTTTTTCTCTTGAGTTCAAATCTGGGTCCAAGGGGTTAAGATTACTACCTACCATATTATCAGCTAACAACTATATATGTTATTTAATAGTGTCAACATGATAATTAATTTGTATGCTCATAGAAAACAAATTATTAATTATTTTGCTGATAAATGAGCATTTTTTTTTTTTAATTGTACATTCATAAAGTTAAAGTAATTTATTTCAAAATGATCATTCAAATTTGTTTAGTGTCAGTAATAAGAATCTGTGCCTTAATGAAATCTAATATAAACAAAAGAGTTTATTTATTTTTATTATAGAATCATTGAAAGGATTGACAAAAACTATGAAAAATTTAGTAGGATCTTAAGTGAATCATCAATAGTTGATGATATATTCTTCGAGTTGCATAGTTTCTTGTGTGGTTCATTTACAGAAGAAAAAAATCTATCTTCAATTTGGAAACGAAAAAGAAGCTATGAAAGGTAAACACTGTTATTTACTATTTTAATATAATTGCAATTTTTCCTTTGAAATTGTAATTATAGCTTTCCTTATTGAAAATAAAATAAACTATATTTTAAATTCTTCTTCCTCTATCAGCTCTACGGCCCACTAAGCTAAGTCTTGTCCTGCTTCAATATTGGCTGCCAGTTAATTCTATCTAGTGCTGCTGTCTTCCAATTAAAGAAATCAAGGAGGGCTCGAGCATCTGAAGCAACACATTCCTCCTTGCAAAGCCATGGCCTGCCTTTGCAACGAACTCCAAATAGTTGCTCCTGGAACACTTTAGCAGGAATTTTTTCATCTCCCATTCTCATAACATATCCTGCGTAACCTTCCTAGTTTATGCTAGGGATCAAGGAAATAAAAATGGACGCTCACTAATTTAAATCTCAAGAAGCTTGACACGTTTTAAAAGAAAAATTCTCAGAAGAATTTACAGACCATTTTTTCAAACAGCATCTCTAGGAGGACAAATGCGACGCTGAATGTTCGTTCAAGGAGGTTGATGTACTGGATCACCTCCTTGTACATTGCTTTCAGATTCACATTTGTCCTCCTCGAGATGCTGTTTGAAAAAATGGTATGTAAATTCTTTTGAGAATTTCTCTTTGGAAACGTGTCAAGTTTCTTGAGATTTAAATTAGTGAGCATCAATTTTTCAGAGCTATAAGTCAATACATGTCGGATGCGGGCTTTGTTAATCCGAATTTTTGAGGGCTTCAATATAAGGTTGCTTCGAAGATGTTTATGTAGTGCAAAATAGCAACGGTTTGAGGCTACTATTCTCTTTTCTATTTCTGCATTAATACCATTCATTTTGTTTACCTATGATCCAAGGTATATGAACTCCTCAACTCTTTCTATTACCTGCCCTTCTATTTTATATCTGTTACTTCACTAGACATTGTGTGATTCACATTAAGGTATTTGGTTTTACTTAAGTTCACTAATACCCTAATTTTATCTGCAGCATTCTTCTTCAGTGTTCTAAATGCATTCTTAACAGTCTCTAATAACCTCACTATGATATAAATTTGTCAGCATATCTGAGGGTTTCTAGGAGTTGATTTATTAAGGTACCACATGTCTACTATCTCTTATTGTTTTCTTGAGTCTCAGACTAAAAACCAGACAGGTCAGCCCATCTTGTCTGTAGAGAATTTGGTGGGCATCTCTCCAAAAATCCTCAGGAACAAAGTGTTATCTTCTATCATGATCCTTATAATCTACTAGCTTTGGAGGAAAATTCATTTATGTATTTCTGATTTGATAGAGTCATAAGCTTGTTTAAAATCAACAAATATGTGATATGTAGACGGTCTATATTTCTTCGTTTTTTCTAGAAGTATCAGGAGGGTGAATATCTGGTCGATTGTTGATTGATATATCTCTTCAAAAGCCACACTGATACTTTCTTATTTATCGTTCACCAAATGGCAATATGAAAAAGAAATATATTAAAGAGGATTATGGAGAGAACTTTATAAGCACGTGATAGTCATCACAAAAACAGGTATTACTCTTTTTGTTTATTGGGCAGATGACCGTCTTTTTCCACTCCTTCGGGAGTCTCTCCTCTGTTCAGATATTATGGAGAAGATCTCAGAGGAACAAAACAAGCTCCAGGCCTACATGCTTCAGTAGTCGTGCAGGAATTTCATCCATCCCAAGAGACTTTTTGTTTTTAAGCTTATGTTGGGCTTCCTCATCTGGTGGATCCAAATATTCTCCATCCATGATATTTGAAATTAATATATGAATGAATAAATTATTTTTATATACAACTCAAAAATCTTGAGAGTACTATTTCATTTTATAGGAGCATGTTTGATTTTAAAATCAGATTATTCTTTGAGTCTTTTGAAGAGAAAGGAATCAATGATAATTAAATTTGTTTCAATTCTTTTTGCCTTTTTTCTATTTAAGGTTAGTTTATGAAATAAAGAACAAAGATTTATCTAGCATTAAATTGATTTTCTGAATCCTTGGATTGCCAGTTTATCGTTGTGGAGCGAAAAAAAAGGTTATTATATTTCTTGTAGGAAACTAGACTGAATTGGGACTGACACTTAATAATACAGTTGGAATTAGACATTCTCAGTTCAACCCGATTATCTACTTCAATGACATACAGTTGGACACTTTCTGAAGAAAGGCGGACAAAGATATCAATGAGGAGAATACCTTTGATCATCAAAGAAAATGAAAATGACTAACTAATTAATGAAAAGATTAGGCATCAGAAAGAGCTAGTGGTGAAGAAAAATAAAAAGAATTAGGGAGGTAGGGTGGCCGAATGGGCTAATGCGTGTGCACAGCACCACGAGTTGCCCGGCAACCAGATAACCGGAGAAATGGGATATTAAAAAAAATATGAGTTCGCGTCCCGGGGAAAATTCTGTACAGCCTAAAAGACAAGATAGGGAAGAACAGAAAAAAAGAATTATGGAAGAATAATATGCAATTTCTTTTTTTACTGTCTGCATTTCTCGATCCTGTCATCGGTATATCAACAATAAAATCTGAAACCAGTATTAATAGATTAATAAAGCTGTATAGCCTATTTAAGAAGTTATATTTTATGCTTAAGAGAACAAAAAACATCAGTTACCAGACAGGTGTTAAATGACCTTCATTGTTATTCTTGTTTTTATGGTGGAACATAAACCCTAAGAAGTAGGCATTTTTATATTAATTATATTTTGATTTTCTGTGTATTTTAAAATGATTATAATTTAATTAGCTTATATCCAATGAAATAGTTTTATTTTGGTACAATTTATACAATTATTTTTAGCTTAGAAAAATACTTGAAAAGTAATGGTGAGCTTCCAACAGTTAGCTCCAAAAAATATGAATATGATCCTTACTTCTCAAAAACATGTAATAAGCTGTATGAAAAACTAGAAACATCCAAAGTATTTAATTTTTTATGGAAAATGATCAAACCATTTGCCAAGTAAGTGATATCAAGTTTAGCTCTAAAATTTCATCATAAGACTGTTATTAATAATGATTTAATTTTGTTCTGACTATTGAGCTTAATATTGCAGAGGAAAAGTCATATTTAGTCCTAATACGACTACTGTTGTAAGAATCATTGAAAGGATGAAGGAAAATATGATGCCACAATTCCCTGAGCATGATATAGAGTCGTATTTACCTAAAATAGATTTCAGTCTGTACAATAAGGCTAGTGAAAATATTGTGTTTTTAAAGGTAAGATATGAGATTAATTGAAGCCAGAATAATAATTATAAAGAAATTTATGTTATGATAATAAATTTTAGAATTTCATTGATAATTATAAAAATGAAGATGTACTGAAGAAAATGGTTGATGGCACATTAAAAGAAACAATATTGAAATCATTAGATCTTCAAAATAAGTAAGTATAATGTGTTTTTATTATAATGGTTATCCAAAACTTCATTTATTTTTTTCCAATAAGGATACATGTTTTATGTTAGGCTACATAAATCATATGAAAAAATTGAAAAATTAAAAGAAGATACTTTTCCGGAAAACAGAATTTCTTTAGCTGAAATGTTAAAGGTTTATAATTATATTTAATAATTCTTTGATTTTCTTTATGTTATTGATGTTTTTTTATGTATAAAATATACAGTGTTACAGTTCTATACAATTTGAAGGATATCAAACAGAAAAAGAGGCAGAATTGAGAAGCCAATCTCTTTGTGAAAATGATGAATTATTAGTACAAATCAGCTTTCTAAATATGAATGGAACCGAATTAAATCCTTTAACAGAATATAAACTCAGGTACTTCAAATGTTTATTTTTACTCTGTAGGATAAAGTCTTATTTTTTTGGTTTAATACTCCCAAATAAGAACAGGTCAATCAGAAAGTAAGGTGAAGTAGTCTAGTATTGTATAGGTTCTTCTATATTTTATATATATATATATATATATATATTGTAATATACACCTTAATTGAAATCTGTTAAAAATGATTAAATAAATAAATGTAACAGTTAAAAAGCAAGGTAATCCAATTTCACTAGTTCAGGAAAAAGAGAATGGTTGCTCTGTAGTTTCTCCAAAATAGAAAATCCCAAAGAGGGGAGAGACAAAGGTTTTTGTTTTGGCAAGCAGTTGGTGTTTGGCTGGGGTGAAGAGAGGATGAGAGAAGGGGTCCTGACTCCTGTGGGTAAAACCCAGTATTAGTATTACCTTGGAAGTTTTTGTTTGACAGAGTCACTAGTTGTTTGGAATTACAAAAGAGAGGATCTCCCAGGGAGTTTGAGTTGAGTAGAAGAAAGTGTCTCCATTTTTGAAGTTGTGTTAGGCAGAAGATTGGAAAACATTTGAAGACAAATGAATTTAGTGCAACAAAGGAAGAATCAGTATCTATACTTGCCAATCCATATTTGACTTTATTTTGAAAATTAAACAGTGTTTAGTATAGTTAATTTTAGTTTGTCTGAGTTTTTTGATCTGATTGTCAGTAACCCACAACTGAGATAAATAAATATATTAATACTCTTATAATTTTGTTTTTTATTTAACAACCTCTATTTTTTTTTTCGGTTGGCTTATGAAGTTCTGTGACCGTGAGTGTGGTCTCCTGGACTACATCCCGATTCCTGATTTAAAGTACGGGGGAGGGTCATCAATCCTACGCCCGATTAGTGTGAGCTGCCTCCAGCACGCTGATGGGTCACATACCCAGGGGGGTCGAGGAATTTCGGCCAGCGTGCCTTTTCTTGGTGTCACCCATCCAAGTGCTAGCCACGCTCGGCATTGCTTATCTTTGATTACCTATTGCAAGCGCCTTAGCCCGCAAGGCTACTCCAGTCCCCATATATATATATATATATATATATATATATATATATATATATATATATATATATATTATATATATATATATATATATATATATATATATATATATATATATAATGTATAATCTGGCATAGTACTTCTGTCCCACAATAATTTTATATGTGTAAAAAAATAATAATGTAAATGTTCGTTTGTTGAAAATCACTAATCTCCTAAAGTTCTTTACCTATTGCTTTGAAATTTACTAACTATAGTCAAATTCAGGAGTTTTTTTTTAACTTACAACAATCTATACAGGTCATTGTAAGCTAAATTACCATATGTTCAATCTCTGAGTCATGACGAATCCGCTATGCATATTCTGTTAGGAGGAGAATGAAACAGCCTTTCACATCGTGTGTAGATGCGATAGATTCACAATGCTGAGACTGGTATTATTTGGGGAAGAACGAATGGATCTCCCCAGTAGCTATGAGTCGGTTAATCCAACCAGCCTGCTTAGAAACGCAGAAGTGACAAGAATAACCTTTTAATTAAAAACGACTAACTGAAATTGGCTCACAATGGACCCATTAGGGGTCGATGTGCTCAGGGCCAACACTAATAAAAAAAAAAGCCGCACAGTAGGCAGGTCAAAGACACCTCCCCCTTCTAATTTAATAATTTCATCAATTGCTTCAGCGGCTGTGAAATTTGTTTTCAAGTAATGCCTTAAAATTATGAGAATTTCGTAAGACACTGTCATGTTTCTTCTTTGAAACAAATAACTAAGCTGAGGCTTTTTTTGGAGAAGTCGAATGGGAATAAACAAGCTTAGAGAATGCTCTAAAGGGATTATTAAGTAATGGTAAGTATTAAATAGGATTAAAATATTTACAGTCCTTTGAAATCTTGAATTTGATAAGAGGGCCGTTTTTTTAATTTTTGTATACACTCTATTATTAAGATATAATTGGAAGATTTCAACCACAGAACCTTGAGCCTTTAAAATACCGACAACTTTTGTTTTATATTTTAAATGTAGGATGAACAGTAATAGACTTCCCAAAGATGGAGATATTAATTCATATTCACCCAAAGTTGGCGCTAACTTTGATCCAATAGAAGATTTACATTTCATTACTTTTGGCTTTATTTATATTCAAGATATTATTGAAAAAAGTATAATTACTGAATTGACCGGAAGAACTGATACACCTGGTTACATTTTAAAACAGTTCCCGTACCCCTGTCACACTGAAGATTGGTAACAATAATTTTTTGTGATTAAGTCAGTAAGATAATTAGCATGTTTTTTAACTGTTGAAACTTACAGGTTTATGTCTTCTCTAGCTCATATGTTTCCATTATTTATGGTTTTATCGTGGGTTTATACTTCTTCCATGACAATCAAGAGTATTGTGCATGAAAAAGAAGAAAAGCTAAAGGAAATAATGCATGTGTTAGGCTTGAACAATGCTGTGCATTGGTGTAGTTGGTTCATTGATAGCTTTATACCAATGAGCATCACTGCTTTTTTTTTATCCATATTGTTAGTGGTAGGTATTTCTTAATTATTCTATTTTAAACATTATCATAGTGTCATTATTTTTCACTTACTTTTATCTTTTTATTTTCACTTATATATATACAAAGATCTTCATGCGCCAACCAAAAAAAAAAAATATATATATGTATATATTTTTTTTTTCGGTTGGCTTATGAAGTACTTTGACCGCGAGTGTGGTCTCCTAGGCTACATCCCGATTCCTGATTTAAAGTACTGGGTAGGGTCATCAATCCTACGCCCTGTCAGTTTGAGTTGCCTCCAGCACGCTGACAGGTCACATACCCGGGGGGGTCATGGAATCTCGGGCAGCATGGCTTTTCTTGGAGGACGGTCACCCATCCATGCTAGCCACGCTCAGCATTCCTTAACTTTGATTACCTATTGCAAGCACTGTTAGCCCCCAGCCCGCAAGACCACTCCAGTCCCCATATATATAATGTATAATCTAGCATAGTATTTTTGTCCCACAATAATTTTATATGTGTAAAAAAATAATAATGTAAATGTTCGTTTGTTGAAAATCACTAATCTCCTAAAGTTCTTTACCTATTGCTTTGAAATTTACTAACTATAGTCAAATTCAGGAGCTTTTTTATGAACATTTCATTAACATCCGGCCTTACATTTCGAAATGGTGGACGGAAAATGTGTATCGCATAATCTGTCGCTCCAAAATCGCTGTAACAATTTTAATGAAACTTGGCTAATGTCTTTTCCTTGAAATCCTTTTAATTGATATATGTAACATAATTTCCTGAAAACAAGCTGAAAAAAATGTTACGATAATTTCAAAATTTTATTTGTGAACAACTCAAAAAGTATACAATTTTTTCTTGATTTTACCCATAATTATTTGAAACCTTCTTGAATTCCCTGCAAATAAAAAAAAAAATCATCGAAATTGGCCAATTCAGTGCAGAGATATAGAGTTTTAAACGCTCAGAGATATAGGGATAACGCCTACTTAAAATTACAGATAACTTGATTTTGTACTGATATGACATGTTTAATCAAAACCATTAGATCTATTTTTGAAAAATTGTAAAAATTTGTAAAATCCATGAAGTGCCATTTCTAATTAGTCGATTTTTGCGAAAAAGTTGCTGTAACATCCCAGGCATATACCTATCTTTTGTTTTTTTGAGCTATATTGTTCACAAACACTTAGATCATTATATGAAACTTAGTTTTTTGAACTTAGAGACCTTCAAAATGTGTATTTTCATTGAAAACTCAGCTTTGAAATTTTTCAGGATTGCAATACTTTCCCTTACTATATGTTTCATATATAGTTTAGTAAAAGTAAAAGTTTACTGGAAGAATCTTTTGATTTTTTTTTTTAATCATGAAACATTATAACTCATTAAATAATAGTACATCATCAAGGTTTTATTAGGAAAAAACAACATAATTTTGATTTAATGTAATGTATGCAAAAATATATCATAAAATAAATTATGTTATCTGATCGATCTATATATCAGTTTTTAATAGTTTATCTTAATGGTTTAGATTTTTAAACTTTTTAAGTTATTTATGTTTCTCTAGAATCTCTTTTCGTTTATCTTAAATATGTCTCTAAGTTTTTTATTGCTTTATTTTTTCAGAAAGGGAGAATATTAGCCAATACTGACATGTCCTTAGTAATGATCCTTTTATTGTTTTATACTTTTGCTATTATATCCCAATGCTTTCTCTTATCAGTGTTTTTTTCAAAAGCAAATGTTGCAGCGACATGTGGTGGTATTATTTTCTTTGTTACTTATTTACCATTTCCTTTTATTGAATATTGGGATTATTATCTTTCTGGATCAATAAAAATCATTGCAGTAAGTTGAATGTATTTTATCTTTGATTAATAAATTGATAATGTTTTCTGTTTACAAATATTTTCTTCATTTTAGTGTTTGTCATCAAATGTTGCACTGGGAATCGGTTCAAAAATCTTAGCCCTTCAGGAATTGAAAGGCACAGGTTCTACTTGGCAAAACTGGACACACAGTCCTCTATTGGAAAAGCGAATAACATTGGCTCTTATCATAATCATTCTTTTAGTTGATTCCATCCTTTATTTTTTACTTGCCTTGTACATTGAACGAGTATTTCCGGGTATTATTGAATTTTATTAAGTTAAAATAATTATCTAATAAGATATTTAGATACATGATAGTCCAGCACGTCAGAGCCGTATGAATATACGGGCAAAGGAGGGGAGAGAATATATCTGAGAATTCAAAAAGTATTATAATTACAATAAAAATGGAAATAAACTAAAGCTTAATAGGTTTTAATTCAGATACATTATTATTTCAGAAAATTTCTCTGAATTTTGTGAATGTTCCTAATGCTTCCTAGAACAATGGATTAGTCTATTCTCAGAGTAATGATTCTCGGTCTGAGTTAAATTTATGCTGATATTACAGAGTAGTCAAAACTGTTAACTGGTTTAGTATGATCATCCGATTATGTTTGGAAGACTGACAGCTTTTCCTACTCTGCAATGTTAGTGCCCGATAAAGAAATAAAATGTAATGGACACCAAGGCCTAAAAAGAGTTATAGAGTTTTACTGTTAATTTAATACTATTTTGCAAAAATTTTAATTACAGATCCTTTTATGATTTATTACATATCCTAAAACAGTAAATGAATGAATGCTGTATACTAACCAATATTGAGTATTTTGCTCAAATACTTGCTGTTTTTGAATTATAAAAAATTTAAGCTTATGATATAAAAAAATAAATAAAAAGCTTGTGATATACAACCTACCGATTTCTTACCGAAACGATAACAGCAAATTGGGTGGGACTATCTTTGAAAGTTTGAGCCTGATTTTGAATTGATTAAGCTACAATGTAATAAGGCATTCTCATCTTTATTATCCTTGGTAATTAATTATATATATGAATTTTTCATGTAAATGCTCAAAAATTATTTACCAAAACGGTTTTAGTTGTGTGTAAATCATATCCCCTTTAACTCACCCTTTATGTTGACCTATTTATGGTTGCATTTGTTTTGTTTGTTCATGGAGCTTGTTTTTTATAAATAAAATTTTGAACATAAAGCCATAATTTACATTAAGTTATTTCATATAGTTCTCTCAAATTTTTTTTTCTTTATTATTATTTGTAGGTAATATAGGCTTGCCAAAACCATGGTATTTTCCTTTTGTCAGAAATTATTGGATCAGAAGAAGAGATATTCTTAGAATAGATTTCAAAACAGGTAAAGAAATAAAAAATCTCTCTTCTTTACAATTAAAATTAATAACCAAAGATTGAAATTACTCTAAATAAAATCGTGTTCAAAGTATTTGATATTTAATAAATTAGATAATAACGTTTTCAATGGATAATTGTTAGACTTGTCAATGAATTTAATTCAGATTCCAACGATGACTCTTTGAGGGAGAGGGAGGTTTGTTTTTCTTGTAGACTTTTCCTCTTCCTATAAGTTAATATTGTTGCCCAAAAAATCATAACATTTTATTGATGATTAATCCTCATAATGAAAAAAATTATCTTTTGCTAGGGCTCTAACTGTATACTTTTAATAATTATATTACTAATTTCTTCATTTGAAATATTTAGATGAACAAGAAGTAACATATACGAATGAACCAGAACCTACAGATCTCAAGAAAGGTGTTGAAATCATAAATCTTTCAAAAACGTATAATAATGGGAAGCAAGCTATATCAAACCTCAATGTCAATTTCTATGAAAATCAGATTACAGCATTTTTAGGAAGAAATGGGGCTGGGAAAACAACAACGATGTAATTGGAAGTAACTGAAATATTTTTATTTGGTCATTTGTCTCAAGTCACTGGAGAATCAGCCTAAGATATTTTGAGGTCATACTGTTTAATTACTTAATGATCCTCCTCTTTCCCCCAAAAAATATCAGTTAAAAAAAATTAAACTTTTTAAGTTGCTGTATACTGCTTTATATTTGAATTGTATTTCATCCAATATATCTCAAATTCAGTTGATTTATTAATTTATTAATAAGCTAAAATTAAGTATTCCCACAAGCTGTAATTTTTTATAATTCCTCATAAAGGTCAGAGATCCCTTCAGGTAGACATCCATGAATGTGGTCCCGAGTTCCTGGTCTTTAGGCCTGCACTGAGTGATTTAGTGATTAGTGACCTTTTTTTTTTTTAATTTTCAAAACAAAAAGAAAGTTTGAATAAATATGATAAATTATATTACATAAAACTCCACTTCATTAAAGTGTCACTTGTATATGTGTGAGTAACAATAATATTTATTTCAAGGAAATTAATTAAGGAAAATTAATTTATTCGGTTTTGGCCATGAATTTTATTATAACTTAATTTTATTATAAAGAGATTTTAAACAAAAATATCTTTTTAAGATAATTTCAGTTAAATCACTTTGCATTTATTTTCAGATCCATCCTTATGGGTCTTTTTCCTCCCTCTAAAGGAACTGCTTTGGTTTATGGACATGACATTCGCAATGAAATGAGCACAATAAGAAAAAGTCTTGGAGTGTGTCCCCAACATAACATATTATTCAAAAAGTAATAATACAATTTATTTTATATTCAAGATAACAATTACTTCTATTCCACTTGTTATTTTTACTTTCCTTACTGTGGTACTTAATTTCTTTAGATAGGTGTGAAAGATATATTAAATTACAAATTTTTGGTATCCAGTTTTCAAAAGATCATGACATTGCTGAGTCTACTTGAGTACAAAAAATTTCTGGTCTGTCGGTGCCTCAACTAACTCACTAACAGATGAACTTATTTTTCCCTATAGATCTCCCACTCTCGTGGTACAAGTGGGCTTAAACTTCAAAAGTATTTAAATTCTCATAAAATAAAAACAAAGTTTATCTAATTTGGACCAGTATTAACGCAAAGCAGTGTTATAGATTTCAAACCCGTTTAGTTCAAATAAACGGACAGTTGGTAAAGAGTTTCTTAACTCGAACAGCATCATTTTAATGATGTTTAATATGTTGAGTTTTGTGTCAACTATGATTTCCGACAGCATTATTTTTCTGTTACCATTTAAAGAAAACTGCTTCAGAATAGCATTAAATGCTTGTGCAAGCTAATGTTGAGTATGATCTTGGTAAATCGGTGTTTTGAATGGTTTAAAAAAATTCAAAAGTGGAAATTTTGATGTGAGAAATGAAGAACATAGATACCACAAAAAAAAAAAAAAAAAAAAAAAAAAGTGTAATCTATTGTGAGCTGCCAAAATGTGGTGAAACCATTAATACTAAACACTGTCGACAACAAATGATCATTTTGAATTGAGTATTATGTGAAAAATAACCAAAATATCAAAAAAGGAAACATAAATATGATTTTACTTTATGATAATGTACCATCACACACAGAAAACCCATTGAAGGAAACAATTCAGGCGTTCAGTTGAAAAATACCAGTGAATGCGGCTTACTTATCAGATTTATCTCTTTCTGAATACTATTTATTTGCATCGATGAGGCACACACTTGCTCAGCATTGCTCCACTGCTTATGAAAAAGGTTTGATGGTGTCTTAAACAATCCAAAATTATATATATTTCTTATTAATCTAATTTAAAATTTTATTAATATCAAATGGTAACCTTTATTTTTTAATAATTTATTGATTCAATGTAGGTTTTAATTATCCATTCTTCAAGAACTTTTATAACATATCTAACATAGGTGGGCTATAGTAATCTTTCTAAAAAAAGTTCATATTTGTTGTTTCTTATTTACACAGATGTCTCATTCATTTATATTTGTTTTTTTAGTTTTACAGTAGAAGAACATTTATGGTTTTTTGGAAGACTTAAAGGCCACGATCCTGGCAAAGTGCAAGTAGAAATCCAACAAATTCTAACTGATCTTAATCTTTTTGAAAAAAAAAATTCTCTTCCCATCTATTTGTCTGGTGGTTTGAAAAGGAAATTAAGCATTGCTATTGCATTCATTGGTGGTTCACGGTAAGTTTTCTGTTTCTTTTTTTGTTTTTGAGAGTTTGAACAATGTTAAGAAAGACACATAATGGGGACTTTAAGGCTAAGTAGTCACTGAACACTTTTTTGTTTGGTCAATAAATAATTCCAATGCTGAAAAAGTTACTTTAAATCATTATCAGTCTAAATTTGTGATCTAAAAGTTGCCACATTACTTTTTAAAATGGATTTCAAAGAAACTCCTTGTATAAAGAGGTAAATATCTACCGGGTGCACCAAACTAGTATTAAGTCAACATAATAAAGGTCTTTTATAATCAGACAAAGTCAGTTATAATCATTGGTTATTAAACCATCACTCGTGTTGGTTTAGTTGTTTAGGAATTTCCATGATAAGACACCAAAACAATTTTCACCTTCAAAACAGAACGGTTCATATTTTTTTTTTAGTTACCTTTACAAAATGAGTGTAGTTAATTAGTTAGTTAGTTATCTTTACAAATTGGAATCCTCTCTCCAGATAAAATTCGATGTATGTCTTTCACAGCATTATACATTCTTAGTAATAATATTTGAAATTTTTAGAGATTTTAATACCTTTGAAAGAGAGAAGAAAGCTCTGTCTACGCTTGTTAAATGCTGGTATATTTCTGATCATTGATCTGTGATTGATGTTATAGTGAAGCCAAGGCATTTGAATTTATTTACTTTTGGGGATGATTTCTCTTCCATACAGATCCTATTGTTGGGATCGATTTTTGTCTTACTATTATTTATTTTGTTTTATCTTCATTTAGTTGAATTTGCTGTGCTCCTCTTATCAGAGTTTTAGTGAGTATCTCTATGTTGCTTCCAAGGACTATACTACCTGCATATCCTAGAATTTTATGATTCGTTCCGACCTGCATCCCTCCATTTTTATGTGATGTTGTTCTTATAACATTCTCCAGTCCTAAGATGAACATATTCGGCGAGAGTCTATCTCCCTGCCACAAACCAGTTTGAACTTTTAAGGCTTCAGATTCTTCTCCTTGTATTAAGACTCGACAACGAGCGTTTCTTATTTACATTTTCTTTAATCTCACCAGCTTATCAGGTAGTCAGGTACCAGCTTAGTCATGATTTTTCAAAGACAGTTTCTGTCCATGGAATTACAGGCTGCTTTGAAAAAATGGATTAGGTAAATACATCCTGAGCTACTTCTCATAATTTTTTGAGCATCTGTTTTAGAATGAAGGTTTTGTCTATTGTGCTCCTTTCTCTTCTGAATCCTGCTTGGTGGTCAACAGAAATAATTACACTACAATAATATGCTTCAGTACCATGTGAGAATAAATATGGTGGTGGTCTGTGTTAAAGTAAGTCATGTCTCATTCTCTTCTTAGAATATCTTTAAAAATTGCAGTGAGATGAGTTGAGTGAATAAAGGAATGGGATACATGGGTTTCGCTATTTTTTATTCAAAAATTGGTACTTGGACTGGGCTCAGTAAGTAGCAGCATTATTGTGATGAAAAACTAGTCACTCAATGAATTTCTAGTGTTTATTGTTGGTACTATATGATCCATGATTATAGGCTAACTCCAATAAATTATCTCCTTATTAGAGAGAATAAATTGTGGGATGTAACGGTAATAAGGCTTTGATGTGTGTTTGCATATATGTTTTATATTATTAATAAATGATTTAATTTATTTCAGAACTGTGATACTAGATGAGCCTACAGCTGGTGTTGATCCTTATTCAAGGATTGGAATATGGAATCTACTTCAAAAACACAGGAAAGGTATAATTTGGTTAACTTTGTGGACTAGTTTTGCATTAATAACTTTTTTTAATTCATGTTGAGAATATTATGTTCTCCCTCATAATTTTTCTTGTAGAATGATGATCAGGTATGTCTGATTTGATAGGTTTCAACCTCTGGATTTTTTGACACCTCTTTCTAGTATTCGAAATTCTTGGTTTAACTCTTACAATACTCATATAATGATTATGGTTACCATTGACCTTACTATAATTGTTATTTTGTATTTAGAGGAGAAGAATTGGGTTAGTTTACTGTAATAATGTATTATTAGTAACCTGACTGTTATTTGTTTGTTAATTGTACGTATTTGTTATTCTTAAATAAAAGTTTCAAAGGGCGAAAAAAGTAAAGTGCATTATTGTGACAGAAAAACCAACCATCTAACTACCACAAATCTCCTACGAATAAAAGCTCTTTTACAATTTGGTTTCTTTAACCCATGAGTGGACACACTATTGCATAGACTACAACAACTGGACTATAGAATAGAAAATAGAACTTTATTCGGGGACTAAGTCCTCTTAGAATAACGAAGATGAATTAATACAAAATAAAATACCAATCTGGCCAAAAACTAACTTATAAAAATTCTAACATAATATACATTATTTAAAAAGTAGTATGTAACCACTAAGAAATAAACAAAAAAAATATACACATATATAAACACACACACACACACATATGGAGACGTGAATCATCGACGGAGACTTCAGAAGAATCTGCAACCACCGAGACCGAGGAAGAACCAGAGGACCCAGTAAGCCGGGAAAACGAGAGGAGCGGAGAAGGGAGGAGAGGCAGTGGAATAAGCGGACGGCGGCCAGCAGTAGAGAGGATCTGAGGAGAGTGTCAGGCGAGAGGTGACCGCACGCTAGTAAATTATAGCATTCAAGGGAAAAGCTGCTGGTTACCAATAATAGAGGCGAGAGGAGTGAGGTGCCTGGTAGACACCGGGAGCTCCAACACCATTATGACGCGTGGAGTGTTGGTGAAGCTGTACGGGGGAGAGAGGACACTCCAAATCAAGGTATGTAGTTGTAAGTTAATCACCCTGGGTGGCCCGTGTGGAGTGGAAGGGGAAGTGGAGATAGGATTGAGGGGATGGGCGGCCAGGGGAGGTAAACTTACGGTGCATGTGGTGGGAGAAATGCCCCGGGAATATCAGGCAATTATAGGTTGTGACATGCTGGGAAAGGTGGGCGTGCGAATCTCGAATAGAAGAAAGGAGTGGAGAATAAAAATAGGGAATGTGAACTATACGAGCAGGGCAGCAATAAAGTATGAGGTCGATAGGGCGCGTATAGGAGCTATAAGTCGAGCCGAGGATTGGAGAGTTACAGTGAGAAGGGAGTTCGAAGACGTTTTCTTTAAGGAGGGGGATAAATTGGGGGTGACAGGTAAAACGGTGCACGAGATCCCTTTAAAGCACGAGAGGGTGGTTTACGTGAAAGAGAGGAGATATCCGCAGGCGCTTTGTCAACACATTAGGGAAGAGTTGCAGAGTTTAAAGAACCAGGGCATAATCGTGGATAGCACGTCGCCGTACAACAGTCCGCTGTGGGCAGTGAAGAAGAAAAGCGCACCGGGAGAGAGTAAGGAGAAATACCGAGTCGTGATCGATTACCGCAAATTGAATGAAAATACGGTAGACGAGAAATATCCAATCCCGAAGTTTGAAGACATTTTGGATAGGCTAAGCGGGGCAATGGTGTTTAGCACTTTAGACTTGAAGGCAGGATACAATCAAATTCGAATGCTCCCAAAAGACCAGCCGAAGACGGCATTTACATTTGAGAGAGGGCACTACGAATTTACTAGGATGCCGTTTGGGCTCAAGAATGCCCCTATAACATTCCAGCGGTTGATGGACGAGTTTCTCAGAGGAATTGATGAAGAAGTCTGTCAGATTTACATGGATGATTTGTTGGTGTTTAGCAAAACCGAGGCAGAGAATGTGGAGCACCTACGGAGTGTGTTCGAGAGAGTGAGGCAATTTGGGTTGAAATTGTCAAACGAGAAGTCGGTGCTGGGACAAGACCGTATCAATTTTTTAGGCCACACGATTTCAAGCGAGGGAGTCAAACCAGACGTTCAGAAGGTAGAGGCAATTCGGAAAATGGAGATCCCTCGGGACGTTAAAGGGATTCGCAGGCTGTTGGGTACCCTCAACTATTATAGAAGATTCGTGCCCGAAATGGCGGAATAGCTCGTGCCCCTTAACAACTTATTAAAGAAAGGCAGAAAGGTAATAGTGACCCCTATAATGGAGGATAATATTAGGAGATGCATGGCGAAACTGCAAGAGGAACCAGTGTTGGCATTTCCGGATTTTTCGAAAGTATTCACCATCACGACAGACGCTAGTGAATACGCGTTGGGGGCGGTGTTGTCACAAGAAGGGAATGGGGGGGAGCGCCCCGTAGCGTATGCCAGCAGGTGGCTTACGGACGCAGAAAATAGATATAGCGAGCTGGAAAGAGAACTGTTGGGGATTGTGTGGGCGATCGACCATTTTAGACCCTACGTGTTTGGGAGGAAGTTCCGTGTGCACACGGATCATAGACCTCTACAATGGGCAGGCAAGTTGAAGGAGTCCTCGGCTAGAGTCACAAGTTGGAAGGAATTCCTGACTCAATACAATTTGGACATAGTGTACAAGCCTGGGAAGGAGAACGTGGTGGCGGATTGGTTGTCAAGGGCTTTCACCATAAATGCTATAGAGGAGGACACGGGAGAATCATCCAGGGATGTGAGGTAGTTCCTGAGTGAGTGGACGCCAGAGAAAGAGGGAGGTCAGATCGGGGATGATTCCCCAGGACATGATTGTCCAGAAGAAGAGAGATCAGCGGATATGGAAGAATGGGAGGAAATCGTCAACGATAAGAACTGCCAGATTATCTGGAAGACCAGGACGTCGGGTCTGATGAAGATTCTATACAGCAAATATGGAAACAGCCGAATAACAACCATTTGGTCACAACCAGGGGCCAGCGGGGACCAGATCTACAGAGCTTTAAAAGACGCGTCTAAAGCAAGGAAAATTCACCACTTATATGTGGGGAATGAAACGATTTGGGAGAAGATAAAAAGGCTGTGGCGGGATGAACGATTGGGGATAGATAGGACATTCATCCAGTGTAGTCTGATGGTGGAAACGGTGCGAGACGAGGAACGACAGAAAGAAGTGACTCTTGCCTACCATCAGGGCAAAACGAACCACCGCGGAGTGCTGGAGACATTCCAGGCGTTACGTCGTAGGTATTTCTGGTGGGGTATGAGGAAAACAATCGAGGAAGTTATAGGGGCATGTGAGATTTGCCTAAGTACGAAATACGATAGACACCCCCCCAGAACAATGCAGGAGGAGACACCCACAGTGGAGGCACCGCTCAGCGACTTGCAGGTGGATACGTTCACGTGGAAAGGGTACAAGTGGGTCACGCTCATAGACCTCTTCAGCAAAGCCGCGATGGCAGACCGGGTGCAGGATCGATCAGCAGAGACAGTCTTCGGAGCCCTTCAGATGTGGTTCCAATTTTACGGAGTGCCCGATCGCATAACGTCCGATGGGGGTAGGGAATTCGACAATGCTAGGATCAGAGAGGAAATGAAGAGCTTAGGGGTGAAGTGGCATTTCAACACTCCGGGGCACCCTAAGGGTAGGGGAAGTATAGAAAGACTGCATAGCACTCTCAGTGACCACCTCAGAGTATACCAGGTGGAAAAAGGGTTGGAACCGGACATGGCAATGCGGAAGGCGGTGGCAGCATACAACCATTCGATCCATACGGTAACGGGGTTCTCTCCATTTGAAATCCTCTTCGGACTACGCGGGCGGCAACGGGACTGGGAAAGCACAGCTGTGGATGAGGAAATGACGAGAGCAATCATTAGCAATAAAATGGAATTGGGCAATCTGTGGGAAAAGGTTACAGGAAAGATAGAGGAAGAAAAGCGTAAAAGAGTGGCGCGGGAGAATTTGAAAGTAAAGGAGATAACAGGGGGATTGAGGATCGGGTCCATCGTGTATCGCAAGATAGGGTCTAATAGGGGGAAGAAATTGCGGAGATATGAGGGGCCATTCAGGGTGATAGTCATTAGGGAGCATAACGTCGTGACTATTGAGAGTGTCAAAGAACCAAGGAAAAGAAGAACGGTTCATATAGAACAATTAAAACTCCCAATTTCAGAGCCAGAGCAACCGTAGAGTTGGAGTGCCCTCATCTCCGGAAAGATAATTTTTTTTTTTTTTTTTCATGTATTTCAGGAGATTATTTTTATTTCTTTTGTTTTCTATAGTGTATATATGTGAAGAAACGTGCAGTGAAATGTGTAGTTTGTTTGCAACGAGGACAGTGTATTTTGTTTGGTTATTTATTATGGTATATGAAATTTTTTTTTTTGTTGTTTGATTACATTGTAAATACTGAACACTCCGTAGCTTTGCTACAGTAGGTGCAAGAATTTTTGTAGATATGTATCTGTTTATTTCCTTTTTGTTTTGTTGATTTTATCCATTAGTTTACGAAGGATGTCCGTAAACTGGTGGGGGGGAGTTAAGGTACGGAGCGGGACAGTATTAGCGTTAATACCAAATGCAGTGATGTAAACAATCTCAAAATGTATTTATAGAGGATTAGAAGGAGAAATAAACCAGTCTTAATTTCGTCTTCATGCGTGTTATTTCTTAACCCTAGTACTTTTTTTTAAGTGTTTCAAGCTCGCTACGCTTAACTTATATATATATATATATATATATATATATACACACATACACATACTTACTACACATACACTTACTACACATACTTACTTATTATACAATAAAAAAAAATAAAAAAAGACAGAAAAGAAATTACATATCTATATATACATAACTGCACAATTTATAAACAATAGGCTATCTAATAGAAACATAATTTAATACAAAATGTAATAATATTTACAGTGATTCATACAATAATAAGGAAACACTAAGATAAAATAAAATCTCACGAATAATTGTGGTATAAGGGTAAAAAAGGAACTATATATACGTACTTACTCATATTGCTACACAGTGAGACAAAAAGTATAAAATATAAACATATATACATAAAAGAAAAAGCACAACCTGAGGTGAAGAGAAATACAAATAAATAGTAAAAATAATAGTAAAAAATCATTGCTGTTTTATGTTAAAACTTAAACTGTAGGCATCACCATTTACTTCTCACAAATTCAGTTCATAAAATGAAATTTATGGTTGCGAATCGTCTGTTTGGGATGTGAGGAGATATTGGAAAAGGAGGTATTTGAAGGTTGACAGTGAAGAGGCATGACGGATGTTATGTGGCAAAGAATTCCAATAGGTGACGGAGCGAGCTAAGAAGGAACGTTCATAGGTTTTTGTCTTGTGTAATGGAATATAGAGGTCAGAATCACGGGATCTCGTTTTTATTGAGTGGACTAAAGGTTTCGGCTTGAGGAGACAGTAGATATAGGAAGGGTGCTGGGAGTTGATCGTTTGATATAAGAAATTTCCAAGGAAGTATAGGCAGGTGGGACACATGAGACCGCCTCGAAGTGCCGAAGACAAATCTTAAAAAACAGTTCATGATTCTCTTCAGTCTGTCCTCAAGCTCCAACGAGAGGCCACCATATACCACACAGCCATAGTCAAAGTAGGGGAAAATCAATGAGGAAACGAGGAGCTTGCGGATAGGTTGTGGGAGATGCTGACGAGAACGATGAAATAGTTTATGTGTACCAATTGACCTTCTGGAGATATGAGCAATATGGGGTTTCCATGATAGGTTTTGATCAATGGTAATTCCTAAGTTTTTTACAGAGGAGGTGAAGGAGATTGGTTGGTCATTAATAATCAAGGAAGGAAGGGTGGAGATGGATCTAAGGAGGGAGTTGGAACCTATAAGAATTGCCTGAGTTTTTGATGCGTTTAAGTTTAAATTATTGAAGCTTGCCCAGGCACTGATCCTATCTAGGTCTTTCTGAATATTCATAAACGCTTCTAATAACTCAGTGGGCGGAAAGGAAAGATAAATTTGGGAGTCATCAGCATATAGATGGTATGAACAATGGTGGATTGAACTAGGAAGGTCATTGATGTAAGAATTAAAAAGGATAGGAGAAATGCTTGAATCCTAGGCTACTCCATGAGACAAAGTGAGGAAAGAAGATTAGGGTTGATTCGGAATACTAACAGCTTGAGTCCTTTCAGAAAGGAAGGATTGGGACCATAGGATAGAACTATTGGAGAAGGATAGTGATTTTAATTTAGTGTAGAGGATAGAATGGTCTAAGGAATCGAATGCTTTGGAGAAGTCCAGGAGTACCAATACAGTCAGTTTTCTTTCGTCAATTGCAGTATGTATGTCGTTTGTGATTTTGACTAAAGCGGATTGAGTGGAGAAGTCCGGGCGAAAGCCAGATTGGAGAGGATCTAAAAGTTTTAAATTGGAAATATGGGATTGGACAATTCTTTCGAGGGGTTTTGACAGATTTGAGAGGATGGAAATTGGACAATAGTCTTTAGGAGATGTGGGGTTAGGGATTTTGTTGATAGGACGGACTAAGGCTTTTTTCCAAGATGTAGGGAAAACAGAATTTTGAAGGGAAAAGTTATAAATGAACATAATTAGGTTCCTTTTACTCTTTTGGGTACACTGGGACCTACACCTAACAGGTATTCCTTGCAAATACTCTCTGCTACCTGATCATCAAATTTGTTATGGAAAATGTTTGAAAATTCATTTGTCACCTGCATTTCCAGTGGTAAATGTCACATGTTACACAACCAGAAAAATATGCAAGATACTCAAAAGCATGGGATATGTATAGAAGCATTAACCATGGATCTCATGAAACCTAAACTGAAACTGAGATCTAAAATTCCTTCATTACCTTCAACTGTTTGAGCTTTACTCCACAAACAATATGGATCTTTAGAACCTTAAATTTCAGAACCACCACAAAAGAAGAAAAGAGATACATGTCAGATATTGTTAGCACTATGTTAAAATAACAAATTTGAACCTGTTTAACATTGCATATCTGTTACTTTAACATGGTGCCGACGAAATGTAAACGTAAGTAAGCGAAATGTAAGTATTTACAAAAAAATACTTGCCCAACTTTAACATGAGGAACATGCAAGACGTTTCCTTGTAAAGAGCATGTTAAAATATGTGGCTTAGAATGTGACAAAGAAATTAAAAGTGTATAAATACACTATATTTGTTTTCTATTGTAACTATTATGATTTTAATTAACATTATTATATTATTTTATAATAAATTTAAATTGCTTGTATTTGTTTCACCTTTTTTTATTTTTTTACTAAACCCTACTCATTTAATATTTATTAAATATCCAACTACGTGATGTACAATCAGCAGCATTAAAATTAAGGGAAAATTTCGATTCAGGTATTGTTTTCTACTTTCTTTAAGTATTGCAGTAATTGATTAGTAACTGTTACAAAAATATACTTAATATTTATTTTTTATTTTCTTTTTGTGCTATTTTAATGTTTATTGAAAAAGTATTAATCATATTAACAAGTAATATCTGGTGATGCAGGAAGAACAATTATCATAACAACACACATTATGTCAGAAGCCGAATTATTGGGCGATAGAATAGCAATATTTACTAATGGCCATCTCCTTTGCTACGGGTCGCCAACCTTCTTAAAATCTAGATTTGGGAGTGGATATGTTTTAACAATAGACTACAAATCTGAGGTAGTTTCAAACGTGATAATAGTTAAACATCAATCTATTTTTGGAAAAAAAAATTTATTGTTATAATTTTTTTATACCAGGATCAGAACGAAGATTTTGAAGATAAGAAGATTACAAGTAAGATTATTTTAGCAATATGTGTTTGAAAATAAATCTAATATTCCCTATGTATAAAAAATATCCTTACAATGTCTTTGTTATTATATTTTATAGATATTACTAAGGAAATTAAAAATTACGTACCTAAGGCTGAAGTATCTGAAAAATTTGGAACAGAAATTAAATACAACTTGCCTAAATTGGGAGGCAGTGTTTACAAATATCAAAAACTTTTTAAGTATTTAGAAGAAAACAGGACCAATTTAGGAATAAATTCATTTGGTGTTTCTGACACAACATTAGAAGAGGTATTCACATGCAAATTTACTTTCTTCAGCTAAAACTTAGTTCTTACTCATCCATTTCTCCTAAATTTTATTGTATCTCACTCTACTACTAATTTGAAATAAAGCATAGATGTTGGCTAGTAAAATTGTGATAATGATATAATCTTTAATTAAATGATAAATGAAGTTATAGCTCTATTCCCCAGAGATATATGACTATTGTATCAATCACTACCATAATGAACTATTAAAGTATTCGAGATGACCAGCCATAACATAATCTTCCTTAATTTTTATTAAAACTTTTTCTTTAACACATTAATTCATTTTTTAACTATTTATAATTCATGTTTTTTATTTTCACTTACATATATATGAAATATATAGTAAAGGAAATTATTGCGATCATGAAAATTTACGAATCTCACTTTTCAATGGAAATGTACAGTTTGAGGTCTCCTGAGTCCAAATAACGAAGTCCCACAAAATTGTGTCTTTGTCTGTGTGTGTTAACAATCTAGCTCAAAAATGAAAAGTTGTATGAAAGTGTATTTTATATGCCTAGGATGTTACAGCCACTTTTTTTATCAAAATTGGCTTACCGGAAGTGGCACTTTATATCATCGATTTAACATATTTTTACGATTTTATTGAAAACCGTTCTAACAATTTTGATTAAATTCTTTATATCAGTGTAAAATTAAGCAGTTTTTAATATAATATAGATTGTATTCCCATTAATGTTCTCTAACAAGGCTTAAATGGCCAAGTTTCCTCTAAAGTACCTTTAATTTTTTTTTATTTGATATAATTTACCATTTCACATTAATCTCTGATATAAAAAATAGTTAAATACAAAATAAGAAAGAATTTGATGATTAACTAAAGGAGAAATAAGAGAATGTTACGGATAATAGTTGAAATGGAGAAACCAAAGGAATACTAGTGTGCCCAAGATCCCCCAAAAGATTAGAACAGGCTTCCATATGTAACATGAGCTTAATATAATACAGACCCATGACAATATTCTGTACATATACATATGCAGTTTTTATAAATGCTCTCATTAGTATTATTTAATATTTAATTGCATAGATTACAGAAATATAAAAATTAAAATTTGTATATATAAGGGTACTTAAGTAAATAAAAATACCCACAGTGAAACATAAATAAATATAGCATTTATAATTTTTACTTGTTCTGAAAATATTTATTTCTGCTAAGAAGAAGGTGGTAAGTGAAAGTCGTGTGATGTGCACACCAGATTTTTCAGGTTGTATTTATCTCTTGTAAGTGTAATCTTTATCTATTGAAAAATTAAATGATGTACAATAAGAATACAACTATTTATTCATAAAAGTGTATTAAATTCAATAAAATTAAAACAAATTTGTACCACCTTTTTCTTTGCTTGGAAGGACTAGAAAATGTACAGAAACCTAAGAATTCATTACATCATTTCACACCTTTTTTTTAAAATATGAATCAAATAAATTAAATATAATAATGGTATGCATGAGCTTAAAAGATACTTAGCATTCCTATAAAAAAAAAGATTTTTGAATTGGTCACTGCCATATTAATTATCTGAGGAGGATAGGGGAAGGCATAATGGTGGTAATGCTTATTGACATATTTTTTAGGCTTTGCCTAAATTTAAATTCAATCTTGAATGAATTCTATAAAAACAACAGAATCAAACTTATGTTTTTATGATATTTTATTTTATAGCTAGTCCTTTTGTTTCATTATTGATGTATTCAGCTCAGTCTAGGCATTACATGTAGACTTTTTGATCTTGTCACAGTAATAAGTTTAGTATATAAGTATTAATATGTTTAAATTTGTAAAAATACAATTTCATTGTTCCATGTAAGCTCTGTCTTAACTTTACTGATAGTGTTAAAATGACTTTTTCAATCATTAATAAGAAAAATCAATGAAAAAAAGAACAGTATTTAATTTATGTCAATATGAACTCTTATAGGTCTTCTTAAAAGTTGTTGATGAAGATGATGATATTGGTGAGAAATTACAAGATATCAAAGAGTTTGAAGGGGAAGATAAAGGTAATTAAGTTTTCACAAGAAAATAATAATTGCTTCTAACAGTTAGAAAATCTCAAAAAATTTATTTAGGCTGTATTCCGATTTGGATTTAAATTGGCCAGTTGTGATTTTTGGAGTTGGGAAACTATCCATAGGCATATCCACCCTTTATAAAGTGAGTATCCTTAATTAAAAGAAAAACATGGCAATCAAATGTGATTCTGGCCATGTCACCTCCTAGTTTGTACAACTGTTTTTCTTGAAACAGTACTTCCTCATCTTGCACCTTAGTGGATTTTATTATGAGATAGGTGTGTTGTCCAGGATTGGGATTGGCACAGGAATGGATGTGAGGAGTGAGGAGGAACCCGATCAGCATGGCTTTTGTCTTCTCAGTGTTTAGAGTGAGCCTTTTAAGGTTTGCCCAAAGTCATGTTCTGTTGATATCTTCTAGGAGTTTTAGGATGGCACCAGAGGAATCAGCCAGATTGAAGGAAAGATAAATTTGGACGTCGTCGGCATTTAGATGGTATTGACAGTGGAGAATAGAGGATGGAAGAAAATTGATATAGATGGAAAAATTGGTGGGAGATAAGGAAGAACCTTGTGGAATGCCTCAGGACAATGGTTGGGATTCTAATATAGGACTGTTAGGAACTGTAATATATTAGGAGCGACCGGTAAAAAAGGACTGGAACCAATTAAGGGCACTAGAAGACAAGAAGAAATTTTTAAAGTTTGAGGCCCCACTATGCCAATAATGATTCATAGAAAAAGATTATACCATCATCCTACCTACAGTTCTTTATGGATGCGAAACGTGGCTGCTTAAATTAAGGGATGAGCAACATCTTAAGGTTTTTGAAAATAAAGTATGGCATGTAATATTCATCCCGAAGAAAGATGAGTTAACCAGAGAGTTCTGATGGTTGCACAATGCCGAATTGGGTGAACTGTATCCAGTTAATATAATTGAGGTGATTACATCACGGAAAAATCAAATAGGTATGTAAAATAGTTGGGCTTAGTAACAAAAGCATTCCTAAAAGGTTGATATTAGCTATACCAAATCGTAAATGTCCGAGGGGTAGGCCGAAGCAAAAGTGGGAAGATTGTGTTAAAGCCGATCTGAAGGAACTGGGTTTGGACAGTGAACAGTGGAGGGAGGTGTGTAATAGGCGATTGTTGGTGTCGGCATTGAACCTCCAGATTTGCTAAGCCTTTCATTTATTATTACTAGAGGAAAATTATGAAAAGAAGAAGAGTAAAAATTAACATCTATTTATTTGCCTTTTTTTTTGCTCTAGTTTCAAATTTCATGACAAATCTAATGGTAGTGTTGACTATCCTCCCAGATGGTCAAATGAACTTGCAGGACATTGTATTCCCAAAGGCTTTTGACTTTACTTCTTTTTTTTTTTTTATAACTTTTTATTTCTTTATTTTTTGTAGAGTTTATCAAAAGTGAAACTGTGCTGGAAAAAAAAAGAATAGATTACTTTAGACATTTCAAAGCATTGCATACTAAAAGAGCGCGACATAGCAGAAGAAACATGATTGCACTAGGCCTACAGGTACTAATCATGTATTAATCTCTCCTTTGTTTCTTTAAGAAATTCGAAGCACAAGTGGTATTAGGGAAACAATTTTATTTGTTAGAACAATATAATATTATCTAGAAATTTTATATAACACACACTATTGAAGAATCTATTTACTTTATGATGACTATGTCTAATTACTTAATAAGTAATTAACTTGCCCTTTTAATAATTTTAGTTTTACGGTTAAGTAAACTATAAGTTTACTATATCCATAAACTGTGATAAATATACCATGGCACCCAGGAGACTTATAGTGTCAACCACCAGAATTATGGTTTACTTCAATAACTGTACATTTTATGGGTTTAGAAAAAGAGTTCTATCATTCTTTTGGAACTTTAATGACTTTTTATTAACGACATACAGATTTAAGAACCAAAACTGGGATGATCACTTACCTAACAAATTCCTTTTCATTGACTCCTCATTTGCATTGGGTTGTCCGAAAAATAATACAGGATTTTGGTTTAAATAGAAAAAAGAAAGATTTACAACTGTTTTATTTAAACAAAACAGTCTCCACTACTATCAGTACTTTTCTGCCAACTTTTCCATTTCCTCAGAATAGAATTTCCCATCTTTTTAATTGATAAACTCAAAAAATGCATTTTATAATTCCCTTTGTCCATTATATTTTTTGTCAGGTAAATAGTAGTCCAGTTGTTTATAAAAATGATAAACTGTAGGTGAGAGGTCCGGAAAGTAGGACGGATGTGGCAGAGTTCCATATCTAAGCACCAACAGTTTTTCTGACATCACACGTAAGACATGCGGTCAGGCATTATCATGCAATGCCCCAGACTTAATTGATATTTCTGGCCATCTGGGCCCCGTTCCGGCCAAGTATAACTCGTAAAACAAAATTATATGAAAATCACGCTTTGACACCTTAGTAAAGACTGAAGTATTTCTAAGCAGCAAAATGCTATAGAGGAAAACAAGCATTATCGTTTGGAAGAGGATTAATAAATGTTGATATTCATACAAATGAATAATCCAGTAAACATAAACAGTTTTCTTTAAAATACCCCTTTATATAAATAGAGGGGTATTTTAAAGAAAACTCAAAATCCTGCATTATTTTCCAGGCAACCCAATAAAATCCCATTCCCAAGAAAATGGATCTATTTTACAATATCACAAATACATGCATACACAGATATATACAAACCTGTAACATAATACATACATTAAGTCATTACATAATTACAAATAAAAGTCTACAATCTTTCTTATCCTCAAAAATTATAATGTAACATAGTTATTCTTGTTTTCAGCTACTACTTCCAGTCTTATTTGTTTGTTTATGTATGTGGATAACTTACAAGTTGCCTCCTTTGGAGCAGCCAAGAGCAATTTATGCCGATCATTCGATTTGCCCTGAATGTCTTGCAGGTTTCATAAGTATCAAAAATACATCAGGTATCTGGACTGAAAAATATATTGAAGAATTGCTAACACCTGCTGGATTTGGATCTAAGTGTGTTTGGAAAAATCAAAAAAAGTAATCAAAGCTTTTTAAATTTTAATGTAATCATTATATAAATTTTATAATAAGACTATACTGCAGGGAATAGCTGATGTGCACAGCTAATGTTTTTTGTTATATCTCCCCTTCCTTGCCTTTAGGTTTTTCCCAGTATGGGGGAGGGGGTATTACACCGAGTTAAAAAATTCCCAAATTCCCACTGGTACCAGGATTTGAACTCGTAATATTTTTCTACCTAACTTCGGTTATCAGGTTGCCGGGCAACGTGCGGTGCTGTGCACACGCATTAGCCACTTGGGCACCCCACCGCCCACACTCATTACACCATAACAGTACACAATACGATAAATTACAGCTAGGAAGCCTAGGGGCCACCCTAGGATGAGAGAGCAAGTCAGGGAACTCTGAGGAGACAGTCCTTCCACCTTGCTCAGAGACTGTGGGCTAATAACTCACACCTCTTAAAACATAACTTATTATAGAAACTGAAACAAGTGAAAACAAGATAGACTCTATGGTGACAAAATTTGGCATGACACGGAAACGAAAAACATGAATCGAATTCTGGAATGTTTGCAGATTGTTTAAGAAAGGAAAGCTGAGGAAGTTGAGATAGAAATGAACAATTATAAACTTGACATCTGGGGCTCAGTGAAATAAGAGGGCTAGAACATAGCTAAGTGATTACAAGAGAATCTAAAGGAGTGGATCATAGGTCAAGCATTGGACTACTCTTGACTAAGAAGTTTGAGAGAAGCCTGATGGATTGGAGACATATTTTGGATAGACTATTAGTTGCCCATTGTAGGTAAAACATTCGAAATATAAGTTCTCTGACGTAACCCTCCAACGAACGTGTGAAGAAAACATACTACCACACATAGAAAGATACTATCCTCAGTATACCCAGAAGTGGCATAGTGATAGTTATGGATGACTTAAATGCAAAAGTCTGTTCAGACAACAAATGATTTGAACACATAATGAGACAGCACAGCATGGGGTAAGCCAATGAAAATGGAGAGGTGTTCAAAAGCTTGTGTGCTGAACATGATCTTGTGATCTGCGGTACAATATTCCCACACAAGAAATGCCATAAAGTCTCCACTACCAACTTTTAGAGAATGTATCTTCAAACCACACTACCGAGAAACAAAGTGATCACTTTGCCATCAACAGAAACTTCCAACTATCACTTTGGACATTACCTAAATAAATTAAGGATGAAAAAGAAACGGCTTAACTTCAAAAAGCTGATATTTCCGGAAACAAGAGAAAACCTGGAAAAGTCCTACCCCTACCCATGACTAATTTTTCAATTGATGAACTATGGAACATTTTAAAATTGAACATACTGAAGGCAGCAAAGACTTGTCTTGACTATGAGAACTCTCAGAAAAAGGAATGCATGATGGACAATACCTGGCAAGAAATAGAGTGTAGGAAGCACTTGGCGACATCTCTGAATGCATGAACTGGCAAGGAGTCGCACTGCTTCCTGTACTGAGTAAGTTAGTGCTAAACTGGGTGATCCTGAAGAGGATCAAACAATCAATCAAACACTATTTGAAGCTGCACCAATCTCATTAATACCCTGCAGATAACCCTGGACCAAAGCGTCAAATGGCAGAGTTCTCCGTACCTTTCATTCATAGATTTTGAGAAGATATTTGAATCAATCAACAAGGATTTCATGTGGAAGCTTCTAGAATGGTATAGGCTCCTCCGCAGCAAGATTATTAATCTTATAAGGAGCCAATATGATAGGTACGAGTTCCGAACAGTCCTTGAAAGAGTGATTTCTATCTCACTAAATATAGTAGAACCAGAGTGAAGCAGGGGATGCTTGCTATTACCAACTTTATTCTGTTATATTTAACTTCATTATGATAGCAATGCTTAGAAGAAGTCACGGTATTCAGTTGCTACTGAGGGATAAACTTGAGGATCTTGACTTTGCGGACGATCTCAGTCTCAGGCAACACAAAAGAGATGAAGACGAATGAGCAATGCTGGGAGCTCCTTCAACTGATAGTTGAGACTGTGAAACAGGTTGACTCCTTTGTTTACCTGGGAAGCGTAGTCACACAAAGGAAAGCCATAAAGAAAGGAAACCGCATAAAGAAAGCCAACAGTTTTTTGTTCAGCATTACCCAATATAGAAAAACATAAATACTTCCAAAAATACGAAAATATGTTTAATGAAGGGAAGTAATTATAAATAGTAACTCTTATTAGCTTATTTTTTTATTTAATGGTATTTTATTCATAAATTGAAGCTTCCCTTGGCCAAACTCCTTCCTCAGTTGGTTCCTCTACTTCTCCCTGTCCATCGCTTCCTCCTCCATCAGCCCTCGGCCCGCCATACTCTCAGCCACATCATCTCTCCACCTGGCACGTTGCCTTCCTCTTCTTTCCCTACCCTCGGCCTCCCACTCAAATGCCATTTTGGGTTTACTATTCAACCTTTTCATATACCCATACCACTGTAATCTTCATTCTTCCATTATTTATAGTATAATATTCTTAACTTCCATCCTTTCTTTAATAGTCTCATTTCTAATTCTTTGCATCCTTGAGACTCTAGTCGACCTCCTTCAAAAATCCATCTCCACAGCTATAAATCTGCTCCGTGATTTCTCGAGTGGCCACATTTCCGAACTTTAGAGCATTACACTCTTTACCAGGGCCTTGTTTATTAATTTCTTTACTTTAGTAAAAATATTTTCTCTCTAGATAACTGAATTGAGCATACCAATGACTTTCTGCCTGTTTGTTAATCTTTTTTCAATATACTTTCTCACTCTTCCATTGCTTTCAAGTGTAGAGCCAAGGTAGCTAAATTGGTGTACCCTACAAAGCCCTTATTATTATATTATTTAAATTTCATTATTTTATCAATTTTGATGTGATTATATATAATATGTTTGTATTGTTACAGTTTGTAAGAAGACAACAAAGCAAGGTAGCAAAATTGGTGTACCCTACAAAGCCCTTATTTATATGATAATAAGATTATCTTATTTAAATCTCATTATTTCGTCAATTTTGATGTTAAATATAAGATCTTTATATTGTTACAGTTGGCCTTTTAACTGCAGGATACCAGATTTTAGGAATGGAAGTAAAGAATTAAAAGATTTAGAAGAGTGCTATTGTTCAGAGCAAGGATCTTATGTCTGTCCACCATGTCATGCCTATCCTAAACTGAATAAGATAATTGTAAAAACCTTATCAAATTAATCATCAATTTCACTTAATTTTAACAAAAGTTTAATTTTATTTATTTTTATGTCACCAGGTCTCTACTGGTAAAGAAATGGTGAATATTACTGGAAAAAACACTTCTCAGTGGATAATGGATACTTGGCATTGTTATGAAAGAATCAGGTTTACTGAAAGCTATTGTTTTCATCTCATTAATTATTTTTTATTTAATTTTATAAAGTCGTGTTTTGGTCATAATATTATTAATCATTCTAAATTAAATATAATTGAAAAAATATATTATTTATTTATTTTTTCTGTTTAATTAATTTTTACTATATTCAAATTTTCTAAGTTTTTCTATCATTGGAAAAACAATGCTATATTCTTGAAATTATATTAAGGACTATAATCCCTTCACTTTTTTTGCCATAACTCTATTTCAATTTCTTATTTTGTCTTTTCCTTTATAACGGAGATATTGTCCTTCACTATGACATCCAAAACCACAGCACATATACCATCATTCCATCAACCATGTAAGAGCTAATTCACTCTTCATAAATTCATACTTATTCGTATGTACTTCAAATTTGCCACAAATGCTTCTTAAACTCTTGAAAGAAGACGTGTAGGTACGAATTGTATTTTAAATTCTGATCCAAGATATTGGTCGTTTTAGTGGTCTAATAATCAAGATTCTTTTATTTTTTTATTATCAAGATTAGTTTATTTCACAGTGAAAAACATATAACTTGTTTTTTTTTTTTTTTTTTTTTTTCACAGTGTGCTATGAGTGGAGAGAGAGTAAAACAAAATTAGATAATTACAATAATGGTGATGAAAATACACTGTTTTAAAATTAAAATAATGAATCAATTGTATAATGGGTTCTGTGGTTATGTGTTTTTTTTTTTTTGTTTTTTTTTTGTTATTTTATGTTCAATTCTTGTAAAAGTTTGACGTTTCCATTACATTAAATAGCCTAAAATTATGCCAAATGTTTCAAGAATTATTTCTGTCATAACAAAGTCTTTTCATGAAAATTTAATAATAGGTTTAAACAAAAAGTGTAAAGTATACTTAGAACCCAGAAAAACTAATTTAAATTAAATAAAGAAAAATAATGAATAATAGAAATAATAAAGTGATCCTCACAGAAATGTCAAACAACAATAGATGAAATGTTCTCTAAGGTCAAAAATGCTAAATGTACATCAGTATAGTGTTTAACTTCATAGTATGGAGTTAACTTTTTTTACCATACAACTCGCTCATCAATTGAATATAACACTAGAAGCTATCTCCATTAGTTGGAAAGCGGGCTTGAAATCGATAATTTATTTTTCAAAAAAATCTTAAAATAATTATTATATTTGATTTTTAATTTAAAAATCATTCCTGATCTTCTTCCTCCTTCTTCCCTCTGTATGGCTATGTCAGGGAGTAAAAAAACAAAGTTATTGGTCCTCCTTAGGTCCTCCAGATTTCCAAACAGCTTGGTCCCAAGATCCTTAGTTTGGGGTCATATCCTTTGTAGCCTCCTTCATAAAACCATAAAGACATGGTCTTTATGGTCTTCATAAGACCATGCTCTGCTGTTAGTTCATTATGGCCACATTCACATAGGAGACTTGGTCCTTGAATGTTTTGAAGAGGTGTGATTTTAGGCTGTTATGTCCAGTTCTGAGACAAAAAATGACAACTTGTTCCCTTCTGGTTAGCTTGAAATAATCGTCATGGGGATTATGATTTGAGTGACTTTCTTTCCACCTTTGGCTTATAGCTGTTTTGTTAATAGTTTTGCATTCCTCCAATCTAGGGATTCTGCTAATTTGGAGGAGCAGTGTTCCTTCTTTGAATTTGAAAACATTAAACTTGGATTGTCTGCTGAGAATTGGCCCATTGCTTATATAAACTTTTTTGTAGACCTTGAGGTATGCTATCACTCGTCTCCACTTACAGTTTCTCAGACCTCTCGGCTACTCCCCTGGTTTTGAGTGAGGACCAGTCTCTAGGTCTTCCCTAGCTAAAGGTATTACCTCTCCTCAGCAACTTGACAATATGCCTGATTTAAAAATAAAAATTTAAACCGTTCTCTGATTTTTGTTGTGAAATAAAAGATAAAATTATAAGAATATTAAAATGTTAAACTGAACATAATAATTATTTTATCTCAAGATATGAGAACTGACAATCATATCAAAAAACTCATACAAACTAAAATTATGAATTGGTAAGCTAACCTTTTTTCTATAAACGCTGTCTCTTCTTTTGAGGCACTGAATTCATTTTTCTTCAAACATTTTCCAATTTCTGTCAAACACACCTTCCAACCACTGAAGCAACAAATTACAAGCAAAACAAAAATCCCTTGCTCTTCCCGTAGCAGCCATTTTACTCTTTGAGGAAACTACAGACCATCCATTTTCTTTTCCCTGAACTAGTGAAACCATTTTTCAAATTTAATCATCCCCTGACATCACCAGAGCTTGATTATTAGCTTGCATTTTAACTGTTCACCATTAATTTATTAAACCATTTTTACTAACTTCCAATAAAGGTGTATATTACAATATATATTTTTTTTTCTATTTTTTTTTTTTTCAGTTGGCTCTACAGACCTTGTAGATCTTTGGCCGCCTGAACCAGCTTTCTCCACCTCTGCTTTTTTTTTTGCGTCCTCCCCTTCCTCGCCTTTAAGGCTATACGGGGTTCTACTGGGCCAGGGAGTGTGGACGGGGATTTAAAAGACTCCCCCGGCACCGGGATGCGAACTCGGAACTATTTTTCATTGTTGTCTCATATGTCAGGTTGCTTGGCAACGGCGGTGCTGTGTACACTCGTTAGTCCATTCGACCACCCCGCCCACAATCTCTACCTCTGCCTATCTTGAGCTACTGCTTTCCAGTTTGGGGCATGAATCTCAGCAGTATCTTTCTTAATCCTATCTATCCATCTGGTTTTTGGCCTCCCATGTGGTCTCTTGCCTACTACTCTGGTATTCATTGTCGTGTAAAGGCGTCCTGATGGATTGCTACTAGCTACATGTCCTGCCCATCATCATGAGCTATTAATTGACCGGTTTCTTTCAGCAGTTCTTTATTGTTCCTTCTCCTCCATGTGCCAAGGTTCTGGTCCCATATAGGTCCTGTTATCCTACCTAGAACTTTTCTTTCGAATCTCGAAAAAAGTATTACTCAAAAATTATTATTATTGTTGATTTTTAAAATTTTGATCAAAAATAATGATCAGAATATGATATATGATTTTGACAGATGATGATGATGATAAATATATGATTTTTAACACTTATGATAAAAAATAAAAATCACTCTTAATAAAAATCATCAAATGATTTTTAAAAATTCATTTGATGATTTTTAAAAATTCTATATAAAATTTTGATCTGATTTGATTTATATTTTTATTTTTTTAGTTAGAAAGCCATAGGAAAGATCTAGAATGTAGGAATATGAGTTTCAGATTAACCGGATAAATAGTTGTCTTTCATTCAAATAAGAAATCCGGATTTGAAGTGTTGATTTGTAGGTATGAAAGAAAGTCATTTCTCCATTGAATTGTGACAGATGATACAAGTGGATATATTTTGAGAATCTTAGGCATCAAAGAACATGGGTAATTCCAGTATCATCTACAGAGAAGCATTTTATCCTGCGTTTTCACCATACACCATCTGACTGGAATAATGGTGAGATGTTAGTTTTCCACACCCACACACACTATCAGTTGACTTGCTGGACCAATCTGATGGATATTGAACTGGCTGGATATTCAAATAATGCTCTCAGTTCACTTCATCCACATCAGTTTCTACACAAACGATACTATAATGGTGTGGCATTTAGACAAACGGATTAATCGTGAATGGAGGCCTTTTGGTATTCCTTCCTTTCAATATGGCTATTCGTTAAACCTCTGAATCTGAAAATAGTTTCTAAACAGCCTCATGAGGAGAGCAGAATAGTTTCTTCAACGAAAAAATTATATTCCGTCCTATAATCCTAAAAATCAATTTGCGAATTAAATTATAATACTTCTAAATGCATAATACAACCAATATTACAGGCCCAAATTATATCAAGATAAGCACCACAGTTTAAAAAAAAAATTAATGTTATATACTACTAATTTTTTCTCCATTAAATAGATAAATTAAAATCCATTGTATTGTCATAATCTTCTATATATATTTTGTTATTTATGTTTTTTAGCTAGTTTGTTTCTTAAAAGGTATTAATCAATTATTATTGTCTTAAAGATCCTTTCCTCATCTCAATCACATATGTGCTTCATTAATATTAAAGGAAACATTTTTATAAATTTAAATATTGCTATCTTATCAGCAATATTAACCTTTAATTCAAACATTTTCCTTTATATCAATTATTTTTACATTTGTAATCATTATAAATATTTGATCAATTTATTCAATAAATATTTTAGGCGAGGAGGCTATACATTTGGGATTGATATCCCTAGAAAAGAATTGAGTTTATTGAAAATGAAAGATCAAAAAGTAGTTAATGAAATGAGGAACAAGTATAATAATTACTCACAGAATGACAACATTAAGGTTACTACAATTCATCAATGTTTTTAAATATTTAATGGTTTGATATAATATGCATCAAAATTTATTCAATTATATTACAGATATGGTTTGATAATAGGTGGAAAATGGCACCCACTGTATATTTAAACAATATTAACAATGTAATACTTAGAGCTTCTCTTCCTCCTAACGTTTCAAACTATTATGGTATCAAACTTTATATTCATCCAATGAATTATACAAGAAAACAGTATGATTATGAATATAGGTAGTATTAATTTATATTTATCTTATATTTAGTTCGATATTGTAAAATAATGAGTAAGCAGCATATTCAGAATGGTTCAGGGGGAAAAAAAATATCTGTCATTTTATCGTTGCTCACTCTCATCTCAGCTTTTATCTAAAAAATATAACACCTTTTTTTTAATATATATATATATATATATATATATATATATATATATATATATATTTTTTTTTTTTTTTTTTTTTCGGTTGGCGCTACAGACCATTAAGATCTTTGACCACGAGATGTGGTCTCCTATACCACATCCCGATTCCTTATTTGAGTACATGGGGGTAGGGCCATCAGTCCTATGCCCAGTCAATGTGAGTTGCCTTCAGTAGGCTGACGGGACTCACATACCTATCTCGGGGGGGGGGGGAAGGATCTCGGGCAGCGTGGCTTTCCCTGGTGGACGGTTACCCATCCAAGTGCTAACCACGCTCACCATTGCTTAACTTTGATGACCTATTGCAAGCGCCTTAGCCCCCACAGCTACCCCAGTCCCTTGTATATTTATATATATAGTTTATAAAGATACATCTTATCTGTCCAAGCCTCCAGGAAAAGTCGCTTTAATCAGTATTGAGAATCTATTCGGGTTCAGGATTCAGAGCGTCAATCTTATTAGTGAAATACATCTTAAATGGTTCTACATCTTAATGGTCATTGCCTGTCTTTTACTTTTATCTTCCTCAGATTATTTACCTTTTGGTAGCTATTCCATTCTAGTATGATGAAAGAAAGTGAGGGATTCTCAGTACACAACAACAGGAAGAGTGTCATATTTTGTTTAAAAGTTTTCTCAGGCTCACTGTCTCTTCTTTTACTCTCCTGAACAAAAATTATCTTATTTTACATCCTCCCTTTCTTAACTTTTTTATTTTGTTTGTGGTTGTTATGTTATTGCAGTATTTGGACTCTGATTTCTGATTCCAACATGTATGAGTTTATACAAAACTTTATTTAATATATAAATATATACATATATTTAATATATTAACAAATACATACATTTTATTCATTCATATTACTCATACTCAAACAATTCTCATGATTATTTATTTAAACTAATAAAAGTTTTTACTTACTTTCAGGTTTAAGGCAGCTTCAGCACTTCTCCATTCTGTTGCTCTCATTTTTGCACTCAGTTTCATTCCTGCTTCTTTTGTCATTTATCTGATTGAAGAAAGAGTCTCAAATTCAAAACACTTGCAATTCATGTCAGGTGTTAATTGGGTTCTTTATTGGGTTGAAGCTTTATTCTGGGACATGGTATTTATTTTGAATCTGTGTATTAAAATAATGTGTAGCAGGTTTATTAAATTTATATAAATTCACATTTATAGCAACTGCATACGGATAATTATAATTGGTCTGTTATAAAAAAAAAATCTGGTATGCATGCTCAACTTTCATTCCATTTTACTTTAAGATAATATAATTTAATTTAATATCGATAGCCACATTAAAAATCCTGTAAGCGCGAAAACTAAAATTATTCATACTACAAAATAAGCGGACATTTTTTAATTTATTAACTATATTTTCTGTTCTACTTTTACAGCATGTTTAGGCCTAAGATATTTTTTATTTTATTAATAACCACATTTTCTGTCAAATTTGTGGTGCATTTTTAAGCTAAAGATGCAATGTTATAAAAACTGTTTTTAGTTTATATTTCTGGATATGCACGAGGCCATGATTACCCAGAAAAGACTGAAACTACACTTTCTAATAAAATTGTACTAACATGTGTTTGGATCCTGACTGTTAATATTGCCATACAAGTTCTATCACTGCCAAATTTTAGTAGCTAATTTGACATCTTTTTTCAAGTTTAATTAATTGGTTTTATTACTTCAGTTATAAAATACATTCGATTTTATCAATTGTGTCAAGATGCTTTGAGATTGACCTAATCTATGAGGCAGTACTGCCCAGGATGAGGTTTAGCCTCCTCAATAGGCTGTAAATAATTCATTTTGCACAAATCTCCTCCAGTTTTCAGTACTAAACAAGCTTTGATCATCTGCCGCCACACCATCAACGCATGTCTTCTAACTCTCTTGCTCATTCATCCTAGCTACATGAACTGCCCAAGTCTAAAAATTTCACCAAAGTGTGATGTAGCTCCTTGTTCTTCCTCATCCTTCACCCATACATCTCTGACTGGGCCAACAATGCAATTTATAACTTTCCTTTCAAAGATTATTAGATCTCTTTCATTGTGCTTGGAGCTAGTAGATAGATGGATCCAATGATTTTTTTTTTTATACTCTTTATCTTGCCATTTCCTGCATATGTGGAAGGAAAGGGTTGTTCTAGAGGTACAACCAAACCTATTCTAACCAGAATGGGATGGTCGAAATTCGATCTGTGTGTCCATCATCAGCTGTGGTTGAATTTGAATGGTGCCGTTAGACTCTAGAAATAAGCTACAGATGATGGGATGATGGTATGAAATTGAAAAGAGGATGGAATATAAACCTGATTAACTTCTGAAAATGAGAACAGCAAATCATACTACCATTCTCAAGCGTTCAATTGAGATGGAACTCCTTGGAACACTGATTGTATCTTGATCTAGCATCTTACACTGTTCATTTTTAACTTAATGAGATGTTTCAATTTGTTTATTTGGACGTCTAAGGGTCTGTTTCTGTTGAAAACACGGATTCATAATTTTTCATGGTCGCTCTACCTTCTCTTACTATATATTTCATATATTAATGATGTAGAGATGGTTGACCGTTGATATAATATGAGAAGGAGTTAGTCGAGGGTGCGGTCAAATAAATAAAAAAATTAAAATATATAAATTATTTTAATTTTTGCCGACGTTTCGACCCACTTTGCAGGTCGTCTTCAGGGCTACAAAAGATACAAACATGTTGAAAAAATAAAAATAAAATAAAAAATAAATATAAGTATATATAAAATACGAAGAAGTTGTCAGATACAGAAATAAAAGATAAAGAAAATAAATACATGATAAGAAAATAGATACAAGAAAATAAATACATGAATGTTAACGAATAAATGAATGTTAACGAATCAATGTTAATTAATGTTAATTAATGTTTCAATCTATTTATTCGTTAACATTCATTTATATTATATTAATATTATTTATATTATATGTGAAAGAAAAATTATTACTTAAACTTTTGTATTGAATACTATATTCTTAGCAAAGTTACATTATAAAATAATTGAACCATACTTACTTTTATGTTACAGGCCTGCTATATTCTTTCAATTGTTCTTTGCATTTTATCATTAATGATATTTAAAGCTGAAGCATATACTAACCCTAAGAGTCTACCAGGTCTAACATTACTGCTTATATTGTACGGGTAAGTATTGGTTATTAATATTTCATAACGGGAAGCAAGGTATCCCCATAATCTTTAATAAACATTTTCTGTTTTATACAAAATTTAATGCAAAATAAAATAATTGGGTTTACAAATGCATCCAAACAGAGGTAATATATAAAAACTCACAGACAATATTTTGAGGGTTTTTTTTTTAAATGCTATTGATTTCTTTATATCCTAAATCATGATTTATTAAAATATTTAATTAACTTAATCCTCTTGATAATAAAATTCAGCATTTTATAGTATCAACGGGAAACCAATATGATTCTTATTTTTCTCCAAATATAGGAATATTACCAAAAAAATGTGAATCCTTTTTGTGTCATTCCACTATTCCACTATTTGTGTATATATTTCCACTATAAATAAAAAAAAATTTAAATTATGTAAGTTCCTGCCAAAATTTCGTACACTCTGATTGTATCTGGATCTTATTTCCCTCATCCATAATTTAATAGTGTGTATTAATGTTCTTTATGATGAAGAAGAAAAGTACATATCATGTGTGTCTTATATACCCATTGCTGCTAGTGGCTTCATTTTCTATGTAGTATCAGTATTACATACTGTTGCTATCCTGTTGTAGTAATGATTAACCATTTTTCATAAATATCTTCAGAAGTAGCTGAGGTTTCTAATGTTTTTCATCTACTCTTCTGATGCTGTATGACCTAATACCTCTTCTCAGTCTCTTGATCCCATCATAGAGATGATATAATGAGTGTTTTGGCACTCATACAACCTTCTATAAAAATTAAGCCATAAAAAAAAAAAAAGCCTTACCATTAAAAATTAGTTTTAAAACATTTTAAAAAAAGTTAATACAACAGGTTTAATTAAATCTTATTCCTAACCTGAATCAGCCATGATAAATTTATATGAATCAATACATATTTAAAATTATTATATGTATTTGATTATTTAATGAATAATTACAATATTTATTTTAGATGGGCAGTTATACCATTAATGTATCCTGCCAGCTTTATCTTTGATGTTCCGAGCTCTGCATTTGTTTCCTTGGCCTGTTTGAACATTGTCTTAGGTGTAACAACAACTGCATCTACTTATGTTTTAAAAGTTTTTAATGATGAGGTATTTAACTTGGTTTAATCGTAAATTTTGTTGATCATTTATTTTAGGTAATATATATTGTGTACTTATCCTATAAACATACAGAGTGTCCTATGACTAGATGAAAATTTTCATCGGAGTGATAGTTAAGTTCTGTTTTTGAAAAAACCATAAATTATTCGCAATTTTTTTTCTCTCATCATCCAACTATACTACAGATACCCCACTTTTAGGAAAACTACTTGGTTTAATAAATTTTAAGTCTGTATCAATTAAGCTTATTAGAGACAAATTGGAGATTCACCTCAAATTGTGTAAAAAAAAATGATGTGATTTTTAATCCTGTCAAATAAAAATAAATTAAAACTACAATTATTAAAATGACTATAAAATAAATACTATAAAAATGACTACAATTATTTTTTTTATTTATTTATTTTTTTGTTTATTTAATGGAATTTACAACTGTATACATATACAACAAGTAAATATGCGCAAATATAAATAATGGCATGTACAGGCTTGAAGAGTTACTACCCAGTGGTAGCACTCTCTAAATAATTTTAAGTAAGAAGATCACGAGGCCATCTCCTTTTCAGACGCCTAGGAGGATTATCAGGAATCGAGAAAGAAGCAAGAGTGGAAACAAGCGGATTTGGATGGGACTGAAGTTTATCATGAAAGGATAGATATCTGGCTCGAGCTAAATCAGCAACATATGGTACATTAAGGTCTTTATGAATGGTTTTATTTGTGACAAAGTATGGAGCATTGAGGATTTTACGGAGGATTTTGGATTGTAAGGATTGGATGCGATAGGAATTCGATGGTTTGGTGGAGCCCCAAAGCTCAATTCCGTATGTCCATATAGGTCTTATTATAGTTATGTAGATAAGTCTTTTGTAATTAATAGAGCGTTAATTAATTTGGAGCGTTTGTCTAGTAAGTGCTGGAGCAGTCGGAAACGTCGAGCAGTATCTTGTCGTTTCAGTCTAGTATGAGGATTCCAAGTAAGACGTTTATCCAAATGGAGTCCTAAGTAGCAGATTTGCTCAACAGGTTACAATTATTTGTTGCAAAGTTTCAATTTTTTGTTTTCCGATGATCTAGGATATATTATAATAAACATGATTGCCTAAATATACTTTTTATTTTAAAAAAACTTAAAAATCATGATTTTTTAATTATTTTTCATGTAAAGTGTTTATGAAACTGTTTTTCACCAAGAACTGTATTATAGAAATTTATGCGTATTGATAAGTGACTAAATAAATGTTTCATACTAAAATGTATGTTTCATGTAAAGAAACCTGTTGATTGCTTCAATTATTTTCATGAAAACATTAATATTAGGATCAGGAACATTTAGTTTGTCCTTTATAAGTTCTGATCAATTTATATAATACAAATCTGAATGAAAAACACAGTTTCATAATCATTATACATGAAAAATCAATTTTTTTTTCACAATAAAAAGTTTATTTGGGCCATCAAGTTTATTATTATCAAGTTTATGATCATGGAAAAATGGGAAATAAAAGCTTTACAACAATTAGTTCTAGTCATGTTTGCTGAAACAGGGGTACTTTTATTTGACAGAATAAAAAATCATATAATTTTTTACACAACTTATCGTGAATTCCAAATTTTTTCCTGATAAACCTCAACTTAATTAATACTGATCTAAAGCTAATTAAATGAAGAAGTTTACCTGAAAGTGGGATATCTGTAGTATAATTGGATGATGATAATAAAATTGTGAATAATTTATGATTTTTTTAAAAATAGATCTTAGCTAAATTTAGCTGATCAAAAGTCCTGTTTAAATAGTTTTAACAATGACAAAATCTACTTTCATTTGAAGTAAATTTTGTCTAGCTTACAGTTAAGCAATCGTTGATTACTTAAGTCAAATATTTCTTTAGTTATCTGTTCCTATTCAACATAAAGCATGACGCTTAAAAAAAACAGCACAAAACTTGAATTTTCTACTTTCCTGCTATAAATTAGCCCATTGTTTATATGAACTGTTTCATAGCTTTTGGAGTATACTATAAATATTATACTCCTATAAATGTTCCCTCAACTCACAGGACATCCTGTATATGGGTGAGTGATTTAAAAATTTCAGGCACATTTGGGAATCAATTTTTTTGAGATAAAAAGTAGAGAAATAGCGTTTTTTGTATTTATAGAAATTTTGATAGTTGTTTGTTGATGGTTAATTCAAAATAATCGTGAACATACTACTATCAGACTTCACTCATTGTATAAAGTTTGATTAAAATTGACTTATCTTTACATGAAAACTAATCCAGAAGGAAGCGAGGTTGTAAAAAAAAAAACGATTCGAGGCTTTTATATTGAAATGATTATTCTCTATATTTATGTGGAAAGAGATCTAGTTTATAAAAAAATCAGAGGAGAGAATCTTGAAGGAATATTGCCCCTAGTCTCAAAGCAGATTATCTATATTCACAATGTTTCTATAATATAATGGTATTGATAATTAAATATGAAAGATGGAGGTATTATATCTCTAATATTAATTTAAAGTTTTTAAACAATCACATAAATTTTAACACCACCGAACTCAATTTGTTATTAAAATAAGTTATGTACCTAACTAGATTAGTATCTTAAAGTCTGATTGAATGGTAGTTATGCATATGTAAAATTATGCAAATTAAATTAATTTTTTTTTTTTTTTTTTGCTATGCTTATGAGAATTTTGTTAAGACATGTTAGAGAATTCATACAACAAAAAGACAAAGTTTGGTTTTTTAATTATTGGGAGACATGATGTAACCAGTTCATCAAGAAATCATGTAATTAACCAAGAATATTAGGTTGTTCATATTGCAAGCCAAAGATAAAAACCAAACGCTTTCCTTTGTTATAACAAAATATAAATTTTTGAAGAAAAAAAAGCCTTCATCCACTCATTACTTCAATTATAATGTTTTAAAACTGAACCATAATTTATTTTTCAGTATCTCACAGAAATTGAACGCGTTTTAAGAAATATATTTGTATTATTTCCGCACTTTTGCTTAGGAGAAGGAATTTTAAAGATTGCTGAAATGCATGTTGTGATGACTACTCTTTCATCAGTATATGGTAAGTGAAAACAGCTTGATCAAACTTTAATTCCTTGATTTAATAATTAATCTTCTTTCATTTTTTTCTTTAAAGGTGTACAATTAGAGACTGATTTATTGTCTATAGAGTTCCTTGGAAAAAATTTCTTATCATTATTTGCTGCAGGAATACTATTTTTTTCTCTTGTATTATTAATCGAAAGATGTCATTCTCATAGATTTCTTCCAGAAATGGCGGTAACTATAATAACTATATTTCAATTTATTTAATTACTATTTCTACCACCATTTCATTTTAAACATTAAAAAGAAGAATGGTTGGGGTGATCAGTCAATAAAAATTAGTTTTTTTTAGAATGGTTTATTTGTTTATTGATAAATATTGCAATCTGTCTCAATAAAGGACACTTATAATAGAGTTCTGAGAGCATATTCACACCATATTTACAAATTAAAAAAAAAATAAAAATAAATAAGCTAATTTCAACACTACAAGCACGGACACTCATGACTTGAGTGGAGAATCTGGCCATTTCCAGAACTCCAATATATACATGTTACAAAAGGTCACTGGGCCACTGCCGTTTTAGCCTGCGAGGAGGATTGTAGGGACGAGTGGTGCTAGATAGGGATTGTGCTACAGGATTAGGATGATGGGTAAGGTTCTGATGAAATTTGGAGAATTTTTGTGGGATAAGATCAAGAATAAATGGAATATTAAGGTCATTATGCAGGGTTTTATTGGTGACATAGAAGAGAGCATTGACTATTGTACGGAGGACTTTGGACTGGAAGGATTGAATGCATTTGATGTTAAAAAATTTGGTTGTCCCCCACAGATCTAGTCCGTAGGTCCAGATGGGTTTTAATATTGTTCTGTAGATCAGTAGTTTGTTTTCAATAGAAAGTTTAGATTTTCTATTAAGTAGTCTATATAGCTGGCCATAACGTCGGTTAAGTTCCTGTCTTTTCAGTCTAGTATGTGGGTTCCATTTCAATCTTTGGTCTAAGAGAAAGCCAAGATACCGGACTGTGCCGGAGAAGGGAAGCTGGATAGTATTAAAGTAAACTGGTGGACAGGAATTATGACGAAGGGTGAAGGTTATATGTTTACATTTGGATTTATTGACTTTGATTTCTTGCATTACATACATTTCTTGCACCAGTGTTCAATCAGGGATAGGTGCCGTTGCAGGTTTATGGGCGCTGTTTCAGGATCTGAGTTAGAAGATAGGATCGCAGTGTCATCAGCGGAAGTTGCCAGGAGTGTAACGGGATGGACGGGAATGTCAGCGGTATAGATGATGTAAAGGATGGGACCCAAGACGTTGCCTTGAGGAACTCTAGCCTCAATTGAATAACAGTCTGAAAATTCTGTACCACAGCGAACTCGAAAGGAGCGGTCGGAGAGGTAGGATTGGAGTATTAAATATAAGGACTGTGGTAGGTGGGATTTGAGCTTGAAGAGCAGTTCGGCGTGCCATACACGGTCAAAAGCTTACGCTATGTCCAGAAATGCACTCGAGCAAAACTGCTTATTTTCTAGGGCTGAGGATATGTGGTTAACAACTCGGAGTCCTTGTAGGACGGTAGAATGTTGGGAACAGAATCTGAATTGATGGGTAGGGATTTTTCAGGAGTCTATTATGGGTAGGATTCTTTTCAGGAGGATCTTTTAAAAAAAATTTGAAAGAATTGGGAGTAGGCTAATTGGTCAATAGGATGATGTATTATTGGGAGGCTTGCCTGGTTTCAGGAAAAGAATAATGGTGGAATGTTTCCATAAGAGAGGGAAGTGGGTAGTTCGGAGGATACAATTGTATATATAGGTTAGAAATATGATGGCTTTGGATGGTAGTTGTCATAGGATCTGCGGGGTTAGAAGGTTGTATCCAGGAGATTTACGAGGAGCGATTTTGCATAATAGGTATTTGATCTCAGAGGGATTAACTGCTTTAGGTGGTAAAGAGAGTGGAATAGGTGAAGAAAGGAATTCTTCTACTTTCACTGTGTGGGTAGGATGAGATTCTAGATGGGGAGTGAAGGTATAGGAAAGGTGCTTGGCAAATTCCCCGGCTTTGTCTACATCAGACGCTGCCCAGGTACCATCACCTCGACGAAGGGGATGGGAAATATGATAGGATTTTAGGATTCTTTTGGTGGTATTCCAGAGGGAATTATCATGAGCAGAGAGTGTGGTGATGTAGGAGTTGAATGATCAGGATCTGAAGTTGGCTAATTATTGTTTTAATTTTTTACAGTGATAATTATAGGAGTGGCGGTCAGTGGGATGTCTGGTGCGTTGCCATAATAATCTGGCATGGCGTTTTTTATGGATTAGGTCAAGGAGGTGTTGAGGTAAATTGGGTTTCTTGAGGATTTTTGAGGAATGATCAGGGGAGGAAGCTGTCCATACTGCTTCCTGGATTTTAGTCGTAAAGGAATGAACAGCATTGTCCAGGTCTTCGGAGTTTTTCAGGGTTGCTTTGAGGTCAATTTTATCGGAGAGGATTTGATGAAAGAGTTTCCAGTTAACTGGGCCTCTGATGAAGGATGGTGGAGAGGGTTTAGGAATAGGAGCTAATGATACTTGGAATATTAATGGGCTGTGGCCTGAGGAAAGCTCATCAAGACGTGCAAGGGAATGGTGGAGGGTACCTAAACCTTTGTGGAAAAAGAAATCGGGATTACGGTTAGGGTCAGTGGGCCAGTAGGTAGGTGAATTGGGAGAAAGGAGGGTAAAACATTGGGAATTGAGTGCAGACAGCAATGTTCCACCACAAGAATTCGTGGTTCTTGAACCCCATTGTTGATGCTTGGTGTTGCACCCAGGATGAAGTGGTTTCCTAAGGAATTTAGGAGAGAGATGAACTGGACATTGAAGATGGAAAGGTTAGGAGGGCAATATGCTGAGGCAATGGTGACAGGAAAGGAAAAGGTTTTGATTACAACCGCAGTGGATTGTAGGAAATCGTGATTAGGCAATGGGAGTATATGATGAGAGAGGGATTGATGTACGATGACAGCAGTAGCGGCATGTGCTCTACCGTCAGGATGGTCTGTATGATACGTTATGTACTGTGGTATTTTCAAAAGCTGTTTTTTGGTCAGTCGAGTTTCTGTAATTAGGGTTACATCAATGTTCTTGTCTAATAGTAAGGCTGTTAGTTCGTCTGTGTGATTTCTAACACCATCCGCATTCCATAGGAGAATGGATATGGGTTTGATGGAAGTCATTTAAGGATTTTTTAAAGGAGGAATGAGATGAGATACCAGGTTTGTAAGAAGTGATATCAGTGGGATGACAAGAGATTTAAATTCGGTAAGGAAGGTTCTCGATAAACTAGTAAGATCTGTGGCATTAGACGGTGGGGGAATGTGAGGGATTTGATATTGGTTAGGTTGTTGAGGTTTAGGTAAATTAGGAGGGATATGATATTGAGGTAGGGATTGAGTTGGTTGTTCCGGCAGGGCCTCACATTCATTAGTCGGGTCTCTACCTCCGAGTAACTTAGCAAAGGAAACTTTAGAGTCCACGATTTTAGCGGGTCCTCTTCTTTGTTTAGGTGTAGCATCGTGGTTCCGGGGCTTGTATCTAGCTTTGAGGTTTTTATAGATTTCACAACCTTTATAGTTGGCTGGATGACCCGCCAATCATAGGGCGCAGACTGCAGGATCTTTTATTGATTTGGTACATTCACCAGATTTGTGTGACTCGCCGCACTTCACGCAGCGCGGCATTTGGTGGCAATATAACTTAGTGTGGCCGTATGCCTGACAATTGTGCCACTGGACGATTTCTTTTTTCGGGTATGGTTTTTCAACCTTTAAAATGGTATAGTATAATCGATGTATGTCGCATATTTTTTCCACCCCTGGTGTTGGCTCCAAATCCACAAAAAATAAGGGCAGTGGAATTTTAGTTCGTACTCCCGGCTGGTCTCTATTTTCTTTCAGAACGTTTGTTATTTGGAGAACATTGAACCCTAAAGCTGTAAGCTTATCCTTGATAACCTCAGTTGGGGTTGAGAAGTGTAAGTTTCTTATCACTACTCTTAATGATCTATCTTTCCTCAGCTGGTATGTGTGAAAATCTGCACCGGTTTCGGTCAAATACTTGATTATTTTTCGATAGGCTTCAGGTGTGGCCGGTGTTATTTTTATGTCACTAGTCCTGTTAAGGCATGAAAAGTCCTCAATCTTGGAGAAACGACGAGCCCAGCTCCGACCTCATCCGTGGCAGAGCCACGACTGCTAGAGTGGGGAGTCTCAGACGTAGCAGATAATGGCAGATAAAGCGATAAGGCACCTCGGACACTGGCTTCACTTTCTATAGAATACAGAGTAAATATCCTACTACTCACTGTGGTATTAGTCCATTGTTGTTGCTGCTGTGTTGATGTCAGCGTTACTAGTTTTTAAGTAAAAAAAAGTAAACTTTTTCCACTTAAAATAAGAGAAACTGTGGGAGAGGATGTAGAAACATGGCAAATCAAATCTAGCGCATGTGCAGAACTGAATAAAAATTAGTAAAAATAAATAATTATTTTTATTTTTGCCGATGTTTTGGCCCAAAGTTCAGGCCTTCATCAGGGCTGGTCAAGTGGAAAGCTGACACAAAACAAAGATCTTGTGTCAGCTGTCCACTTGACAAGCCCTGAATTTTCGGCCAAAATTTCAGCAAAAATAAATATAATTATTTTTTTTTACCGATCATCCCCAACCATTCTTCTCTTCAATTATTCATTACAGTCAAACGTCAACCCACAATTAAACATTAAAATATTCCAAAAACTTGATTTCAGTTTATTGTTTCACAGAATTTGCTTCCATTGGTAAATTTTTCATCCATTATTTCACTTCTCTTTAAAATTGTTTACCTATCCAGTTCCTATTCCTTCCTCAGTCACTTTTTCATTACCCTCTTTATTTTGAATTATTTTATACAATTCAAATTTTATCCGTATATGCTCTTTTCTAATGTTTCAAGCATCTTCTATTAGATTAAATATCACATTTATTGCTTATTAAATATAAAATAACTTGGAAAAGGTAACGTTGGACCCACCTTTACTGGATGATGATGATGTAATAGCTGAAAGAAACAGGGTTCTTAATTCTGAAACTGATGATGTTCTAGTTTTGAGGTGCTTAACAAAGGTATCTTGATCTTTATCTATTCTTTAAAATTTTTTTACCCTAAACAGGTTAACTAATTGATAATGTTTTTATTACCTAATGAAGATATATTCTGCAAATAAACAAGTGGCAGTAAACCAGTTATGTTTAGGAGTGAAGAAGGGAGAATGTTTTGGATTGCTAGGCCTGAATGGTGCTGGTAAAACAACTACATTTAAGGTGAATATCAAATGTAAAATTAGCCTAGAAGTTTTTTCTTTATTTGTGTTCTCATTGCCATATTTATGAGATAGTAATCCTTGATCTTACTACAAATAATTATTGATAGTAGATCCAAGTGTCCAAGTTTCGGAGCCATATGTTGTGACAGATCAAATCAGAGTTTTATATATTTTGACCTTTGAGGATTTTGACAAGTTTCTAGACCAATGTTGCTTTTATAGTGTGAAGCAACACCAGTTAGCAGCCATGATACGTCTGTCTATCTCTTCCCCTATGTCATTCCACGAGTTCATTTGGGAGCCTATGTAGACAAGATCTCGTATCACTTCTATTTTGTGTGAACCCAATTAAACAATGCCTTCCCGTGAACCATGCTTTGGGTTTGCACACAAATACTTTGTTTTATTCATGTTTATCAGGAGTCCCATATATGTTGCTACTTCCAGAGCTTCAAAAACCTCTCTGACCAAACCATTATCCTGACAGACTCCCGTTGCTGTGATGAAGCTTCTTGAGAGATCCTCGAACATTCGCATGAAGCACAGGTTACTCTCCATTGCCATGTGTGTAAATCTTACCAGTTTAGGAGATAGGTGATTGGTTTATAAGACATAAAATTCAATATATTGCTGTTCCAAGTCTATGAAGTTATTTTAACCAAGTGATACATTTTATTTATCAAATGAAACATCTTTAAAATCATTTGTAACCATCTTTATGAAGTTATTTATTTTTCAATAAGTTGAAAACCATACATTTAATTGAATATTTGTCACTTATTTTTGTTTCAAAACTTACTCTCTGCTAGATCATATAGTTTTACCTGAACCTAGTAGTTACTGATATTCTTTAATTATCCACTGGAATTAAACAATTACTCATAGATATATTATTTATATTTACTTCAGATGCTGACGGGAGACATCACAATAACTTTTGGAGATGCCCGTATCCTTGGCTATAGTATACGGAATAAATCAGCTTATGTGAAATCTCTGATTGGGTATTGTCCTCAATTCGATGCATTGCACAGCCGACTGACAACTGAAGAACATCTTGAATTCTATTCACATTTACGAAATATTCCACTTTCAGAAGTTGATGAGGTAATGTTTTTCATTTATGTTTCTGATTTTAAATTTATCAATTTAATTTTTATTTTCACTTATGTGCAATTTTATTTCACTTATAAGGCAGTGAAAATATATATATATTACTATATATGTAATATATAGTAAGTGTAAGTATTTTTGTGTGAAAATTTTTGAATCTGAGTTTTCAACGGAAATACAAGTTTGGATGTACCCTGAGTCCAAATAACCAAGTCCCAAAAAATGGTTTGTGAGTCTGTATGTGAACACTCTAGCTCGAAAACGAAAAGTCGTACGAAACTGATATTACGTAAGTTAAGATAGGTATATGATAATATGATATGATTCATTTAAAATAATTAACTATCTCTCATTATTAAAAGTTACAAAAAAAATGCTAAATTTAACATTTGAAAGAATTTGATAAGTGAATAAAGGAGAAAAAAATAAAAATGCTTATTCAGGTTGAAAATAAATCTCCGGAAATACTAGTCAGAAGATTATTAATAATTTTTGAAAACTAATAATATTTAACATAAATCACATGATTTCAAGAAAATTAAATGAAATTTACTAACTAAACATAAACTTTAAAAAATAGTTTTAAGTTTGTAAAAAGTATTTAAAATCCACTTAATCAAGGCAATGGCATTGTTAAAAAAACTATTTCATTGTACTTGTGTGAAAGAAGAAGTAAATTATAAAATAATTTTATGGATGTATAAAGCACATTTTTTTATTCTTAAATACATTTACTGTAGTTTAGTGATTATAGATCTTATAGATCTGATAATATATTAAATTTAAACAGATTCAAGGCAATGACTTTTTTTAAGATACTATTTCATTGTACTTGTGTGAAGAAGAAGTGAAATATAAAAATATTTCATGGATACGTTTATAACCTGAAATATATTCACTGTAGTTTAATAACTCTAGATCTGATATTATATTTAAATAAATGGGTATCTATCATCTGTTTATTCTGAAAAATCGTTACGTAACCTTTTAGAAAATTATATTAGTGAGTAATTTGATAAATTTTCTCTTTGCGATATTTGCAACAGAATCCACTTACAATCAGTGTGATAACTTTTGACCTTGCAGTGCCAGACAATGCAATCTCTTAATTCCGTTTTAGTAAATTTTGCAATGGAAAATAACAATTTAATAACTAATAGTCGTACAATCCATAATCAATGGATCGTACTATCCATAATCAACCGATGATATAATAAATAGGACGTTTGTTATTTTAATAGTATTTATGATTTGTTAACTGTAATCTTTTAGCTTTAGCTCAGTTAAAAATGCAATTCAAAAATTTTATAATAGCCCAACATGGCCAGAAAATAATTTCTATTCAAAGATGAGCAATAAGTGAAAGTTATGTGTTGCGCGCAACAGATTGTTTTTAAGTGTACTTGTCCATATTTTATATTATTGATTTATTAAAAATATGTATGCTATTTTTAGGTTGTGCAGACATCATTGAAAAAGTTTGATTTATTAAAATTCAAGGATGTATGTACTCAATACCTGTCTGGAGGAAACAAGAGAAAACTTTCAACTGCTATTGCTATGCTTGGGAATACCCATCTTGTATTTCTGGTAAAGTTGTATTAATATTTTTAGTTTATTTACATCTAAATAAAACATTTGCAAAACATTTATGTAAAATTGGGCTTTAACATATTTGTTGTTTTTCTGCACTAAAAATAATTGCACCATACACTAGAAACAATAATTTAATTTTATATGACTTATTTAGTATTGAATAATTGAGTTTCAGGTACCAATTTATTTTATTTTTTTTATGTTTTACTCTACTGCTGGTTTAGATACAAATATTCATCTATATGTATTTGGAGATTTTCAAGCTACAACCAGTTAATAAGTTAAAAAGTTAATAAGTAACAACCAGAAAATTTTACTAACTTTAATTAACTCGCAAACCATCTTTGTGGTGGTTTGATCTCCATTATCTGGGTGTTAAATCAGAACATTTCGTTTTACAAAAAATAACAAAGGAAGGAAATCAATTGATTAATAATGATTATAAGGATGGTTGGGGTGATCATTCAAAATAAAAATGGTAAAAATAAATAATAATATTATTATTTATTTTTGCCATTTTTATTTTGACTGATCACCCCAGTCATCCTTCTATTCATTATTCACTACAGTCAACCATCAACCCACAATTATCAATTGATTAATAGTTATATTTCTGAGAAATTCAGATCTCATTTCAAACAAGATAAGCAGAACAATACTTCTAGATAAGTTGGAATGCTGACTAGCAAAAAAGGAAATGTTTGTTTGATTCCAGGAACCCTACAAGCTATTTAGGTCCAAAAAACTGAAAATGAACATTTTGAAGAATTATTTACGGTTGACCACCCTACACATTATTTTATTAACCACCTTAGCAACTCAATAATGTTAATGAATACAAAAAAAAAAAATAATGAAAATTGTGAATAGGGCAGTTGGAAAATTGTCCAGTTTAAATTATTAGATTACAAAATATCAATCAAAATTAAAACTATTATAATGAGTTTTACTGTTGTATCAATATAAAGTTGGTACAATACCAAAATGGTCTATCTGAATATTTTTCAAAATAATGAATTGGTTTGGAAATTATGGTTTTTGCAGATGTAAAGTAGCTATTGAATTCTTTATTTGAATAAGTCATATCCATAGATGGGCATAATCATAATCAAGGATTACTTAATTACACAATTACAATTGTAATCAGGTTTTTGATTATGATTGTAATCAGGTACTTGTTTTACATTTTGACTATATTTATAATGCTATTGAATTAATTATAAATTTTTTTTTTTATTTTAAGTTGTAATCATTGATTCCAATTTTGCTCATCTTTGGTCAGGTATTAAATTTAGTTAATATCACTCGTAGTGTTATTAAAAAAAATCACAAACCCGAAAATAGCAAACTTTGCATGTATGGTATTTTGGCTTTGGACCAATGAGATATCAATGTGAATTTAAAAATTTTAAAAATAAGTGTTGGCTGTTTTCTCATGTACAATCAAAAACTGTATCATTGGCAGAGTTTATATTTATAATTAAAGGTTTGAATACTACAAATATCGATAAGAGATATTATTTTTGAATAATTATCTTAAATTTATTTAGGATGAGCCAACAAGTGGCATGGATCCTAAAGGTAGAAGATTCCTTTGGTCTAGGATAAGAAATTGTGTTGCCAGTGGTCGTGCTGTTGTTTTAACATCACATAGTATTAGTGAATGTGAATCATTATGTTCAAGAGTGACGATTATGGCAGATGGGCAGTTCAGATGTCTTGGAAGTACACAGCATTTAAAAAATAAGTTTGTATTCTTCCTTAAGTTGATAATTACATTTTTAGTTGTAAATATGAAAACATCAAGAATTCAATTGGTTATTCACATTCTTTTCTTCCTGATAAGCGGTTTATTATTTTATTCTGTCATGTCAGTTATGGATTGACTCTGAGTATAAAAACATCTAGCCCCTGTATAAAGTGGGTACTTTTAATTTAATAATTCATTAAGAAAAAAAATTAGTAGTTGGAGTGATTTTGGCAAAACCACCTCTTCGCACAACCCAAGACCTTCTATGTGTTGTAGCGATACAGATTTTTTTCTTTAAAAATAATTTATTATAACTTAGACATATTAGATTAATAAAACTACAAATTATAATAAAATCAATACATTTTTTCATAATCGTAAAGAAAATTGAAGATTAGAAAACAATTTAAAAGGCAAAAATAAGCTGTAAATTAAAATAATTGGAACTACACAGGCTAGAATTTTGAATAATCTAGATATTGTGCGTTAGCAAAAAAAGTACCACATTCATAGTTAACAATTGACTGTAGATGAAAAGATAATTGGTAAACAAATTTATTGAAACATGAAGTTTCTCCAGGCCATCTATGGATGTTATATTGACCCAATCAGCTCCGGCTTCTGTCACTCCTTGGTCTGACCTAAGCAAAAGCTGGTTTAGTTCAAAAAATGTAGTGAGGGGTGTAGCCAGCGATCTGGTATGCTAACTATTCAGTTATACTTACACTTTATAAAAGGCCAAGTGGGCGCCCTGCTTAAATGTACAGGCCTGGTCCTGCATTTCCTTCACTACTATTGGCGTAGACATTTATTTATTTATTTTATAATTTGTAGTTTTATCAATCAAATATGTCTAAGCTTATATGTCTAATAAATTATTTTTAAAGAAAAAAACCTGTGTCACTACAACACATGGAAGGTCTTGGGTTGTGCGAAGAGGTGGTTTTGCCAAAATCACTTCAACTACTAATTTTTTTTCTTACACTATTGCTGCAGCTTAAAGTTAACTAATCATTAACTGTAACAAAAACCCTAATAATTATATAAACGGTAAGCAATAAAACCTCGTTATTCGATCTGTTTTTGTAAACGAATTAAAGGTACTTTGGAGGATGACACTTTGAACATTGGGCATTTAAATCCTGTTAAGTGACATCAATAGAAATAAGACCTAAATTATATTAAAGATTACTTAAGTATAAATTGATACACAGAGTTTAACCATAATCGTTAGAGCCGTTTTCGAGAAAATCAGAAAAATGTGTTACATCAATGGTATAAAAAGTGCAACTTTCGTTTAGCCAATTTTGACAAAAAAATGTCTGTAACATCTCAGGTATATACGAACCTTAAATATACAATTTGACTTTTGTACGACTTTTTGTTTTTGAGCTAGACTGATAACATACACACAGACAATTTTGCTGGACTTGGTTATTTGGACTTAAAGGACATCAAAATGTGTATCTCCGTTGAAAACTCAGATTCGAAAATTTTCACTAATGCAATACTTTTCCTTACTAAATATTACATGTACATTTAAGTAAAAAGACCTTCATAATTCAATTCTCCATTGTTCCCACCACCTTTATGCAGATGATTCCCAGATCTACCTATCCTTTTCTCCCTCTGAGTTATTGGTAGCATTTGCCAAGATTCAAGAAGACCTTGATCGAATCAGTGCCTGGGCAAATGTAAATGGATTAAAGTTAAATGCTGCCAAAACTCAGTCATTGTCATTGGTTCCAAGCCCCTTATTAGATCCCATACTGACTTTCCCATATTACACCTTAATGACCAGCCATTTCCTTCTACTCCTCTGTTAAAAATTTAGGATTTTTCATAGATCAAACCCTCTCCTGGAACTACCATATTTCTCACATTTCCCGTAGGACAATTTCTACCCTTAAACTATTTTATCGCTTCCGCCATCTCCTACCTCAACATACCCGTAGACTCCTAATTTCCTCTCTCATCTTCCCCCACTTTGACTACAGCTGTGTGGTGTATGATGGCCTCTCGGTGGAGCTCCGTGATAGACTGAAAAGATTAATGAATAGCTGCGTAAGATTTGTTATCGGTGCCCCGAGGTACTCCCATGTCTCTCACCACTACACTGAGTTAAGGTGGCTCTTCCCCTCCTTTAGAAGACGATATTTCCTAGGTACGTTCCTCTATCAAATCATCAACAACCATTGTCCTTCTTACGCCTACAACCTTCTCCGATTCCAGTCCTCAGTCCATTCCCATTCAACAAGATCTCGACCTTCTGACCTCTACATCCCTTCGCACAGATCTGCCTCATTTCAGAATTCCTTTATAGCTCGCGCTGTCAATTTCTGGAATTCTCTACCTATCAAAATTCGGCATTCCCCCTCCATATCCACATTCAAATCCCTCCTATTCCAATTCCTATCCCAAAAACAGTCAGATACTTGCTAAACTTTCGATATTATACATTTCTAGTCATCATCAAACGATAGTACTCGTCTATACTGTTTACTTCACTAGGGATATTACAATATCTTCCGGCTCTTAATGCCACTGACCGCATCTATTGTTTTTTTTTTGTTTTATTTATTATTTTTTATTGGTATATAATTAAATCGGTTCCTCTAGCATTTGACAATGAGTCTACATATTAATCATTATTTAAAGACACTGATATTTTATATTGTCAGCTTTGTCTTTTCTTTGTTAGCAGAAACACACCTCATTTTAAAGAAGAATTCAATTTATTTTTATTATTTCATTTTTCAAAAGAGTATTATTATAATTTTTCTTACTGTACATAGTCTTAAGTGTTTTATCATAGTTTTATGTTTTGTATATAGATTGTTTTTTTTTTTTGTATATAGCTTGTTTAACTAATATTTTCTTTACTTTCTCTTTTTTATTATTGTTTTATTTTGGCCAGATGTAGTATTTTAATTATATTCTATTTTGTTATTCTAAAGGGACTTTGTCCCAGAATAAAGTTATTTTCTATTCTATTCTAAAAGTAAAAATTTACATTAATTAATATTTCTTTAGCTGATATATCAGTTTCAGTCCATTGTAACATCATAAGGATAAGGATTGTGTTAACATGATCAAGTACCAGCAAAAATAGTAAGATCAACAAAATAATTAAATTTTTCATAAACATATTAATCAATTAATAAAATAATATTTTAATGATATAGAAATACCTATGTAGTTAGTTATCTAATTTGATAGATACCTACAAGTAGTCAATCCATGTCTTCAAATAGCTGGGTAAAAATCTGGTGCGCGCAACACACAACTTTCACTTAACCATTCTACTTTGTATAGAAATTATTTTCTCACAATTTTGGACTATTATAAAATTTTTGAAGTGCATTTTAAACAGAGCTAAAACTTAAAAGTTACCCTTACTATATATTACATATATGGGTAATTGAAAGTATGAATATTTTTATATCATAAAAAAAAAAAAGTTATTTTCTCTGGAGACAAAATGAAAGAGTAGAAATTATTAAAGTGTATAACAGTGAAAACAAACCATACAACCCATATATATATATAATAAATAAATATATAATATATAATATAATAAAATATATAATATAATAAAATATATAATAATAAATATATGATAAATATATATATATATATTTTTTTTTTATGATATAAAAATATATATATATATATATACATTATTTTCTCCTTGAGTGAATATTCAGTACAATGCAAGCAAATTAGCCCAAATATATATATATTAATAATAATAGTCTATCATTATTTTGCTGATATTTTTTCATATACAGTATATTTATCTAAGATGATTTTGTTTTCTATTTGACAGTTAGTACATATAAATTAATATATTGCCAGTTAATTCCAAAAAAACCGTAATTGCATAAAAATGACACTACTCTTTTATATACCGGATATAGTTTACATTAAGTGCACTTTTTGTTTTCACAGAAACCATATATATGTATATATATATATATGGGAGTGGGGTAGCTCAGTGGTAGGGCACTGAGCTTCCAATGCAAAGGTCCCGAGTTCGAACCCCGGCTCATGGCAGAAAATTTATTTATCTGTTTCATTGGCCGTGGGGCGACCTTGGGTCAGGAGTCCCTCCTGGGGCACACCCAGCCTCTATAAAGTGGGTACCCTTAATTAAATAATTGATTAAGGGGGAAAACCTGGCAGTTGAGCGTGATCTCGGTCAAATCACCTCCTTGCACAACCGTTGACCTAGAAACAGTGCTTTCCCTAAATAGTACCGAACCCCAGACCCTTCATGGGTTGTAGTGGTACAGGTTTTTTTTTATATATATATATATATATATATATATATATATATATATATATATATATATATAAGATATGAAATGAAATGAAAATAGCTTTTATTATGCAAAACAATTTTTAAATAATACAATGTACTTATAAATTAACTTTTACCATTTTTTTAGACATTTAAATTATGTAAATATAAATAATACATATGTTAGAGATATAATATAATTCAATTTTTATGTTGTTTAAATTGTCAAAATAATGCAAATTTATGATGTTTTGATTTTTCAATAAAATTTGTTACCTGAAAGTTGATAGTTTTTTCCTTTAATTTCCTTCCAAATAAAGCATGAGAAATTTAATGAGTTAAATTAAATATAATTGTAATAAAGTAGGTCTGTAGATCTAATGTGGGTGTTCTTTATTATTGATTACCCAAATAAAAATAAGAACTTAATTCATAAATCTAGCACAAAAGAAACAAATCAGTACAATACTTGGGAGAAACTAGATCTATTAATTAGAAAATATAGAAATAAGTCAGAATCTGTACAATAGGTATCAACACTTTTAGTATGTTTACTTTTAGAACTAGTCCAAACAAAGTAAAAAATTGTGCTCCTTCCATTTCCCTCTATACACCCTTTTTGAGTTCTAATATACTGGACATGTAACATACTGACCAAAAAATTATTCTCACTACTTATTTCAATGTGGGCCCAAGTAACCCCATTTTATTATTATTCTTGCATTAGCTATGATGATGTTGATGGCTTAACACTGTTTTAACTATGACAGTATTTACTGTAATCCCATAGAAAAATATTTATAGTGTTATTGAAGTGTTAGATAATTATAAATACTGTGTAAATTTAATAACTGTGATTGCACCATTCTCTATCTAAAGCTGAAATTTTTGTTTAAAAATAATGTCTACATCCTTTAATTTTATCTGTCACTGTTAGAAAAAGGTTCTTTTTCTAAAGAAAATTATATGGCAACTATTACATTTAAATTTATTAAATAAAAAATACTGTGGTTTATATCACTTCCAATAACAATAAATTATATCATAGCATTTAAAATAAATAACATTTTAAAAAGTTACATAACAATGGGTGTCATTACCATAATATATAATGTTCTATAAATATTAATCAGGTACTAACAAATTTAAGCCAGCATTAGTTATAACAGAATTAACAAATTTTTGTTCCCCTCCTCGAATACTTAAACTATCATTTTTAGCTATCTTCTCTTTCATCATAACAGTTCTAACCCAGTTTGAACCTGAACATTTTTTACATGGAAGTAAAGGTATAATTGTCAAACTAACAGTTCTATTTTCGCAATTACCACACTTGAAGAATCTTTTTACAGTATCAATTACTTTAAGGGGGTGTCCTTCTGCTTTGCAAGCTTCGGAAGCAGAAAACCAGATGTAATTGCATTTTAGGCACTTCACAGCTTTACAATCAACTTTGTATGTATTTAGCATTTTTTCTTCCAGTCGGTCCTTTTTCTCCATTCTATCAAAGTATTCCATTTCTTGTTCATATTCCCTTAGTTCTATTAAGTCTTCATGAAGTGATTTCTGAGTCATCAGTTGAATAAAACGTTCCGATAGGACGGATTTCTTATTATCTTCATCATCTTCTGAAGGATATGGCCGCTTTATTCCAGAAGTTATACCCTCAGTTTTGACCTTTGATGCATTTTCTTTACTTATTGGTCCATTCGCTTTAACGTACATTAAGGCCTTCATTTTAGCTTTGGATATTTTAGAATTAGGAGTATTTGTACTAGGACTGTTTATAGAACTAACAATTGGTGAAGTTTTGGAAGATTCCAATTTAGATGTTGAAATATCATGGTTTAATGTTCTTTCTGGATGTAGGTTACTAGATTTGTTAATATCATCATTAACCGTTAAAGATTTTTTCGTTGAGTTAGTTATCCTCTTAGGAGTGGATGGTACATCTGCATTACTGGAATCCTTTAAAATGTGGGGATTTTCAAATGAGATGATTTTATTTGATTGAACTGCTGCTGTTTTTACAGTACTCTCACCCTTTGTACTACTACACTTCATGGAACTATGGTTGTTTTCTCCTTTTAATTCAGATTGGATACCTACTAAACTATTAAATCTTTTCTGTAAATTAGCTTTACTTTTCTTGCCAGTTCGGACTAATTTTTCAGATGATTTTCCAATTACTGGACTAATTAACGATTTAGTTTCACTAGAATTTCTCTTTTCACTTAAAGAAAATTCTTTTTCTGGATTAGAAAGACTTGGAACTTTGAGAACAGGTAAAGATAATTTGGAATGAGCTTTTTCAGCTGAACATGTTTTATTGATATTTTCCATCCCAATCTTGTCCACTTTTCCAGAACTATTTACCAACGAATCTTTATCACTGCCTTTATTGGAGTGGCTTGCCATCAATTGGTCGAGCCTGCTTTTATCAGATGTCCGGGTAGTGTTCAAAGGGTTTTTAACTGATGGTAATAATTTCAGTATTTCATTTGATCGCTGCAAATTAGGAATACTCACAACTTCTGGGGCTTTTGCAATGGTTTTACCAAGTCCACTAAGCCTTGAAACATCTTGAGCAATATTTTTTTTATTTCTTCCAGAAGGGGGAGTAACTGATGTAAAACTTTTACCAGCATAAAATACTTCATTCTTACCTAGGACCTTGTTTCGTAAATTCAGGTTTCCTGATGAACTGAATTCTGGGCGACCGTTTTTGTTACATTTATTATATTCTTGTTTGACATGGTAAACACACACTTCACATAGGTAAGAATTGACGAAAGCTCCACATATTTCACCATTCTTCTTAATTACTTTGCACTGTCCAAGATCTTTTGATTTTCCCCAAATCATGACCTGATCAGGAGACTTGATCGATAATTTGGCTTCATACTCTGATTTTTTATCATTGTCATTTTTTAACACTGAAGGATTTAAGATAGCCAAGACAGTGCCAGGAGATGTTTTCCACAGCTCTTGATGTGCTCTACCAAAAAGGAAAAGGAAAACTGTTTTAAGGTCACTCTTTAAATCACTGATAATCCATGAACTGTAATTATTCCCATTTTGTGAAACTCTGGGTGGAAGTTTTTTAACAATTACTGCAGCAATAACCCAGTCATTATTCAAGTCTCCATAAGAAACATGGTACTTAATTTTTGCAAAGCCAATAGGTGTTCTTCCAGTCATTTTTTCTTTAATCACTTGTGAAGATACAAGAGGATTTACCATTCGAATGCCAAATATGGGATCAGCACTGACATCCTTGGTTTCCTTTACAGCTAATCCAACTGAAGTTGGTGGGGCCAGGGAATCAGTTTTATTCTTTTTCCAGGAAGAATTTTTAAAAGAAGTGGGTGAATGGTTTCCTGTGCTTTTTAATTTATTTTTTACAAACTTACCAAAAGAATCATATTTTATGTCTTCAAAATACTTATTTCCTTCATCATCCGAAGAATCTGTATCACCTGTATGAATAACACTTTTCTCAGTCAACAAATTCTTTTGTTTAGGCTTTTCTGGTAAACTTTCTTGAGTATCAGCCTGAACACTTTCTTCAAAACACAAATCAACTCCTACTAAACATCTACCTTTAGTTGATATAGAGCTCTCCTCCGGGGATTTACAGTTATATGCTCCATGAGAAGAATTTTTAGAATTTGAATTCCTGGGAGATTTACTCAAAGATGTACCCTTAATTACGTTCTGTTCTACTTCCTGTTCAACACTTTCAATAGCTAGAGCTAATATATTGAAATCGTCATCCATTGGAAATGAATAATAAAGATGCAACAGAAAAATATATCGTTAATCAACAGGTACTTTTTGTATGCTTGTATTGTAACCTTCCTCCTCTGTTGCGAGCCAGTATTGCATTTCCAATGCCAACTGCACTGATGCACTGAGTTCTCTTTAATTTTGTGTTTTTTATATCGTTCTTGGTAATATTGATATTTTGTTCACATGAGATAAATTCACATATTTTTATTTATTTTAAATATTTGGTTGTTAGAAACAAACTATCAAAATCTTCATTTATATATCTTAAGTGCTCCATACATGATCAATTATAATTGAGCATCTCCGAAAAATATAACCATGTCTGATGAAAAATAATATCTCCGAAAAGGTTGTTCATGTATTTACATTTAATAGGGCTTCTAGAATCGCTTTCCACCATTTCTTATAGGTAGTCAGTTTATTTATTTTTCTTCCAAAATAATTATCGTTATATATATAAAAGTAATCTAAGTTAAGCAACGTCAAGTGTGGTTAGTACTTGGATGGATGACCGTCCACCAGGGAAGCCAAGCTGCTTGAGATTTCTCTCCTTCCCCTCCGGATATGTGATGCCTATTAGCCTACTGGAGGAATAAACAATGGACCTTGACCGATTTGTCACTCTCTTTAAACCCGATTGAGTCGGTGGAAAGGTCACTGCCAGATTGGGCCCCCAAAGGGATCGGCTATAGAGCTAAGGGTGGCCTGCCGCTGCACCATGGAGACCAGGGTCCGTATCAATTTGAGGTCGGATGATCCCCTCCAAGCTATCTGTGCTCCCGCAAGCAATATACGTCTGTAAGGAGACAACAAATTCCTGCAAATAACTGCAAAAAAACAACTACATTTATATATATATATATATATATTGTAAAGAAGTTTTTTCATTTTTCTCAAAGAACTACTTTCATTTTTCTGAACATGAATAATAGTGAATTTTATATCCCCATCCCCACATATATTATTACAGTAAGGCCCGAAATAGGTTTTGTGCCAAATATAAGCTCCTGTCCTGCTCAAATACCATGAATGGGGTACCTTTGGATTCAGAATTTCACGAAGGATTAGCGAATCGTATTCTTCATTTTTGTTTTCTTTCTAAAATAAATAAAGTCGATACAAACATTTTGCTAGGCTTCCATACTCGAACGGTGGTGGATCTGTAGATCGATACGGGACAAATTGGACCTTGAAGATTTTGATGCGTACAGCTAGACCCGGATAGTTCCCTCAGAACTGTCAGATCCTGAGTTTTTAAGACCACGAAACGTACTATTTTCAAGATAACGCAAGGCATAGGGTACGCATCCACACAACCTCATGTTAATTGTATACCTCATGTCATTGAATACATTTTTCATTTCGTCGACTTGAGTTTATTTTATTTATCGAAGGTGTTTTTAATCGGCAAGCCATATTATCGTTAATTCTTCACCAAATCTCAAGATTGAGCCACCTATTTCGAAGGCTTCCTTCTCCTTCTGGCAGGCAAACAAGTTATGAAAGAATACAATCTGTATTTGCGAATAACTAAAAAATTACACATTTTTCTCTGGCTTATGCCTATGATTATATAAAGGATTACTAAATTCCCTACAAAAAGAAAAAAATCATCAAAATCGGACAATTTTTAGAAAAGATACAGCTTATTAAAATTTGTAAACATGTGAGTTCCAAACATTAATGAAGATTTAAATTAATTTTTGTTTCCTTTGTCGATAATATTTATCGATAAAGTAACAATCGATTTCTTTATCTTTTGATACGTTGCATTATTTTATTTTGTAATTATAATTTCTTTGGCTTGGTATTAAAAATAGGATTATATGATTAAAATATCGCCCGTTTATATAAAAAAATTATCGAGTACATTTTTGATGGACCTGGCCTTTTAAGAACGTTTTTGTGAATTTTCACCTTATTTATCAATAAAACAAAAAGCTCAACTAAAGCGTAAAATGACAAAAATCTTATAAATAACAATTATAGTTACAACAAACCCAGAATTTCCTAATTTCACTAGGGAAAAATTCATCGAAGTTCTTATGCTTTGTCTTCCTCTTATGCCATTAGTTAGCGTCGAGGATAATTATGTCGTTTTTACAATAGAGGCCTTCTTAAACGACCTCCATATAGAATAAAGGAAGGTAAATTAAAAAATATATATATAATCTTTTTGGACAATCAAATTATCGTATAAATATTCGTTCGTTAATAGAATCAATATAATGTATCACTGTTATTATAGCACAATAACCAAGTACTGAATGGTGTGGTAGAGGGCTGTAGGCACCTATGCCAGTACCGCTTTCTGCCGCTGAAGTGCATTTTCTAGGGAACTGCCTCAAATATTTTTAAAAATATGTTTTATTTTAAACTGTCTTGCTTTAATAAAAGACCAACTATGACGAAATTAAGCCAAATGAAACCCTTTTAATTTTTGAGAAGGATGTGCCACATCCTACACCCTGAAGACGACCTGCAAAGTGGGTCGAAACGTCGGCAAAAATTAAAATAATTTATATATTTTATTTTTTTTTATTTATTTGACCGCACCCTCGACTAGCTCCTTCTCATATTATATCAACGGTCAACCATCTCTACATCCTTTTAATTTTTGTGTATATAACACACTTTTCCAAAAACAAGCTGCAAAAAATGTTACCCTGAATTCAAAATATTTTTCGTCAATAATTAAAAAAGTATACAATTTTGATTGATAATACCCATATTTATTCGAAATATTCCTGCGAAATAGAAAAAAATCATCGAAATTGGACGATTCGTTGCAGAGATATAGAGTTTTAAACATTTACTACTGTTTCTTCGGGAAAGGCTATTTTCCTCCTCCTTTTTATTGATTAATCGAAAATTTTACAATCACTGAAGTAATTGAGATTATCATTTGAAGAAGTGATATGATTCTCTTTATGTAGGTCAACACTATTATACCCTTTTTAAATTCAAATTTAAATTTCCCCCCAATATATTCGGAAAGTAGTATGATGCATCTCAAATGTTTGATATGCTATTATTTAAAAATATTGAAGTCTTGACTAATAATTATCACCGTTCATGTTCTTGATTCCTTTTAGAAATCAGTTTTTCATCGATTTTAGTTTATTTTATTTTTTAATAAATAATTTTCTTTAACATTACATTTTGATCCATCAATTGCATCCAAAACTGTTGAATCACATATCACGACCTTGAATAAAACCATCCGAATCCTCTCATTTCAAACCTTGCTTTCTCTTCGATACTTGATAACGTCCACGCTTCGTGATCTACAGATATAAATATATTATTAGAGTGCTATCAATGGGTAGTTTCTCAACAAGCGTTTTCATGCGATTGTATTATTTTATAAGTTGAACCTAGTGAAAAAACATCAGAATTAGTTTAAATAGAAGCTTAATTAATTAATTAATGTTCCAAACAAATTTTTTTTCTCAACTTTTTAAAAATGACAGATGTCCTTTGATATTAACCCACTCATATGTGTTTCCTATTTTCTTTCTTTTCCATTTTGTCATACAGTGGCCGGGTAAAGCTAGTTTAAGAAATAAAATTCATAGAAGTCTGAGATCATGGCTTGAATGGTTTGATACCGAGAATCCATTCATTTTTTTTTATTTTAATACAATTTACAACTGTATTACATAAGAATAAGAAGAAAATACAATAAGTAAATGTGACATTGGTAACATGACATGTACAACATGATGAGAAACTACCCATTGGTAGAACTCAAATCATTCATTTAATCAGACTATATTTGTTTTCTCAACATACTTTTATAAATGATAAACCGCAAGATTTATCCATCGTTGACTTGCTGATGACTTACTTAATATCTCATTAATTATTACGAATTAAATAAAAATGTTAATATATTGACATATTTTTAAAAGTATTTGATTGTTTTAATTCAGATACGGTCAAGGGTACAACTTAGCAGTACGGGCTCCAATTCAGAACTTGGATGAAGTTAAAAAGAAAATACTGATGATGTTTCCAATCGCAACTGAACTATCAACGCATGGTTCGCAAACCAAATTCGAGGTCAACGTAGACACCGTGTCTTTATCCAAGGCTTTCCATCTTCTCGAAGCTATGATTCTTACCTCTTTGATTGAAGACTACTCTATTTCCCAAAAATCACTTGAAGAGGTAAGTAGTAGTTTCAAAATTTATTTTTTAAATTAATTCGGCATTGACTAGAATTTTTTTTCCAGATATTTTTACATTTTGTGAGATTGCAAAATGCAGAAAAAACAACATTTAGAAAAGATCCGTGAGTTGCTTTCATCTTTGCAGGTCTCTGTGGCTTCTAAAATCTATGATTATATGTGCCTTCTTATTTCCTAATCACTTTAAATCCCAAAAAATTAAAATTCTGTTATAGAGCAATGTATTCCTTCTATTTATTTATTTTTAATATAAATATAGTGATAACACATTGGACCAAATAATGCTATTTAGCGAATTACGAAGACTAAAGCTGATACACCAGTGTTTTTGTAAATGCAACATATATAAATACATGTTACGTTAGGATACAACTCCATTTTTACTACAATTGAGTAATTCGTAGTGATACTCTATCACAAAATATCTAGCTAACATCACTAGCGGGTCTAGGATTAAATTTTGGAAGGAAAGGGGCTTCAGCCCGAGAGCTTTTTTGTATATATATATATATATATATATATATATATATATATATATATATATATATATATAAAACAATAATTACTTTACAAAAAAAAGAAAAGAAACTAACTACCTATATGAGATGGCGTTTAGGTGATTCTTGAAGTCGTATTAAATGTAATTACCCGATCAATAATACTGTAAGAGATTTAAAAATTTTTTTTTTCATAAAACATAGTTAAGTTTTACTATTTTGGGGGGGGGGGAGCTTCAGTCCGAAAGCCCCTCCCCTCTCCTCCGTAGATCCGCCTGTGGCTAACATTAATTCTGCGGCTTGAGCTATAATATTTGTTAGTTAACTTCGTACTGATACCATATCTCAAGTCATGTAACAATCCATTATTAAAACAAGTAAAGTGAAGCTTTCTGTTTTCTTTCTTTTTTATGATTTAAAAACTGGTAGTTTCACCATTCAGTTAATTTTTTATATAAACTCTTCAATTATTTTAGTCCAGAGGTCTCTAAACTATGACCTGCAGACACCTCCAATCCGGCTCGTGAATGTTTCTCAGATTACATGGTAAAATTTTAAAACTATTTAAAAAATACGAAATTGAGTAAATCAATCAAATCATTTATTGCATCAATTGCTTCTCTTAGAAAGCTCATTTCACAGCTGATAGGTTATTTATTCATCACAAGCCCTGGCCCGGGGAACTCAGTGTAAGTTCAATACGGCCCGTGGGACTTATCAGAGGCCCCAATGCAATCCGCGAGACTTACTGGAGTTCTCGATGATAAAAGAAACTTTATATACTCTTCACCGACTTCCAACCAGGAAGAATGGTATATAAGAAGAACCAGATGAGACAGCAGACCAATTTATGCAATCAGGTATGTTATTTAGTAAGGAATAGAATTTCAAATAAGTTTCGGCTCAGATATGTTATGATTACTCCATTCCAGATTCATTTATATATTAATCCTGCACTGTTCATATTGAACTCCTCAACCCACATATTGTTCGATAAAGGCTCTTAGCAAATGAAAAATCTGATGTTAAATGAAGGTTGTGGTTAAACTAAAACCCTGTAAGCAGGACCCGCTTTTTTTATGCAGTAAAAGCCCACAAAATATGCAATAAAAAATCGTCAAATATACAGAAAAACATGCAGTAATACAATATAATATAAGCAGTGGAAAAATATCTAAATGTGCAATAAAAGGTCTAAGTGAAATATTCAATAACACTAATGCGCCAAAATAAAAAAACGTTTTGAATTTAAAAAAATAGAGGCAGGATTAAAAATTAAATAAATAAATATATATGATGATGATACTTTTATATATGAAATAAATAAAAGTATTTTATTTTTGTATTAACCAATATAATTTAAATAATAATAAACAAAAAAACAATGTGATAAATAAAGATACATGTTTATTAATGGTTGAAGTTTAATGAGGAAGGATGAAAAGGAAACATAAAAACAAAAATGAAATAAAAAAAAAAACATTCTAAGAAGTCAGTAAGTGAAGGTTATGTTATTTTGTTATTTCTTGATTGAAAATTAATTTACAATTGTATTATAGAATTCGATATTCAATGTCCCATTTTAATTCATTATTTCAAATATCAGTATTTGTTTTATTTGAATAATCAAAATATTCATTCAAAATCAAATATACAATAAAAAAAATGATTAATTATATCTTAATGCACTAATAAGTATAGATATTTGATCAGCGGTTTATAAAATGCATTCAAACAAAATATAAAATTGCAAACATATTTAATGCTTTAATCAGTACTTTTTCTTATTTTGCACAACACAAAAAAATCGATTGGTATATAATAATCTGAAAATTCGGGGGCAAAGGCAAAAATAACTTGAATTTTATTTTAAATAGGTTTCCTTGGCTCCTGGAGCCCATCAGAACGGACGGCGGGCTCTCTTCAAAAAGTCAGACTTTTTCGATGTTTTAAGTTTTTTTCATCTATAACCCCTAAATCATGCATCAAAGTCAAAAATGTATTCTTTGATAAATTAAAGAACGCTAAATTTTGCATACGAGAACATAAACTTTATAATTTGGTTACGCGGTAAGGTGTAAAACCACTGTCAATCAATGCTTATTTTTACCAAATTTGTCAAAAACTGAAACAAATTATTATAAATGGCCCTGTAACTTGAAAATGAGTTCCCTTAGATGAAAACCCCGTAGAATCAAAGTGGTGGAGCATCAAATTTTGCGCCAACTGAATACCAACTAATTTAATGCAGGTCACTCCGAACAAAATCGGTAATAATCCCGATGGTCAGAAATTGGTAATGAAAGTAAACGTGATTTCAAATATTTCAACAGTATGGGTGTCGATTCTACTGAGTTATTTTTTTTAGAATATGTTAAATGCAGAATAAGCCTCTTTTCCACCCCTCAGTAGCGAAGGATTTTGGTAAACGATGTATCGAATGATACGTAATTTTATAAATGAATAACGAATGCCGATTCGAGATATATAACTGGCCTACAATAAAGATGTCAGTACTCAGTTGATGCAAAATTTGATGCTCTACAACTTTGTTTCTATGAGTTTTTCCTCTTAGGGAACTCATTTCCAAGTTAAAGGACCATTTATAGTAATTTGTCTCAGTTTTTGACAAATTGGGTGAAAGTCAGCGTTGGTTGACCGTGGTTTTATACCGTACCGCTTAACCAAATTATAAAGTTTATGTCGTTTGACGCAAAATTTAACGTTCTGAAATTTATTGAAGAATACATTTTACGCTTTGATGCATCGTTTAGGAGTCATAGGTGCAAAAAACAAAAAATATTGAAATCTGACTTTATGGCTGTAAAAAGTTTACCTTTGGTGGCCCATTTTTTACATGTCTATATCCATTTATACAAGTTAAAAAATAAAAACTTTTCTCATATTTTTCGCCCGTTTCGATCCTCAAATTATTGGCCCAATATTCTTTAAATCAGCCGCCATTTTTGAAAGCAGCGGCTCTGGAACGGCAGACAATGTTCTTTTTACTCAGAATAACACACTTTTGTAATTTACAATCAAACCTTCGCCTAAGATCAGGTCGATTTTCGGGTCCTGGCTCCAGGGCTATTTGTGGCTAACGAGGGACAACACTGCTTCAAGCATTATCAAAGTAACCACTGTATTACCTCCTTGTTTTGTCTGTAGGTTGGTTGCCGCATTTTAGTAATTCTTAATTTAGTTGAATATAATTTGTGAATTATGTTTCTTAGTAGGGTTTTTAACAATGGTCGCATACTAAATCAAAGTATTTTTAGTGACAATATTTTGTCTGCAAAATTAGTAAGTACAAATCATTGGGTGCATCTCTCTTTTTATTTTATCAGATTTTTGTTATCTTGATATTTTTTTTTCAGTACTTTATAATTTTAAAAATTCATTCAAACTATTTTTTGATTGTTCAGCTCTAAATCTTATCTAGTACCTGGTCATATTAGTTATCATCAGCTTTTAAGACCTTTCATTAGTCTCCTAAAACTTTAAGCCAAATCTGAGCATCATCCATCTCGTACAAAGGTCTTTCCATTTGTCTGTAGGTATGCCACAAATGGTACACCATAATGGCTCTTTGAGGATATTATTTTCGTACATCTAACCTGTGAAACAATTTTTATAGTATACATACTGGTTAATCTAACTCTATTTAACGTAAGAAATACTTTTATGAAACTCAATGAAAAATGTCTCCTTCCAACCAATTTGCAAAGACACTTTTATGAAACATTCATGCTATTCTTAATTGAAACAGTCCAGTTACTTCCTTTACTTACTCAATTCACAATAGATACTTTCATACATTTTCACACCATTGTTCAACACAAGAAGAAACATCAATTGGCTGTAAGGAGTCCTTTCATTAGATTTCATACAAGTATTTCTGTTTGATGGAACGTTTAAGTGGAGTTAGAGAAATCCCTATAGCAACCTCAATGTTGAGTTACTTTAAATTTCATTGATACAATAGTTGTTGATCACTTTTCTTCCCAAAATAATAAGACAATGTTTTTTTCCATCAATCCCTACTGGTATGTACTTGGTAGTTACAAACGTTCTTGTGCATAAGTATTGCTTTATTTCAGATTACATATTTGGTTTCAAGACAAAGACCTCTTCACATCCAATTTTTACGTCTTTGTAATTATAAAAGATCCAGCATTTTAAAAAATGAGCCCTTGATCTAAACAAACCATAATCTGATGGTGTAATATCGGGAATGGTCGGTGAATGAGGTAACATGTTAACTGCTTGCTGTTTCAATAATTTTCGTTGGTCAAACAAGAACGATGTGCAGAGGCATTGTTTTGTTGCAAAATGGCTTAGTTCCTGTTGACCAAAGCGGAATACTTCCTTTTCAAAACTGTATAAACTCTGTCTAGCTGTTCTCAGTAAAGGTTTGAGTCCACTGTCCGACCAGCAGAAACAAGCTCAAAATACAAAACGCCTTTGTAAGTTTCACAAAACACAAAGTATCATTTTTATCAAAACGTATCTTGGCTAACGTTTGGTTGTGCATCTTCATTTTCGTACCCACTACTGATGTTTCGTTAGGTTTTTTTAATAATATCCACTTTTCGTCACTTGTTTTAATTTCTTACCAGAATTTTTTTGGCAAATATGAACTTGCTGCTGGGCTTGGGCCTCTGTCAAGTTATGCGACCTGGACCTTAGTCTTAAATTCAGTGTGCTCAGGTTTTTAAAATTAAAGGTCATTTATGCATTAGAAGCTCCTATGGTCTATAAATTACGAGTAGTTGAATGTGGGTCTTATTTCACTCATTCCATAGATTTGGCGTTTCAAAAAAGAATGTCATCAACCACCGATTGACAACCTGTTATGGATTGATCTGCAAGGCTCATAATGGAAGACATTATGCAACATTAGACATGTTACGCTACATTTTGGCAGTGTGGATATCACTCAGTGTCGAGAGGCGAGACATGTCCCAGTCTACCTCCAGCTAACAAATGGTTGGTTCGGCTGTTCACAGTTATTTTCCAAGATTTTACAGATCTTCTGAAAACTTGTGGTATTAACGAAAAAGTTTTAAAACTTATTGAAGATTACTGTGGTGTCTCCCAGTCTTAATTTATTTTATAGTGCATTATCGAACCTAGATCCTTCTGCGTGCACTTGCGCATCCACCAACATTTGTTTTTTCGTGTTCTTTTATTTGTAATTCTCATTCCACACAAAACTATGTCCTCCATGATTGGCTGCGAAGGTGAGACAGAAATTGCTAATGTAGTGTGGATGCTAGACGAGACAAAAAATGGTGTCTATAGACTGTTTCTAGAAACCATCTCTAGATGGTCTATAGACAAATTGTGCAACAATGTCTACTATTGTGTATTAGGCTTAAGAAAGAAATATGTGATTAATATTACTTATAATTTTTAGTTCTATTAAGTGAGTTTAAGCTTACTAAGTTTTTGTTTTTTCCTGCTTTGTGATCAAACATTTGCATTATTGAAGTGATATAAAAAAAATATTATTTTGCTTTGAAGAGAGATTTGTATTTTTAGGTAACACACGGTAGGCTATTCCATTTAAGCTGTTCGTTGAAAGAAGAGGCTAAAGAAACTGATAACAGTGAGACCATCAGAGATCCTTCCAAAGACAGAACTAAAGTAATTCCTGTTGAAACAAGCATAAGATATATCCAAAGTAAAGGTGGGTCAGATAACGTATCTTATATGATATATTTTCTCTTATTAATTTCTTAAAAATCACTTTTGAAAGTAATATTATTTAACAAATCAGCTAAGTAATATATTAATTTAAAAATAAAAATGATTTCAATTTTTAAATTGGCAAAACATTATTTACCACTTGACAGAATTTGTATTTAAAATAAGGTGTTTATTTTTTATTACTGTCATTTCTCAAATAATCAGACCAAATGATATGTTTAAATTTTAGCTTATGCTGAAACATATGGTGGAGATCCTGTTTGGAAACTGTACAGACGTAATCATAAGGGTTCTCTTGCTCCGAGGAAAACTAGAAAAACTTGCATTGTGAGCTGCTATTCTTTTATTATTTTCTGATCAATTTATTTTAACATTAGAAATAAATATAATTTATTGTTTCAGAGGCAAGGCGTGATAAGTACTGGAAATCCATGTCCTATATGTAGGGATGAATATTTAGTCCTGGATGCTAAAAACACAAAGCTTCTTGAACAATTCATTTCGCCTTTCACTGGAGAAATATTAAGTTATAGGTAGGTTATTTATCTTGGGTTGTTTTAAATAATGATAATAATAAATAATAATGATTTTTATATTATTATTTAAATTTTATACTTATTTTAATCTTTACAGCAGCATAAAGATTTCTAATAATTCAATTTTTTTTCTTGTTTCAGTCAAACAGGGATTTGTCAAAAGAGATATAAAGAGCTTTTAGTTGCTGTTGAAATTGCCAAAGATAAAGGCTTCATAAAATTTGATATTCCATTTCGTAAATACGATTACTCCTTGTATAAAAATTAGAATTAGCCTTATATAATTTAGTAATATGAAGCAGGCCACTTTTGTCATTATTGGAGGTGGCATTGCAGGGGTTTCGTGTGCTGAAGGTATATCTTTCTTGGCTCCTGAAGAAAGCATTATATTGATTAGTTCTTCTCCTACAATAAAAAAAGTTTCAAACTTAAAACATTTAACCAAACTTTTATCTGAGTTTACTGTCGAAGAAAAAAGTCCAGAATCTCTTGCTGAAAGTTGTTCTTCATTAACTGTTCTCCAATCGGTGGTTAACAGAATCGATTATGAAAACAAACTAGTTATCACTTCCAAAGAAACTGTTAAATATGAAAAATTATGCATCTGCAGTGGAGGCAGTCCAAAACTGATTGATGATAGTAACCCATTAGTTATAGGAATCAGGGATACAGATTCAGTCCAGGAATTTCAAAAACGTTTAGTATCAAGTAAGAAAATGATTGTAGTCGGTAATGGAGGCATTGCTACTGAATTAGTTCATGAAGTAGAAGGAATGGAAATTATATGGGTCATAAAAGATAATCACATTTCTGCAACATTCATCGATCCTGGTGCAGCAGAATTTTTCCAGTCTTCGCTCATCAAAGGAGATAATGATGATTATTCTACAAAAAGGTTGAAATTCTCTGTAGAAGAAGGTAGCAACACCTCGCTTAAAAGTGGTGCTGCTTTGGGACCAGACTGGCATGCTCAAGTAGATCTCAGGGGTATGCTTCAGAGTAGATCGTCTGTTACTATTGAATATAATTCGGAAGTAAAGAAAATTTTGAGTAAGAGCGAAGGCATGAAGGCATTGAATAATGAAGACTGGCCAATATTTGTTGAGCTGACTAATGGTAAGGTGTATGGTTGTGATTTCATAGTTTCAGCAACTGGTGTTATACCAAATACATCCTTCTTAATTGATAGTGGGATACATTTATCACCTGATGGGGGTATCACTGTGGACTGGAAAATGGAAACATCACTACCTAATGTCTATGCTGCTGGAGATGTTTGCACTACATCGTGGGAAGCTGCGCCACAGTGGTTTCAGATGCGTCTCTGGACTCAAGCTCACCAGATGGGCCTGTATGCTGCCAAAGCCATGGTTACAAATCTTAAAGAAGAAGAACTTCTTCAAGATTTCTGTTTTGAGCTTTTCACACATGTCACTAAATTTTTTGGTTATAAAGTGATTCTGTTAGGATTATTTAATGGTCAAAGACTGGACAAAAATTATGAAATTCTTTTAAGAGTTACAAAAGGTTTAGAATATATAAAATTAATTCTTAAAGATGGCAGGATGCAAGGGGCAGTTTTAATTGGTGAAACTGATTTGGAAGAAATGTGTGAAAATCTAATATTAAATCAACTTGATTTAACTCCATTTGGAGAAGATTTATTAGACCCAAATATAGATATTGAGGATTATTTTGATTAAAAATACACTTTCTAAATAATTCTGGCCTATTTATTATTTTACCATTGAATTCAATATTAACCTAAATTTAATATTTGAGTGACATTCATGACACTTAGTCTTAAGATGTTCTATTACTAAGGTTAATTATTTGGTTATTAAATATTGAGAATTTTTTTTTTTTTTAATATAACATTCTTAGGAAATTTATTGCTTTTTATTTAAATTAAAAATTTTATTTGAATTGTTACTAAATGTATTATTTTTTCTTTCTAATTCTATCTAATAACATTAACTGAAGAGTAGTGAATAAAAGCAGTAAGTGACATTTTGAAGTTAAATGAAATTATTAAAAAAAAAAAAGGGTAAAATCAATTATTTTTAACAGTTCTTCTTTCCATTCCCATAAATTCAATATGTGGTTTATAACTGAGTTACCCATTATATCAACCTCATAATGGATAAAGATGATTTGAATTCAGTTTTTGAAAACTCAAAAAACACTAACTTTTATTCACTTTACCTTTTAATTGTATTAAAGGTTAAATTCAAAATTAAGGTTTAGTCTGAATAAATAGAATAATTGCAGAATTCAGGAAAAAAACAAAACAATTTTATTAAAAATACAAAAAGAGATCTAATTTTTTTGTTTTTCTCCCTCATTTTTAGAGAAGAATCAAATAAAAATGGTCCATAATTATAATACATAAAATCAATAACAATTATTAAGAGACAAAATGATTCAAATAATCACATTTTGCTAAAATATACAGCCATGAATAACAAGCTTGTTAGTACTTAAAATCTACTTATTACTGTACATTAGTAAGCCTTTAGCTTGACAGTAACATTTAAGAAAAATATATACTTCAATAAATTAAAAACAATCTATATATTGTGATCACCATATACATATTTATACATAGACATATATACAAGTATATATGCTGCTTTGGACCACAGTCCTATTAGTTCTTAACACCAATATGTACAATCTCTCGCTACAGGCAAGAATTATTAGCATTACTGAATCGATAAATTATACACGAACAAATAAATAAATGAACAGATCTTCAATTAATTAGAGTATTCAACATGTGATATTTCCTTTGAAATATCTATTTTTCCACATTTGAGGTCGCTTCTTCCAATCTAGCGACAGAAACTTGTATTCTGCTAAGGATTGAATAAACCCTCGAATCTTCTACTTCATTGAAATATTTTATCAAGACGTCAGAATCCTCTTTCAGTCCCATTACATGTCGCCTGATCATAGTTTTCCTCCAGAGTATAGGATTTAAACAACCTGAAGCTGAAAGAAAACAGAATAGAGTTATTTTTAATAATAATAATAATAAATTAATATAAATTACTTGAAAGTAGATAGGAACCAATAAATAAAATGTTAATTAATAATGAAATGACATATTCAAAAATCTTAAAACTTGAACAATGGACTGCCAAATTGAGTTGTTGAATATCAGATAAATATTAATTATTAAGAAGTAACAGTAATATTTTCAAATTAACTATAAAGTGATAATAGCATTCAAATTGTAAATTTGTACAAATAAACTTTTTATTTCATATATAATAATATCCATAGATAACTAAAAGTTTCTAAATCACTTCATTTAAATAGTCATGGCCCTCAAGCAAACAGCTTGGTTTTGAAGGAAACAAATTAAATAAAAGGCAGCTTGTTCTATAAATGACACTTCAGTTGTAAAATGAGTTTTCTAAGAGAAAAAAATCTGGTACGCACAACTTTCACCTATCTCTCTACTTTGAGTAAAAATTATTTCTGGCAATGTTGGGCTATCAGGAAATTTATTAAATGCATTTTTAATGGAGCTATAGCTTAAAGCTGACAAATTATTTAGAACATTAAAACAACAAAAAACATATTTATTACATCAACGATAGGCAATGAAAACTTCATTACTAAATCAGTTTTTGTAAAAAATCTGGTGTACGCAACACAACTTTCACTTACCGCTCTACTTTGAATAGAAATTATTTCTGGCAATCTTGGACCATCAGAAAATTTTTAATGGAGCTATAGCTTAAAGCTTACAGCTGACAAATCATTAAGAACATTATAATAACAAAAACTCTATTTATTACATTCATCAGATTTTGTAAACCACGCAACCTCAGTTTCTGAGCTATATATTATATACATACCTAGTAATATTTGAAATTATATATCTATATTCAACCTATAAATGATTATGGATTGTACGCCTATTAATTATTAAAATTATTTTCCATTGTAAAGTTTACTAAAATTAAATTACGAGATTTTCATTGCCTGCCATGGATAGGTCAAAAGTTGTCACACTAATTGTAAGTGGACAATGTTGGGATTTCACAAAAGAAAAATTCATCAAATTATTCACTAATTTAATTTTCTAAAAGGTTACTTAATGATTTTTCGGAATAAACTGCCGATAGACACCTAATTATTTAAATATATATCATATCTAGAGTTATTAAACTACAGTAAATGTATTTAAGGTTGTAAACATATCCATGAAATATTTTAAAGTTTATATTTATTAAGAAACTTTCATTTAATTTCCTTGAAAACATGATTTACGTTAAATAATGTAAGTTTTCTGAAATTATTATTTATATTTTTATGTCTCTCTCAGTTACCTGCTACAATTTTATTTATTTGATATTATCTTTTCAAAAATTCTCTGCTTTCCAACCATATATTATACGTATACCTTGTGACTATTAATATTTCTTAAGATTTATTTTTAACCTCGATAGGCATTGTATTTTTTTCTCCATTATTCAATTATCAAATTCTTTCAGAAGTTATATTTAGCATTTTTTTGTAACTCCTAACAATGAGAGATAGGTAATTATTCAAAATAAACCAAATTAAAGGTACTTTAGAGGAAGAAATGTTGACATCGGGCATTTAAGCCCTGTAAAGTGAAATCAATTGGGATAAGACCTAAATGATATTAAAGACCACTTAATTATGCAATGATACACCAAGTTTAATCAAAATCGTTAAAGTTGTTTTTGAAAAAATTGTAAAAATGTGTTTCACCGTTGATATAAAGTAGTATTACCGGTCAGCCGATTTAGAGGAAAAAGTTGCTGTAACATCTGAGTCATAACCTATCTTAAATACATGATATCAGCATCATACCACTTTTCGTTTTCGAGCTAGAATGTTCACATACACACAGACCATTTTTCAGTAATTGGTTATTTAGACTCAGGGAACCTCAAAACATGTATTTCCGTTGATAATTGAGATTCCAAAATTTTCATGATCGCAATTTTTTCTCTTACTATATACTGCATATATATTTAAGACGGGGAGGGGTGGCCGAATGGATTAACATGTGTGCATAGCTATGTGGTGTATGATTGTATCTCTGTGGAGCTCCGCGATAAACTGAAAAGACTAATAAACAGCTGTGCAAGATTTGTGATTGGAGCCCCAAGATACTCCCATGTCATTTATTGTCAAATATCAATACTATGTTTTGCTAGGGATATTAATTTTCTTATAGGGTAAAAATTTTCCTACTCTTGATGTCACTGAACGCATCTATTGTGAGTTTATAACTATTATCTTTTATACACCACTAAATTCTTGCCTATTGTTACATTAAGAAATGATGATGATGTATTAATATATTAATTAGACACTTTATATTGTCAGGTTCAGCTTTCTGTTTTCTCAACAGAAACACAAAGCTTATTTTAATGAAGATTTTAGTATTTTTTTTTCTTAAAAGTGTAAACTGGTCTATCAGTGCAAATAGCTTTAAGTATCTTGTCATAGTGTTGATTGTTTTGTATATAGTTTCATTTGTTTTGTATATAGAATGTTTACCTTTTATTTTCTTTACATTATTTCTTTTTTCTATTGATTTTATTTAGGCCAGATGTAATCTTTTAATTTTGTTATTCTGAAGGGACTGTGTCTCAATATAAAGTTATCTTCTATCTATCTATATAAACAAAAAGTAAGGAGTTCATGTCCCGGTGTCGGAGGGGATTTTAAATTCTCAGCCTCACCCTCTGGACTGGGAAAACCCCATATAGTCTAAAAGCGAGGTAGGAAAAAAAAAAAAGAAAAAAGATATTTGAGTGAAAGTTAAAAAATGTGTGTAACACGACACGAGTTATATGTTTGAATGATTCAATGAATTTCATATTTTTCAATTTTAACTATGTAATCAAAGGAACTTTCGCTGAGCAGACGGAAAGTGTTAGCGGACCATAGCTTTAATAACCAAGAAATTATTTCTGTACAGGACATACCTAGCATCAATAGGGAATAAAGTGATCCACATTTTCCAAGAGCTACAGATAGTAATCAATAAAGTAGAATTTTTTTTTAATGATAAAGTTAATTTTTGTGAAGTTCGCACAGAATAGAAGGAAGTGAAGAATACCTGTTACTTTTGTTCCTATGTTGATCGAACAGTTTTTATTATCTCTGGGGTCTTCTAATATTATTTTATGTGCATCATTTTTATCATAATAATCTCCGAAATCGACTTCCCAAGGTAGATCACAATCCATAGATTTATACCAAGTTTTTTCATTCTCTATTCTCTCGATCCACTTAGAAAGTTTAAGATGGTTTAATACAGCTTTAGCACTTAAGATTAAATGCCTTACTGTAATGTTTTTTTCCTTAAGTTCGAATTGCTAAAACAAATGAAATATGTCAATGCTATTATAACTTAATAAACATATTAAGATACTTTTACTTTAAAACAAACATAGAATAAAAGAAGCTTAGTTTAAGTTTCCTAGACCAGATTATACAAGTGCCACCCAGTTCACAAGTCATTTCTCAATGAAAGATACAAGAAATCTGACTAAAATTAATTAAAAAACTAAGATTAGCTATTAAATGGACATTAGCTGACTTGCATTAACAATAATTATATTAAAATTTTAGTGTTAAAAGAAATTTTTTAAGTGGAACAAAAACTATGAGAGACTATGATCGTATCCACTCCAATATTTGTTTTGAAATGTTTTAAAAGTCCATACCAACAGTAGTACGAGAAGAACTTTCTTTCTCTATTTCATTAGATTTAACAGAAGTGAAGAAATATTAAAAGATACTGGATCTAGAACCTCATGCTAGAATAGTAATAGTACAGTCGACTACTGTTGTAGTACATTTACTAGTTATTAGCTTACTAGTAGTATAGTAGCAAATTTAGTACAGATGTAATTAAAACAAAATTCAAACTTACATAAGGAATTTTATATATTTCTGTAAATGTTCTCGCTTTTCTTACTAAATAAACTAGATGGTGTGGAAAAGCAGAATCCATAATAGTTTCATACATTTCTTTATCTCGATTTTCTAAAGCTGCGGCTAAAGCCTGTAATAATATATATAACATTAGTATTCCTTTATATTAAATATACTGTCACTAAAGTAATATTTCTTGATACAGTTATAAATACCTGTTCTTTTTTCCCTTCAGCTTCAATAGTTTTTCTTAATAAATTTTCAGATTCTGTTAGCCTTTCAGTTAACACAGCCTTTAAACGAATTATATAAGAATGAATTAATTTCAATTTTAATCAGTTTTAATAACTAGTCATATTGTATACAATAACTTAAAGGATCTTAGTTTTCAAAATATATAAAAATATCTTAAAAATAGTTAGGCTTGTGCAAATAATTCGTGGAGTAAATAAGTCAGTCAATGAATGGTAAAACAATGCATAATTACATAAACGCCAATAATAAAATTTATTTCATTTTTTAGTAATAACAGAATATAGAAGTAAAGTAAACAAACATTAGTATCAATCAAAGTTAGGCAAAATTAAACTTAACATAGTAAATGTTTAAGTCAAATTAAAAAGGGATAAAAAAAAATTGATTTAGAATAGTTTATTTATTGTCATCAGAGGTAAAAGTAATGATAATATATCTATAATCTTATGTATTATTCCTGAATATAATATCTCTTTTCCAGCTCTCAGGAGTGATGGATTTTGACGAATGAGAAATCAATAGAAAGGGAATATCACGCAGAATGTGCGAATCGTAATTTTGATTCCTAATATTATATTAGGACTTAAATAAAAGTGAATGTAAAAGTGTTTTCAAACCATGTGATGGTGCTATCTCTAGGAAATGAGACGTTATGAATGAATTAATAATTTACGAATAACTGGAAAAGTATACTATTTTTGATACATTTTATAGAAGATATAAACCTATAATAATGAATTATAGGTACTGTGTTATAAATCTTGATATACTTAATGTGAAAAGTCATTTTCACTAAAACAAAATGAAAATTAAACAAAAAGTGGCTATTGAATAACAAACATAGTTCTTACCATTCCTTTCTTTAAAATAGCAGTTTCTTCTAAAATGCCATCATTTGCAAGTTTAGACTCTTTTGCTGAACATTGCTTTTCCCTAAAATGAATAAAAGTTTATTATTAGTAATAAAATATTAAAATAGATAGTCTATCATCCATGTAATAAAGAATTTTTTTTATTTCCAAATATTTTTGGAGAAAGATTGCCATCATAGACAAACAGTGATAATGTTTCTAATATAAATTAAAGATCTCATACTGTTGGATAGTGCTGCAGTTTCAGTCAACCTTTTAATCCTTCTAAAAGAGTATTATACTATACTATAATGACCTGACTTCAGCCAGCCAACAAGTTAGACAAAATATTGCTTTAGCTAAGGTCAACTTTGTGTACCGTAATGCAAAAGTAATAGAAGAGCCCAAACTTGAAGGCCATTAAAATTTATTCATTGAAAATTCTATTTAACTATAGCCCATGTTTGATTTGCAATGGTTACAAACATCTAAACCTAAAATACAGCTTTAACTTACAAAAATAATACAACCTAAATAATGTGAAATAACCAAAGAGCAACAATACTCACATCACTTTGAGAAGGGTGAGCCTTTCTTCCATGAGCGTGACCTGAAGCTGCTGCTGCCTCTCTATCTGTACCTGAGCATTTTCAAGATACTGAGCCTTGGCGCATATTTCTGCTTTCAAAACATCCTCCCTCGATTTATAATCTGATATCTTTATCAATAGCTCTGAAGTGTTTTTCCTTTCTTCATTCAATTCATTCTTCACCTTCTCCAGTTCAATTTCAGTTCTAATTGCCTGATCTGCCTTGAATTTCAATCTTTCACAATTTGTTAAAGCATCGGCCAACTTCTTTTTCAATTCTTCTTTTGCTTTTTGTTCAGCTGACAGGTGTCCTTTAACTTTAGAAAGTTCTGATTCTGTACTTTCAATGTGTTTTATATAAGAGTTTATCTTTTCTTCCCCGACATTGTCTTGTGATCTTTCAGCAGCCTGCTTATAGGTTATTAATTCTTCAGTTAATTTTTTTAATTCCCTTTCCAATGCTGATGAGTTTTGGAGCTTAAGTAATAGTTGTCCTTCCTTTTTATGGCTTTCATTGATGTTTTTGCCCAATTCTTCAATGATCTTTTCTAATCTCTTGAGTTCAGTTTTATTTTGTGATAGTTCTTCAAAAATCTTTTTTAGTTCGGATTCACGTGCAGAATCTTTAATCAGAAGTTTGTTGAATTCTTCTTTACTTGTCCTGAGCTCTTTTAATTCCTTCACCAATGCTTCGTTTTCTGACTGAACAGCCTCAAACTCCCTTTTGGATATTCTGGATTCAGCCTCGAGAAGTCTCAGCTCACTTTCAAGATTAGGAATTTTATCAGCATCCATCTTGAGCAGTTCTTCTCTTGAACTTATTTCAGACAACTTCTTGTTTAGTTCTTTGTTTTCTTCATTACATTTAGCCAATTCATTTATATATTTCTGCAAATCAATCTCCAGATTTTCTATTTTCTTAATATTTCCTTCTTTAAGCTGGATTATTTCATCTTTTGAGCAACTATTTTGTAACTGTTTAGCAAGTTCATCTTTACACTTTTTATTTTCAGCTAAATCAGTCCTCGCTTTTCTAAGTTCTTTTTCTAAATCATTTAAAGCACTTTCCAGTGCTGGAATTTGTTCAGCATTTTGTAAAAGCTTTTCTTCCCTGAGATTGCTTTCTTTCAATTTTTTCTCTAAAGCTTGCTCAGTTTGCTTGGCTTCATTTAGAAGTGATTCAATTTTATTATATTTTTTTTTAAGATTTTGCAATTCCTCTTCAAGAGATGAAATTCTCTCCTGGTGGACCGAGAGCTCATTCACTCTGAACGATTTCTCTGAAAGTTGTTCTTCTAGAGCTTCTTTGCTTCTCAAAGCATTCGTGAGATCTGTTTTTGAAACCATGATTTCATTTTTCAATGTTTTGATATCTTTTTTTAATTTACTGATTTTGTCTTTGTCATCCATTTCTATTTGTCTTCTACTCTTCAATTCTTTCTCCAAATCATTTTTGGACTTTTCAATATTAGTAAGTTCTTGATTAGTGATTTTAACTTTTTGCTCCAGTTGTGACACAAGTTGTTTTTCTAGTATAAGTTCTTGCTTGATAGAATCTGCAATATCAATGTTTCCCATTAATTCTTCTTTACTTCTTGACAACTCTGACAACAGCGACTTATACTTCTCAAGCTCTGTTTCCAGGCTTTTTATCTCTTCTGCTTTCACATTCAGCTGGCCTTCGAGTTCTTCTTTTTCACCTATCAGTTAAAAAAAAAAAAATCAATTTTCTTTAACTGTCCAATATAATTATCTGAATATCCTTCAGAACATTTAACAAGCAATAAGATAATAAATATCCTTATGTAACTAAAATATACCAGGATCGCCATTGAAACATATTGGAAGGTTTTTAGTGAAGTCTATAAATGAAGGGAAGAATAGTTGGGGTGGTCAGTCAAAAAAGAAGGCAAAAATAAATGATAATATTTATTTTTACATATGCCGACGTTTCGACCTGAAGTTCAGGCCTTCATCAGGGCTAAGAAAATAACCAGATAACAAGGTATGAGAAACATAAGTAGTGATGGTAAAAAAAAATAAAAATTATAAAAAAAAATTATATTTATTTTTGCCTTCTTTTTTGACTGACCACCCCAACTATTCTTCTCTTCATTATCCACGACAGTCAACCATTTACCAATTATGAGTCTATAAATATTGAAACTTGGTGTAGAAGCTTATAATACTTCTGTTTACTGCCAATTTATCATGTAGATGGAATCATAGGGCAGACATTCCATTTTGATTGAGGGAAGAGGGTGGGGGGGGGGGGAGGGAGCAATGGAGCAAAAAGCAAAATAAAGGCAGTAGTTCATATGATAACATTTTTTAACGTGCTTTTGGATATACTTGATACTATCTGAACAAAACAATTGGATATATTACAATTTGTATGCATTAAACATGAGAGAAAGGTTGGACAGCCTCCATAACATACATTTCAAAAAAATTTTCAGCTTAAAATGAATAACATTAAAAAATGAAACATACTTTTAATTTCTTAGTTGGTAAAACCTCCTAATAAAAACAAAACGTTTTAACAATCTGGCTATGTAAAAATGTCTATAAAAGCATTCTATATAAAATATATTTTTTCCAACTATATTGTAGAAATTTTTTGAGAGATCCACATGAAAGGTGAATGAATAATAAAACCCAAGGATATGTTTCTATATTCCTATTCCTGAATATGAATGGTAACTTAAATAATAGGAATATTTAGGTTGTAATAAAATATTTACGTACGTAATTTTATGCCTTTGCTTAGCCTACTAGTCGACTTTTCTTAATCAATTTTAGTTTACATATTTTATTCATTCATGTAGCTTATTTGCTATTGTTTTTAATTTCTTTTTTACTTGAAATTATTGGGAGAGGGTGAAACGATATTCTCGCTCCTTCAACATTTTTATTAGTGGGGGAGGGGGAGAGAAATGGATTGCCGCTCCTCTCCCCTTAAAGTCTGCGCCTATGGATGAAATGTAGTTACAAGAAACTCTTAAGTTCTAGTAGAAAGCAACCGACTATTACACGAAATTTCAATATACGTAGACATCAAATTAACTCACAGCCTGACAATGTGTTTAAGTAGATATTCTTGAATAATCTCTACTTTAATATAGGAAGGGACTACTTTACTAACTTATGCCACTAATATTATCAAGATATCTAAGTAAACCTGTACAAGACATTCAAAACTTAGGAAAATTTATCTGACTCAACATTCAACAACCGTCAAGATTAATGTGAAGAAGGAACTGATATGAAAAATAAATTAAATCTATTCGAGCAATATCGTTGGTTCGAATTCCAAACCCAAGAAAGCACTAAAAAATACATAAATAATTTAGTAGTATTTAAGAGACAAAATTTAAATATATTTCTTACCAAGGAGGATGTTGATCCTCTCGCCAGCTGGCCTCAGCCGTTCCAGCTCTTCTCGTAGCTCTCTCATTTCTCTGTCCTGAGGTGCCTCGTTCACCCTTACCCTGTTCACTATCGCCCGGGCTTGGCTGGCATACCTTAAGGTAGACATCGTCTCGTCTAGGTGGGTAGAGCAAGGGCTTACCGTCGCCAACATACATGTTCGTGAGTTGCCTCCCAAGCTTTCCTGTAACAGAGAAAAATATAATTTAAAAATTATATTTTGTATGTACTTAGCAAGAGAATATAGGCAATAAAATCTAATAAGTGTTATTCGTGAATTTATTTTAAAAAATTGCACTTCAATAGATTACTAAGTTCTTGACAGATTTCTGTTAGAATGATTTAGAGGATGATATAATGGCGCAAATGATTTGGCAGTAATCATCCAAAATAATTAATTTCTTAAGGTGGAATAAAAATTGTTGAACCATATTTGGATCAGACTTTCATAAGGATGTAGCAAAATTCCTGTTGGTTGAGGATTGGCCACTTCACTTCTTGTCACAGTAATGCGAAATATGGATGTTTTATTGTTCTCTCAATCTCAATAAGAACCATGTAGCTTCAATCTACAGAGGGCAAGTGAGCGAAGAGAAAAGAAAACTGTGAAGATTTTTCAAAAATTTCAATTGACATTTTAAGATTGATATTGAAATGGTTAATCATTAATTCTTTTAGGATAATTGGACCATAATTATACTTTTAGATTGAATTTATATCTGATTTATGAATCAATAAATTGTTATGTATTTTATTTACAAAGATATTGAATATATTTCATGAGATAAGAAATTGTAGCAGCAAAATTACTACAAAATTTTCATTAAAAGCAAAGGAATAATTAATTAATAATTTGATGAAGATAAGCCAGTTCTCCCTTCTGATTAGGTGATGGATTATTTGACTTTTTGAAAAAAAATGTTCTATTTTAATGAATATGGACAATAGCTAAATAGAAGTCATACTATCACCTATACCAATTATCATATCATACAATAAATACCATGTGGCAAAATACTGACTAATCGCCCACTAAACTGGTAGACAATCCTCAAAAAAATGTGAGAACTATTCTTATGGTCAGCACCATGTCAAATAGATTTTTTATCATTATATATACAAACAAAAATATCAAGTATCAGAAATATCCTGCAGTTTCTGTTATTAACAAGTTACCTAAGCTAAGCTAGTGTGACAGGTGATGTATAAGAAGAAGAATTTATTGGAGGTTGAACGTCAAATGAATCACAACAAAACATTTTTAATTATCCAGAAGCAGTATTGTTGTTCTGGATATTATTTTTATCTATATTCCTAATGAATTTACATTAGATGCTGTTCAACTAGCTATGATGAAGACCTATAACATGGGTTGAAACGTCAGAAAATACAATTATAGTATACAGCTTCATATATTGGCCGCACTCAAAATCGCGTAGTTAAGAAAAATTAAGATATAATATAAACCAAATCTGTTCTGGCAATGTGCCCAAGGTAACAGATAAACTTTGCAGATCTTGGAGAAGAAACTACGTCTCCCGTTTTCAATGCGTATTTCTTCATGTAAATACATATATGAAAAGTCAGATTATTATCAATAATGATTGGTCTTGTATTTTTGTCAGCATAATTCGTAAAGTCTTAAATTAAAATAATGATTAACTATGAAATTTAATGTGTTTTTTTTTCGATTACAGTTTTGAAATAAAAGTTTATTACCAATCATAACTTTTTATAAGTGTGTAATTTTATAACGTAACCTATAGACGTCAAACTACGAAGGAGCTTGAAGGCCGAGGAAGGTTTACTAGCCAACACGTGCTCTGCTATGATGTATGCACTGTGGCGATGCAGGCGCCTGGGTCTTTTGTGCTGTCAGTGGAAGGCTTCTCTCCAACATTGGTATATTTCCCAAACATTGGACAATGTATCCGATGCCCTCTTTCAGGCGTTTTTTTATTTCGGAAATAAAATCCGACAGTGAGCTGAACTATTAGTATTAGGTTTCGATGCGAATAATATAAAAGCGTAAATATCAGGGAAGAAAGTTAGGCAGTTCTTGAGGGAAAAGTCATTTGAAGATTGGAGCAAATGTAAATGGTTGGGAATAGGTGTGACACATTTTAAGTCAAACCAATGGGCTAACAAATTTATGCATGACAGGAAAATTCTTATAGGCTCAGAGTGAACAAATGCTTTGAAGCTCAATGTTAACAATGTTCCTCTTCGAGCTGTTCCAGGTACTAGAGGCCAGACGAAGGTTGGACCCTTCTGCCCTAAATGTGGCCGAGAGTCAGAAACCCCAGCTCACGTTTCGGGAAAGTGTCCAAATAACATGTTCCTCTTCACCCGCCGGCACAATAACAGGAAGTATAGAATATCCTAAAACCGGGAGAAGAAAAATTATAAATGCTTCCTCTTAGTTTATTGTCTGGATACGGAAGGCTTAGCAAGATTTATAGAGATCTTGGCTTTTAGTGCAAAAGGAAATGAGGCTCATATAGTCGATTCTACTATTAGATAAGAAACGAACGATGTGCAGTAAGATCTCAAAATACAAATTGAAAAGGAGTAAATACATAAATAATTCATTCCGTATACGAAAGAGGAATTTGGGTAAAGAAATTTTTCGGAATGAGGACTTTGCTTTGGAAAAGCTAGGTATTGAAAGGTGTGAGATACAGAGTATGGCGGAGTCCATTATTTTGGACTCATTGGGAATTCTGTACCATTACTTCTATTAATGAATGACATTTTCTATAAGAAGTATATCAAGCTGAATTATTAGATATTGTCACATCAGATAGATTAATATGCTGTGTCAGTTAGCAACTCAACTTGAGCAGCTTTTATGGTAGTTCTCTCCTAATTTAAATGTATCTTTCGATGGACAAGTCAAAATTTGAATTGCTATCAAAATAATCCGAACATTCGAGAATAACAGAACGCGATGTGGACACTACCCTGCTACGAGAGGACAGGCAACCTGGAACTTCTGGTATTGGCCCCGGACCAAGAAGGAGACCAAGAAATAGTACGAGGATCTACTAAATACAGAGTTACAAAGGAGTTGTATGCAACAATTTTTGAACCAACAGCAGGAACTAGGGCAAGTTCAGATCGAAGGGCTTCCACATTGGAAGTCTTCCAGGAAAAAAAAAATTATTACTTTTGGTATTATCCAAAATTCTTTTATCCATACATTTTTCCAATTTTCTAGGAAAACATACAACAAAAATTTAAAGGTATTATGGAACTCTCATTTACTTACTCTTTAATGTCATGCAACGCATAAAAAGTTGAGACACAAACATCCGAATCTCTCATACATTAAAAATTCCCGAACTTCCAAAATAAGATGCGATGAATTGTTTCAGGATCGTTACAGTGCAAGAATATCTGCAGACCCATTTAAATTGAGGCAAAGAGTGGAAAAAAGATGCCCACTCTGCAATAATGGTGGGATGGACGGTGACCATCTCAAAACTTACCTTATCTTGGAAGACATAAGGAAAAAAATATAAATCATATAATACTTGTAGTTGCAAATAAATATGACTTTGGATCAATCTCAGAGCGAACATATAATTAATTAGGCTTGACGAGAGAGGGAGGGTGCAACCGGGGCTTCTGAGGGGGTACGACCTGGCCTGAAAGGTAGAGTTTATTTTTTAACTGCTAAATTATCATACAAATAAAGCAGAGATTACATTACACATATTATACAATGATTATGTAATATCTTTCATCATATTTTTGTTTATGAAAGACTTCAGTTGATTGGGTTTTGATAGTAATTTTAACATTTGCCAAGGATACAGAAAAATTATCCCTGGGGCCATTGGTTTCTCTTCAGGGTCGTGTAAATAACCTGTGCTTACTTACGGTTCGAAAACTTGGACTATCTTGAAGGCGGAAGAAAAGAAACAGCAGATTTTTGGGGAGAAAAGGTTTAAAACGAATTTTTCATACCATTTAATAACAGAATGGGGAAAAACGAGAAATGAAATAAATAGCTTTTTCAGTAATTTAGTTACTACTAGTGGTAAAATAGTCTCGCTGGGTAGGTCGCGATTCCTTGGGTGCTGATGGAACATCAGTCGGTGGAAGGTAGGACAAAGGTACAACAATCATTACGATTTTTATGAATTTCTAAGGATACAGCTCTGTGAGGTAATGGTGCTGTGTCCTTCGAAATGGATACTGTTATGATACTGAGTAATAGTTTATATCTAGCAAATATAGTAAATAGTAGCACGGCACATTAAGAAACAAAAATATATATTTATTAAAAAAAAAAAAAAAAAAAAAAAAAAAACATGAGCAACAAAGCTCCGTTACCAAGGTCATATTTTCGACTCACTTTTTTGTGAGGAAACAGATGAAAAATGATTTAAATAATTGTTTTATTAATGCTTACTTGAGAAAATTACATAGAATTTTAAATATTATTAATCAAAATGGTGGTGGTGGGCGAAAACCTATTTACCCACCTATAACCTCTAACTCGACTTGGAGAGGCTATAAATGGGCACGAAACTTTTAAAAAAACAAACAGAAAAATAGTGATGGAATGATGGGGGAGTGGTGGGAGAGGAGGAGATGAGATGAGAAAAAAGCGTTCTCTAAAATCAACTCAATTTACATACAAATGTTCAACCCACTAACTCAATTTGAAAAAGTTGTAGAGGCAAAAAAAAAAAAAAAAAAAATGGACATGCCATAATTTACAATAAATCTTACGAAATTTGGCCATTTTTATGGTATTTTGCGTTCAAAACAATCCTACATATCGATATGTATATATATACATACCTATTATGTATATGTGTGTGAGAGTACATATCAGTTATCTCCCAAACCGCAACAATCGAGTTATAGTGGTCATGAAACGGAAATAAAAGCTAATAGCCAGATGGTACTGCAAAGCAAAGACTTGTGACAGGCTCGGATCTACGATATTTGGGCTATGAAGTTTAATATAAGAGGGTACGTTACGTACAACGAGCAACTTTAAGTTCGTTAAGCGATATAATAATTAAGTGAGAGTTAAATTTCGATTATAGTCTGTGGAAAGTAAGGTAAAACAGCTATATTCTACAAGAAAGGGAAACAAAAAAGAATAATGTAGATTAACATTTGGGTATTGCCAATATATTTTTGACAACGTGAAATCGCTTAACTTATCACAAGTTTAAACATCGGTGTTGTAATAAGACATTTCGCAAGCGATTAATTGCGAACAAAGGCTGCCTCTGAACTAATCGATCGTTTAGGATCGTTCAAACAAAAAAAAAAAGTAATATAAGAAAGATAAACTTTTTGAATTTAGATGTTTTGGTTACCTAACGTGAAGATTTAATTTTGTGATAATGAAATCGAAAGCGGAACAATTGTCAGGCAGAGGGCTGTTGCATATCGAAGAAATATTATGACAATGAGGTTTCAACACTCTCCATTTGATAACATATTTAGAAAGAGCTTTACCATCAGATCAGAAAACAGGGTGGAACCGAGTGAAAACGTTAATTTGTCCAAATAATATTGTTGTTAGAACCAGTTGGGCTTGAGATACGTTTACAAAAAACGCAGTTATAATATTATAAGCAAATACTACTAAGCTGCCTGTCAATTAATATTATACATTCATATTAATCATTTTTATTTGAGAGAGAGAAAATTTCACACAGATATACGTCAAATATATAACTGCCTAAATGATTTTATTCACAAACCATTGTTTTTGTAGCAGGAGTGGAAAATGTAAATATAAACTTTTAAATACATTAACAAAACTTCCTTATGTTAATCCCTTTATATAATAATATAAATTTCTGTTTCTTTGTGAACTACCAAGGTTGTTTTTTTTTTTTTTTTTATCAAATTAGCTTCGTTAGTTTATTTTCTAATTATGATGCTGCTGTAAACGTATTCCAACTGCGCATTAGATAAATGGAGTTTGAACGGTTTCTTTCAGTTTATAGCTTCATTTTAATTTTCCATTACCCTACCTAAAAGCCATTTGCTGGCCATAAAGAAGCTGACAATTCAATTACAAAGAAATGTGCAGGAGCAAGCACTGTCGGAAGGCCGAACCCTGAATGCGCATGATTTACTAAGACAAGTTTATAACTTTTAATTATATTGATTTTTTTTTACTTAAACCATTTCACTCACAGAGTATCTGGCTAGCTACCAGCAGGCATCGTGGGCTTATAGCCATTTGAAGTTCATTAAGTGTGCACTCACCTTGTTTTCGTATGGATAAATCAAGTCGAAATATACAAAAACGAACTTATAAGTTTAGCTCCATCAAACATGTGCTTGGTGAGTTTTTGCAATAAGCCGACTGTTAGGAGAGTTCTAGCCGGGGCCAACTTATTCATTTAACCGTAAGATGTAAAGCTATCAATTAGTTAGAAAGTAATTCCCGTTCTAAACCATCATACGACGAAATCAAGCGGATTTCAAGCCATGAATCCCAATGTAAGCTATCCCAGTAAAAATGCGTGGTTGGGTTGCAAAATGTTTTAGATATGTGGAGATATGTATTGATCTCCTAGTTAATAACCCCAGTTTTCAACGCCGACCCCTTTTGCGTTTTTGGCTATCTTGACAAAACACTATAAACAACATTTTTTAATTTTTTTATTCCAGCGCTTAAGCAAAAGATATCTTATTATCGATGTTAGAAAACATAACATTTTCTTAGTGTTTTATAAGTACATAGTATGTTGGGAAAATCGGAACAGCTACTGATAAACGGGCCCATTAAAATCCAGATTAATGTTTTTAAAAAACTAGGTATCGCTTCTGTTAGTGCAAAAAGTCGTATGTAACAATTTTACACGCTCATTCTCATTGCACTGAAGGGCAACATTTTGTAGTCTGCAACTGCTATAAGTAGCGCTGCTAAATAAGAAAATAGCAGAGAGAAATAAATAAAATATGAAATTATACTGATAAATCTTAAAGATATAATCGGTTTTTAAAAGATACACTCTTTTACTCTTCTGTAGAAAAACTAGATTTTTACATAGGACCTTTTGTACTAACAATGGTTTCGTCCAAAGAATTATTTTTTGTCAGTTCAGTGCAAAATACAAAATAATTATTACTGCTGAGGAATAAATATCCTAAAAACTTATAGGTTTAAGAATGATTATAACGTAATATCATACGTATTACATGTTTTACTAAATGTACGTACATACTACAGTATATATAGGATAACTTTTAAATTGCTTATGATAAAAAAAAAAATACGATTACGTCTGTATTAACATTTTCGCGGTCTAATGAAGAGAATCCAAACTAGATATGGAAAGGAAACTTGAATTACAACAAAGACAGAACATCCAGAACCTTGGTACTTTTATTTTTATATATATATTTGTATTTTTCTTAGTATCTTTGTTTGTGTGTGTATATATATATATATATATGTGCTTACAATTTCCTAGGTATTTTTTGTATATATTTGTATAATACTTGCATGCCAGACTAATGTACATATTTTTTAAACTCTACTGTTATTCTAAGGGGACTTCAGTCCCAGAATAAAATTATAAAAAAAAAAAAAAAAAAAAAAAAAAAATACACACCGCTCCTCTTCCAGTACTCCCAACAACTCATTAAAGACTAAATTCCATAGGTCGCATTAATTACAGATGAAATAATTAAGGATAACCATCAGAAAGCAGGATGGAGCTCCATTCTATGTATTCAAGAAAACCCTACACCATGACCTTAATATCCCGTTTGTCTTAGACCTTATCCCAGAAAAATTCTCTACATTTTACCAGAATCTTACTTATCATCCAAATCCCCTTCCACAACCCCTATACAGCACCACCTATCCCTACAACCCTCCTTGAAGGTTAAAACGGCAGTGGCCCAGAGACCTTTTATGAATAAGTATACATTGGCATCGTCCAGATTCTCCACCAAGCCATATGTGTGATTATAGCGCCTCTGATCAGTCTCTACTGGTCCTAAATACCAGCAATGTTGCTGAGTGAGAGGCGCTGGGATCTTGTAGGGCCCTGCTTTCCTCCCACGAGTGGGGAGAAAGGCTTGATTTTTGAGTGAATGATTTTTTATTTTATTTTTAGATATTGTATAGAAGCACGTGTGTATGTGGGTAGTTATTTTAGTTTCTTTTTGTTTAGGTTAATTTATTTTCGTTTATATACATTTACATAGTATTGTTTTTCTGTATTATTTATTGTTGATAAGAGTATAAATGTCCTTAATTGTGACAGATTGTAATATCTCTCAATAAATATGTTTAAAGTATATATATACATATATATATACAAAGCCACGAGACTCCAACATATAGGTGAATAGTTAACTTGCCTATTTAGACACATTAACAATTCACCTCACCTATATGATGGAGAGAGACTCATGGCTTTGTAATTTGGATTTTTCCACTTATATCATAACCACCCTATGTCTTTTTTCAGCTTGATGCTTATTTTAGTAATTTAAACAGTATCTTCAGTGCAGGTTCTCTAAACAGACCAATCAGCAATCACACAAAATAGGAGTACAAGTTACTCCTTATGTAACACAAGTTAGTCCTTATGTAACCAGAAGGAGGTGCCGCCTCTCCTCAAAAATAGTACAGTCGCTTCGAAAGCCAGGTTTTGCACCGACTGATTCACAAAATAGACCTATGATAATGATTACCAGAGCAGATATTTAGGCAGCATCTCAAATGAAGGGAAGTTTAGTCCACGTAGGCAATATCCTTGTCTTCAGTTCGCACTGAACTTAGAACAAAAAATTAATTCGCCATACTATCATAGGATTTTTAAAGAGAAGCGATCGATTGATTAGCTACTTTCCATTTAAATCCGGTCTACTCAAGCTTACAACTAACTATACTTTCAAATATTATATTTATATAATTTTTTTTTATCGTAAGAATCTATGTACGAGGTAAATCACATATTTTCCTCTTGATTACGTCTTCGGCAAAACAACACAATTTAAGTTTCTAGTACTAAAAATACGTATTTTCTTGTTTAGAGTGTGAAACGATGCAATTCCAATTTCCTGTTTCATAGCCTTCACTTCTGAAACAATAGCTTTTACAGACTAATACGGAAAA